GACACCTACCTACTGAATAATCAAAGTATACGTTTCTGTACCTACCCTAACCTTCATCAGGCACGGTAGAAGTTGACGATGATCCCAATATTTTTTGTTTATCTGTTTGAATAAACAGTATTCATTTGACATAATCTGAACATATTTTTCGATCCTCTTGTATACCAACATGATCTTTATAAAGAATCACTTTTATTCCTTGCTTTCTCATACGCTATAAGACTGATCTTATCGAAATATACAATACTGATGAGAATATTCCCATATATTAATTTACATTGTTTTTCCACGCATTCATTTTCACAGGAAAGACAAGCCAGTAGGTCTCTCAGTAAATATTTTCCAATAATAATATATATGTGGAAAACTACGTTTTTCCTGTTGGTCTCGAAAAATTGCTGGTACATACCAAATACGAATAAACTTGGAAAATAATTGACGGGAATGCGTAGCCATAAACTCAAACTGCAGGCGCCATCTATTGAAGAACGGTAAAAGTTTAAAACGTGGAATTGGGTTTCAGCATTGCCGCCATATGATACACTCAACTTGGAGGGACAAAAAAGTCCATTTCTGATATGAATATGCATGCAATAAAAATAACCAATATTTTAATTGGAAAATGTGGAAATAAGTCAGTCGTATGAACCAACCGAAGAATCACATCTGAGCATTAGGCAGGGATACAAACAAATTAGATAATTTGATTGTCTCTCAAATACTCAATACTGCAAAAATAGAAATTGATATGGAATATAGAACATTGATGGAAAATACAACCTATGAATTCATCAATACCTTGATCAAGTACCTATAACAAATTAGTGACCATTTCTGATATCACGATGTTCTGAATATTCACTTATAATATCATGAGAGCTCCAATTATTTCCGGAAACTTTTTCGAGAACACGAATATTAATTGAAGCTAAAGTGGTATTCGGTAAGAAAATTTCACACTGGAATATTATTGATGAATTACTTGGATAATGACGATTTTTGATGGTTTTAAAATTTGAATAGTAGGCTTTGTATGTTTCCTGAAAAGAATAATATATATTTTTTTATCTACGTATGTCATTCTTCATGTCAAAACTGAAGAGTAGGTATAATATCATAGTGTTTATATGAAAATGATGGTTGTTTGTGATGAAATGTAAGAACTAACGAATAGTAACAACATGTGTTTTTGTAAATTTCGAATTGCAAGTATACATACCTAGATAATATTATATGGTGAACTGTTGATGAATGATTTCTATTTATTGACTTATAGAATGAACTCGAAATAATCTGAAGTTGAATGTAAATGTCATTAAATCTATAAACGTCAAAAAACTTCCAGTGAAATTTCATGCTCCGTCCCCCAAGGAAGAGGAACAAATTTCCAAGAAATTTGTTTAGTTGCTATGGTAACGATACGAAATACAGGCTTTAAATTGATCGAAAATGTTTGGTGTGAAATTTTCGAGATAATTCTGTCGCTTCATTGTTCACGAACTTATGTTGCTGTACGCAACACAATTTGTTTTGTTTTTATCCATCATTCGGTAGCCCCCTTGCGTGCAACCCTCTGAAGTCTTCAAGATACTTGTGCGAGCAAAGAATGACGGGGGTCTTACCTTATAACGTGTGATCCCTAACACTTTCTTAGGCCATCAGAAAAATGTTTGCGGTCGTGGTGGGAATCGAACCCATCTACCGGAAATCCAACGTGGATAGAATACTGACGCTTCAACCACGAGGCTACGGTGGCCAATTGGGTTATCAATGGAAGACAGAATTATGAGAGGATCACTTTGCTTTACTATCCATGGTTACATCGTTGAAAACATGAACGCTGTCAGACCAATCAGAATTGAAAGACAGCTCATGTTTTCGTGATAAGCACGCGTTGTCTGTGGCTTGTGATTGGTCAGATTATGTGGGGTGAAATAGTAAATAAAATTGAACCTGTGAATCGCCACTAAATCAATATATTAACCAATTTCAAATCATTTGAAGACAGTCAAACTGCCGATTTCTCCTTTTCTTCACTGATAATTAAAAAAAAATGGGACCTGACTGAGTCCCTTTCCCTTCTTGTGGTTCATTATTGACATATTATGGCTGTGTTTTTCCGAAGAATATTATACACATATCATTCAAGTCTGTGTTTTTATTAATAAAAATTGTGATAAAAAATTATACAAACCTAATAAAATTTATATAAAAATAATAAATATTAGACTATTTAGACTTATTCGATTGAATCCAGCACCAATATCGTTAATAAATTAGGTAGATTATAAATAATCAAGATATAAAAAAAACGTTAAATAAATTATAATAAATAGGGATATTGAAAGAATATTGAAGAGGAGTATACAGGGTGAGAGAAACTCGATGTCTCAGCTTCATTAAATGAAAAGGAAAACAACAAAAACAAGAGAAGAGGTGGTATTGAGTAATGTTTATTTTAATCCAAATTCGCAGAATATTTCGAAATGAAAACTGAATGAATGAAGTCATAGAAGTCATTTTTCGGAAACATACCATCACCTATATTTTTGCTTATTTGAAAAATAAACCTCCTGCCCATTTACAATTGAAATGTTCAATCACAAAATATGGAGATTAGAATGAATGAGAAAAACGAGAAAATAGCAACGAAAATATAGGAGTATGAAGAGAAAATAGTTATTTTTGTATCTAGAGCGCGAAATGCTACTTTAGTGATCGAGATCTGATTTTTTTCACGAGGCGTAGCCGAGTTGAAAAAATAGTCGAGATGACCAAAGTATTTCGCGCTCGAGTTGCAAACAACATTTTTTCTACAAACGTCAAAAAATATAGTTCTAAAGTAAAAATATGCTCAGCTTGATATGAAAAATAGTGTTGAACTGGCCTAAAAGGCCTCCCCCTATCCTCCCTTGGTACGCACAATGTTCCACGAACATAATAGGAATTCCCTCTAGTGCGCTCCAAGAGATGAAACAAAGTTATTGTTCAACATTCAGTAATAAATGATTTCGTGGATGTGTGCTCGATTGAGGACCATAAAGTTGAAATATAAATATCTCATATATTTTACATAACAATGCGCGAAGTAGGTACTTCGCGCACTGTTTTACTTCGCGCATTGTTTTGTGCAAGGTATCATGGTTACGTAGGAAACTGAAAAAAAGTGTCACTTCGCAATTTGTTATCAATGCGCGAACCTTGTCATTTTTTGACGTTTGTATAAAAAGAAAATTTTCGAGAATATCTAGTTTTTATTGTTTTTTCCTCCTGTGAAGTCTTATAATGGACGATCCCATTTGAGAAACTCTACAGATATTTACTAGTGTTTTTCCATTGCTCATGATATAGCTGAGACATGAGTACTTAGTGTCTTTCTTTAGTTTTACAAATTAAACTTACTGTGAAAGAAGGATAATGTCATAAAAATCACTGAGCTTATTGGACTATCGTTGCACATGTGATGCTACTTACTTATGAATATCTATAACTTTAAACAATGACTTCTAGAAAGTGAAAGAGCGAGAACACTACAAATCAGAGAAAAAAAATTCGGAAGATATGTAAAAAATATCACCTTTGTAAAATCCTGGATGAATGTTGTGCATTTTATTTTTATTCAGACTTCTCCTTGAATTAAGAATCTTTTTCTTTGAAATCAGATTTTATTCGAATTCAGAATCTTCTCTTCTAACTAAGATATTTTCTCTGAATTTAGACTTTTCACTTTGAATTTGAACTTTTTTCTTTGAATTCAGCCGATATTTTTACAGTGTTCCAAAAATTCACGGTAAAAAAATTAATGTTCCTACTAGCATTTTTGTATGAATTCAGAAACTAAAGACTGAATTTGAAGAAAGATCTGACTAATAGTAAAATACACAACAGTGACATCTTTACTCTTTCATACTCATACTTCAATATGCTTTCAACATTCCCAATAAGTACCTTTGGTTTAAAGCGTTAATAACTGGAGTGAGTTTAATACTGAGGTTAGTGGATATCTCAGTCTCGTTTGTTCGATGAAACGTTGAAAAATCGTGGTAACGGTTAACAAAAACTAGCGTCTAGAGACTGGGTGCAACAAATAATCCATGCGCAAGCAGGTATATAGAAAATTCAACAAAAAATTGACATAGCAAACCACTATCGGCGCCTACAGTAAATGCCTTCTCAGTATTCTTTTCAGGAAGGGAAGAAAACAGCCCTTCTGCATAAAAAATAAGAGTACTTCTTCTAAACAACCAAACCTCACTAGGCCTAAAAGTAAATTTTTCGGAAAATCACTTGTGAAAACAAAATGAAAAAAAGGCTAACCTAGCATTCATTGAACCTGAGCTGCCGGCGTGGTATTCTGAATACAGTCCACTGCGCCACACGCTTACTTGAAAATCGTATTAGGTAAGAAGTGAAAATTTAGTGGACACTAGTGAGTAGATTGAATAGAATGGCGACAATACACCTCAAAAATTACTGCCGTTTCCGGAATGTCATTTGTGGTCAAGTCATTATAGGAATTTTCTTTCGTGCGTTTCAAGAGATAAACCAAAAATATAGCTCAAAATCTGAAGGGTCATCTCCCATGAAGTGAATTACTTACTGCAATAATTACTGTCAGTTATGAATTTGCGCCTTCGAAGTGCCCATCTGATGTTAGGTTAGATATTTGTCATTTTCATCATCTAAATAATCTGAGATTCATGAGTGCCAAAACACGGATTCTAATAGTTAATATCCAAGGTTTTATATAATTGTTGTATGTTTTCTGTCAAAAGAGCGAGAAACAGTGACAAAGTGACCATAGAATGCGTAGAACTGCCTGGAGAAAACAAGACAGGCGGATGAATCTTCATATTTGAGGTCTACCAATCAAAAAGTGCATCACTATCACAATTGTCGCCACACTATCTATACAGAGGCTAGACGGAAATCCTACCACATGGATTATTTGTTACGCGCTGTATCTTCTGGACGCTTCTGTTATAAAATCATCGTTTTTGTCATTTATTCGCTGCCCTCGCATTGGCTTGCTGTTGCACACTATCGTGAAGCTCCTGACCCTTCGTTTCGATTGGTAAGAGCAGACAGCCAATGGCAGCCAATATGGCAGCTACCGCATAAATCGTCGTCGAAAATGTTATCGAGGATTTCAACAAAACCTGAATAAAAACTAAAAGTAATTTGGTGTCGGCATTTTGGAAGATATTCAGTGATTCAATGTCTCCCGCTCATTAAGTCAGCGTTCCAGTGATGATGTGAAGAACACTTCTTAATTCGCCAAATTAACCTCAACAAATCGGCGCCCTCTGAAAATTACAGGACTAACCTCGTGACATACTAGACAAGAGTTTCGCCTATCCCACTTTAATTTTTTTTCAATGAGGGCTAACATTTTCGCTCCCACCAGTTGGCGCTACTAAGACTATATTCCGAATTCAACTGACAGTACTGAATCTGCTGATTTTTCATTCCGAAATCAAAAAATTCCCTAAAAGACTAAAAGTGACAGTTAAGGTCCATCCACAATCAATTCAGTGGCGAAGTGACACTTCGGCACGCTTGCTTGGACAATGACTTTTAAACGTGAGTACTGGTACTGGTGGGGGACGTTTGCACGTCAGCAACTAGTCCCTAATGGGACCTTTTTGCAAGCCCAAAGGTGTTTTCAATGACTGATGTGGTTCGCTTAAGAGAGCTGGCTAACATTCTTTTCAGGCACTGCCCATCAGCTCTCTTTCAGAGTTTTTCGGCTGTGTTTTGTAGGCTAGTAATGTACTCACTACCATATGCTGCAGTGGCAGGCCTGCTAGCTATCCTTCGTTAGTCCAGCGGAATGTTATTTGTACTAAACGAGAGCAATCGAGGGAGCAATTATTGTTAAACAATTTGTTTCATTGCTTTTAAAAAATAGGCGATTAGTTAGGCGTCCTCGAAGGTTTAGACCAAGAAGATTTGGGGTACATCCCATATTTTTGCTCAGGAAAAAACAGGGTTTTTATGAGAACTTGAGGCGTATTTTGCGGGCGCACAAACACAATTTATTTCATAACTGTAATTTTAATGTATAATTCATAAAAGTTGAACACTATAGTCCATATGAGATGATTTATCCAACTCATAAGTCCTAGTGCACAGTGCATAACCTTGAAGTTCACAATTTTCAACTTTTATGCATTCCACATAAAAGTTACGCATTGTGCTTGTGCATTCGCTAAATCCGCCTTTACTTGAAGGTGCTCGTTTGAGACCCATTAATTTTTTATAATTTTTGAGCTTCTATCTGTAGTACTTTATTACTCTTATCTACAGGAACTTCAATAACCTCAATAACAAAAACGAAGAAAATGCCATCACGTCACGTCAGACATCACATTCACAGAACTATTCATAGTTCTGTGATCACATTCAGGCTGACTGGATTGACAGGATTGAGGATGGGTATCAGTTTTGCAGCATGAAGTGTCACTTCGCTAACAGATTGATTGAGAATGCACCAAGCCATATAGTGCCGCTATTACTCATTCAATCATAAAAAACAAACGTGCAAATGACTGACTCATCAGATAATGAGTGGTCCCCGATCAAAATTATTTCAAATTTCAACTGTAACGTCAGAAACTGACATTTTTTTTTTTTTGAAATGGCACCATATATTTTTTCAATTCCATTTCAGATCAATATTTTTTGAGAATGCAGTGATGTATGACGACACAATCATTTGTAATAAAAAATAGAAGCTCACTTGACAAGAAATATATATTTTCATAAAATTTTGAGATGTATCAACAAATGTGGCAGTGAATGTCACTGAAATGATTATCAGTTTTTATTTGATCTCCTAATTAGTCTGAATGGCAAATAAATATGTCAATTGAGCTTCAAAAATGCAACTAACCTAATTGACAGTAAAATAACGAAATTCTTATTTTCACTTGAAAAGAAAAAAGTCCATTTGATCATTTCATAGGTTATAAACAGTCAAGGGGTACATAAGATTATTATGCCTTCTTACCTGTGCTACATAGGGGGTAATCATAGCCCCTAACCTGGCCATGGCGCTACAAGCACCTACTCCTACAGCCCTAAGAGAAGTCGGATAAACTTCGGGGGTGTACACATAGGCAGCTTGAAACACTCCTGCTATAATTCCACGCGCGAAAAATAGCATGACTGTCAAAAAGACTCGCCTAGAAATTGAAAATATCCCTCATAAAAATGTTGGTTTAAAAATTTCAAAAATCTAGAGATTTGAAACTCCGTTTGATTTATTTTGATGACAACCGGTGAAGTTTTGATACAGGTAGGTACCTATACTTACTTTTGTGAACAAACTACCAAAAAACAGCAGCAAACTGCATAAGCTATGAACTGCACCGCCATGGTTTTTTTTCTACCAAACCTTTCAATGGTCGCAATTGTAATGAAAATTCCTGCAAAAATATTTTGACTTGACTTGACACGACCCGAATGAGTATTCAATGTCTGACCTGGAAATTCTGCCAAGGTTGTCCATAACAAGTCCATGTAATCAGTGGTTTGCAATACCTTACAATCGGCAGCACATGTATCCAGAGTCTGAACTAGCACAGGCTTATCTGAACACAAAATTGCAGAGGTTTCAAACAGTTCTGTGGTCATCAGCACTAGACCATAGTAGCAGAATGCACAAGCCATCCTGAAACCATTTGTAATTCTTGAATAAATTTAATCACTATAGGTCATTTCAACTAAGAAGACAGTGTTGGACACCATAGGCAAGCGTTGACCTTCACTTTCATTGGTTAATATTCAAGGCAATATTACACCTTTCTAATACACACACTTGGAACAATTAGGGGAACGGGCAAAATTTACACTAAATTTGACATCAATTTTCTCTCGAACCGTTCGAACCGATTTTTACTTCAAGATGAAAATTGTTCAGTTTTACCTATCGGTTTACTGTTTAAAAACACATAATTATACGAATACTCTTATGTATATGCAGAGGTGATAAAAGTTGATTCAATGGTCTTCTGGTGAAATGCTATTTTTGTTAATCAACGTTGGCTATTTTGTTCATGTCAATAATTATTGTCAAAGTCAAGCGATTCACAATTCAAAATTCATAAATTTGATTAATGAAAATTCAACATGGGAGATTTGACTACTACTGATGTGGGATTTATCGGGATGTGAGACGTTGGAGACAAATAGGAGAGTGCGTGAGGAGACGAGGCTAAGGAAGAAAACGGTCAACCACGGCTAGAGATGACCAATTTTTAGTCTCCCAAACACTACGGAACAGACGTACAACCGTACCCCAATTGAGAAACGAACTGGAAGAAGTACGTGTAAGACGAATAAGTCATCGGACTATCAGCAGAAGGCTTTAAGAAGTTGGTCTGAGGGCCTATAGAACGAAGAAAGCTCCACAACTTCAGCGACGTCATCGGGTGGCAAGACTCAGCTTCGCTAGGCAGCATGTAAATTGGAAAAATGACCAGTGGGCCAACGTTCTTTCTACAGATGAGATCCGCTTCTGCATTAATTCAATAGATGGCAGGAAAAGACTATATCGTCGCCAAGGTGAACAAAATGAAGAATTAAATTTTACTGCTACTGTCTCCTATGGCGGAGGTTCAGTCATGGTTTGGGGTGAAATATGTTTAGGGTTAGGGGCACGAACAGAGTTGGTAGTGGTTAATGGCGCTTTAAATGCAGGTGGCTATATACGAGATGTTCTTCAACAGCATGACATACCATTCGCCCCCCATATCGCAGAAAACTTCTTGTTAATGCACGATAATGCCCGCCCTCACATGGCACCTTCAGTCTCCAACTTCTCAAATACAGTCGGCATAAGAACAATGGATTGGCCTGCATGTTCGCCAGACTTTAATCCAATCGAACATGTATGAGACACGTTGGGTAGACGAGACGATTAAGGTCCAGAATTCCCGCTGTACAAAATCCCGAGCAAGTAGCAGCACCTCTGGTTGAGATTTGGGATAATCTTTCTCAAGAAATGATCGATAATGTCATCGAAAGCATGAGCAGACGGATGACTGCTGTAATTATAAGAGCGCGTGGAGGTCACACACGTTATTGAAATTATTGTTGGTGTTTTGAATCCGTATTGTTCGTTAAGTTAATGTTATTGTTATCAAATGAAGGCTTTAAAAAAATTTCTTTTTAATCATATCTGTATATTTCTGAGAAATTTTGTCATAATGGACTAATAAGTGAAAATGACAGCAATATTCAACTCGACGGGGAAATTATCTCAGAAACAACTAAAGAAACGACACATTTTCAGGTCCAATTTGAGTTTCGAGGTGGTAAATTTAATACCAATATCCACCACTCCTTTGAAACTCTGTATTTTCCAGTATTTTCTTGAATAATTGAGATATCAAGATAAATAAAAAACGAAAATAATCGGAATAGATTGGGCTACAATTTGGTGTTGAGAAATCGTTTCAATTATCAGTGGTTCACTCCACAGGATATCTTAAAAAATACCGAAAAATCCGTACTTTCTTTACACCCCTGTATATGATATAAAGACGAATCGTTTGAAGATGGTTATTTCTCAGATGTATTCGTGAAGAATAAAGCTACAATTCGTGAAAAAAAAAATGTAAATCGAGCGATGGGTTCAAGAGAAAATTGATGTCAAACTAATTGTAAATTTTGCTTGTCCCCCTAATTGTGCCAGTGTGTGTTTTATAACTTAGACACGACTTGAAGGTCATTATCACATTTCCTTTCATTGTTGTATTTTTTTATATTACAATAAATCCTGAGAATAAAATCAAACAGAGGATTTTGAATTAGATGTCCTAAATATATTTCGTCAGTGTAAACATTCATTCAGAAGCAAGCCACCTACTATCTTCTTATTTGGAATGTAGTATAGATGGTTAATTCAAGTAGTTTAACTTCCTGATGAATAAGTCCCATACCATATAAACCATAGGAGAAGTGATGTAGTCCTCAAAGAAGGTACCAAAAGATCTCGAAATCTACCCCTATGAGGAGGAGTCATCATTGAATCATCAACAACTAGTCGACCTAGAAGCATGGGTTTTCCATTGTCTTTGGCAATTTTTTCCAAGGTTTCCAAAGCTTTTTCTGTCTGTCCACTGGCCACATGATATCGAGCAGATTCAGGGAGCCACTGAAAATAGTTCATTTCTTTTGCATTGAAAAAATTGAATAATATAGTGTTTTAGAGTTGAAATGACAGAAGCCTAGGACAGAAAAGTTAATATGAATATGGGTTCAAAATTGCTTCATTTATGAGATACAGAGAATTCTGGTACTTTTAATTATATTTGTATGTACCTGTGAATTTTAGGAGACAATCTGATTTTTTGTTTGTTTTTATAAATAAACACACTGTGGTCAATATAGACTTCAGAGACGTGCGATATCGTGAATTTCTCTTGGAAACAAAGTTAGACACAAAAAAAGTGGAGACAAAAATGTTGTAATTATAGTGGGTTTATCTAAATGATTGATATGATTTGCAAAAACATAAGATCGATATTTTTTCTGCCAAAACAACCGACTTGCAAGGTGATTTGGGATAAAATCCAATTAGTCCAGTAGGTGGTGTAAGAATTTAATTGAAATCGGCCAAATTGTTTTGAGCTGTTTCTGTCAGATTTAACCCTCTCACCAACAAGCACCTTCAACTATATTTGATGCTTTTATTGGACACATGGAATAACATAATATGTTGTAAAGTGAAGCTTTCATTATTTTATGTTATGCTGATTGTGCCTCAATTGATTATCTTAAATTATCAATCTTTGAATTCAAGCTTATTGATTTTAAAAATTCTATGTAAAATTTGTGAATTGCTCTGCCACTTCAAAGTTGAGAACCAACTCTCTGAATGTCAAAACTTGTGCAAGGTTGGAAAGAAGCTTATAAAACTTTGAGATCCTTCCTTCCTAAACAAAGATGCAAAAGTTATTATCTCTAAGAATATTTCTAGGTAGAACATTCCAATAAGATTTGAGATATCCCAATGAACAAATAATTTCAACTATCTCCAAGAATGTGAAAACATTTCAATTATTTTTTTATGGATGGGTTTGACCATAATGCTTTGGAAATATCATGAAACATGAAAATGCCACCCAAAATACAAAATACCATATTATACTAGATACAAAGCTGTACTCACTGGGCATATTGCTGCAAAAGCTAGTAGAGGACCTGTGGACAATGCTAGTAGCCAATGCCAACCAAGAGTAGGCATAACAACTAGTGCTAGTGTTACCTCAAAACATGCACCTAGTGCCCAAAAACACTAAAAAAAATTGACCATAACAAAAGAAAATACAAAACCAACAAACTTACATCAAGCAAAACAACACACTTAGCTCTTTGCTTTGTAGGCAAAAATTCCGCATACAAGGTGACACTAAATAAAAAAGAAATCCAGAAGCTTGAATCAATTGAAAAAGTATGGTTGGTACTTACGACTGAGGTGTACATCCTATGGCAAATCCTACAAGTCCTCTGAGGAGCAATATCCACATGAAACTGGGAGCTATAGAACTCAGAAGCCCATAATAGAATAGTAATATAGCACACAGTGTCAATGCCTACAAATACTCAAGATTGAATTATCTAAAAAAATATTCTTCTCTGGCAGTAGTCCATGCTCAAATTGGAGGTGATGAGATAATTAAGAGAACAAACTCAAAGTCTCGCTCCAAGTAAATTATGCATATAGCATATATGATTTGATTATAATTTACTTGGAGCAAGACTTTGAGTTTGTTCTCTTAATTAAAAATATTCTTCTTTTCTTTTTATAAAATAAAAGAAGGTATTTGAGTAGTACTGAGTAGGTTGGTTCTTATTCACAGTTATTCAATTATACATATTCTACTTGCAACTTGATTTGCAAGTATTCTTGTCCATAAATTATAAGTAAATGATTTGATGGTATAAACTTTCAATGACTGATAATACTTACATGCTTTCTTCCATATCTATCACTCAAGTTGCCCCAAAATGTTGAAGATAACATCATTCCTAAGAATACAACTGTAGTAGTTAGGGCCTGTTGATATCTGCAAACTCATTCCTTACAATGACCTATCTGGAAAAATGAACATAGACAAGATTTTCACCTGGATATTTGCCAATCACAATGCAATGCAGGTGAGAGAATTGATAAAATCGTCATTTCCATGCTATCGGCCATCCAGCAAAGGCCCGTCCATAAGGATAATTTGACTTGAAACCATCCAAATCCTAGAGCATTCACAGCTTGTGTCACAGTAAAGGTATCTACAAAAGTAATAGAAATGTGTCGTCCTTCCGTCGTATGTTAAAATTATGTTAGGATGTTCTTACCATCAGGTACAACAGAAACGGATGCCATTTCAATTTCTTGAGGCATTACATTATTGATACTATTGAGATCTGGGGTAACGTTGGATGAGAGAGATCCATTGTTGTCATCTATATCTTGGTAACCTTTTGTTCGCTTTAATACCATTTTCTGAAGCTTTAAATTTGTCCAAAAAGATTCTCTTTCCACCTATCCTATAATTTATTTGTTTACGCAGATGATTTTTCACATAACCTCTCCATTCTGAATTGTCAAGAGTGGTGTGAAATTAGCTAGCGAATCTTCTTCTTCCCAATAGCCGAAGCTAAGAACGTCAAAACTGCAGTGCAAGTACAATTAGGAACTCTAGCCGAAGTTTCAATGGAACATGGCTAATGGCTATGCAGGTTTGTTAATCTGTGGCTATGCATCACATCAAGAACGAAGAATATTGAAGTTTAAATGAATTAAATGCGCCATTTCTGGATTCATGAAAACACTACTTTCATGCTTTTGTAAGCTCATACTGTTATTTTGATTTAACGGTATTCAAATGACAATTGGAAAGATAATTTAACAGCCTCCGTCCGTTAAAATCGTTTAACGGCCGGCGACCATCATCTGTTCCATAACAAGATTTTTCTGTTCTTTGAACATTATAGGGATCACCTTTCGTGCGCTCCAAGCAATAAAAAAATATTGCGAGGTAGGTATGTGGTTTGTTCTGTCCTCGGAATCAAAATGAAAAATCTCTCAGCGGGAATACGAAATTTCTTGAACCATACACAAATAACAGATTCGATAGTTATACAACGACATTGCCATTATATTGCTTTATACCGGGTGACCAATGTTATGATGGGGTAGTAATTGTATTGAACACAATCATTAACATAATATTCATAAGTTATGTCAATGATTGTGTTCAAGCGGCAAGTGGAACAAGAGGAGTTATGTTACAAATATGAGTTCTTGAGAAAAATAGGTTTTAGTAAAGTTAGCTGGCATTTATTGATGGAAGCTAGTTTAATAATTTGATTAATGCAATTGTGAGGAATAGTTTTAGGTTGATTTTTCATGATTTACAGCATTTTGCTATCATATCATTTTTTGATAGACATCTGGATTATTTATGCATACAATTTCTTCCATTCCGTGACATGTAGGCAATGGGCACACATCCCCTTCTTCCTCTGTGTATCTGCTCAGGTATGAGATCCTTGGTATGAGGAACACAAAAACAAATCCTGACGGGGCAAGTTACATATGCACATAACCTTCTTCCATGACAACCGAATATTTTCGGAAAATGTTACTTGACCCCTTCTTCCACTTGCCCCTTCAACTATTCCATTATATTGGGTATAAATGAAAGAGGGTAAGAGCAAAAAATGCATGCTTTTATATTAATTTATTTACACTTATTTTTGTGAAACTATAACTCAAAGGCGTTCAAGAAAGTTGATACAAAGTTGTGATTTTGTCATATAAATGTACAAAATACAAAATTCAAACTCCACAAGTTCAGGTCAAGGATTGAAAAATTGGTACACATAATTATGCAAAATTCACAAAGATCAGGTTCAATATTGATATTGGTTTCTTAATGTTATGGAATGTTATTTTTGAAAAAAAAAAATCTGTCCTATTCAACCAAAATACCTGTACTTAAGTAGAGTCCAGATGAAAGAATAAACAATTTTATTGACTATACATCAGTTACATTTACCTACCTTAGATAATCAAAACAGAAAATACAACCACTGTCAGTACATTGAATTTATTTACAATAAAATGAACAGAATAGTTTGGCCAAAATATACTGTCACAACGAAAAACTCAAGCTCAAAACAATATTAAGGCAACATTTCTAAAGCAGGAAAATTAATATCAATCATTTAATGAAACTATGCAGTGAACAATCAAAATATATTTTGATTTATTCAATCATATCTATTTCTTGGTCCACTTCTTGAAATATTAGGTAAATACATAGAATTTTCTTACACTCAATTTCCTGCTCACGAAATATATTTATGAACATGTGCACATTTAAAATATTATAAATATTCCTACAAATACATTGGTAAAAAAAATTTACCCTTAAATCACAAAAAGTATGTATCAAAATTAGGCGACATGCCTCAATTTGTCGTCCCGATTACCAAAAATCCCAATAAAAAGTTCGACCAACACTCAAACTGCTGAACACATGGATAGGTCCACTAAAACCCAGATCTCAAGATTGTCATACTCAAAATTAAAAATTTATCAAAACGCCTGTAAAATACATGAGAGTAAATCCGAAATACTATTTTATTTTACAATCCTCAGAAACTATATCCCGCAATATCCTAACTTTCATCAAATGTCCCTCAACAAACGCTGGTTTCTTCTTCTTTCTTCTCGATTTTAACAAATTGTCACATGTATTTTCTAAAAGTATCATCAACATCTTCTGCTTGTACTGAATTTATCAATGAAAGAAGTTTCTATTGGTGTTTCAGAAGGACGGTGCTCGCTAGAATCATAATTATTATTTAACAGCACATTTTGTTGGGCTCAGATTTATTTCTGAAAGTATCCCACTATGACGAGTTTTACTGTGACTTGTAAAATGACGTTTCAAATTGAACTTTTTCAGTCGATTTCTCGACAGAATGCACTGTAATGTGTGAAGTCAAATAAACCACACTGGAGTATTTTTTTCAACAAAAGTCATACTCGCCTGTATACACTCTCATGTGATTAGTTAATCTAGTCTTCATGGCGTATTTTTTTACAAAAATCACATTCGAACGGTTTCTCGCTAGTATGTAATCTGATATGTTAAGTCAAAGTCTTGATGGAGAATTTTTTTTGACAAAAAAAAAACACTCGAACGGTCTCCCGCCAGTATGAACACTCATGTGATTAGTCAAACCATTCTTACTGAAAAAAAGTGTCCTCACAAAAATCACACTCGAAAGGATTCTCGCTAGTGTGAATTATTTGGTGGCGAGTCAAAATATGCTGCTGTGTAAACTATTTATTACAAAAATCACATTCGAACGGTTTCTCGCCAGTAGGCAGTCATCTGCTGAGTCAAACCAGTCTTAATGGCAATTTTTTTCGACAAAGTCCACATTCGAGAAATTTTTCGCATATATGAACTATTGTGTTGAGTGAAACCATTCTTACTGGTAATTTTTTTTTACAAACATCACATTCGAAAGGTTTCTTACTGTTGTTAATTCTTTGGTGGCGAGTCAAATTATTCTGCTGGTTAAACTCCCTTTGACAAACATCACATTTGAGTGGTCTCTCGTCAGTGCATGATGACGCATGATGTCACTGCCAAAATACCCTTCCTGTCGAATTGCAACTGGCAAATTCTAATGGTGTTTAGATAATGGTGATTTTCTGCTAAACTTCCTTAGGCGAATATGGCATCAATGGATTTCTCGAAAGTTTGCAACACAATCAGCTGAATACATATTCAATTGTTTTTCAAATGTCAGAATAGTGATCCAATTTTCTTTGGCAGTTGGATCAGCTAGTCGTCTCACAGGTCACGGGTAACTTTATTGGGATTGTAATCAGTTCATATCTATTAGCCTCGATGTCAGACTAGGTTTTAGCACCACTTCAAATAATGAATGGCTGCAACATGGCTTTCAGTGTAATAAGTTTAGAGCCTTCATTGCAAGAGATCCAGTTCTCCATGAGGAAACACGATGGCTTGAAATAGATCAATTATATTGTTCAGACGTGAGAGGAAGTGCACTACATCAGAACACTACAATATAACTATCGAATGATCAGATCTTTGACCACAATACATTTTAGTATCTAGACCGCTAACGTCATAAAACAAATGCTCATCCAATCACAATATCGACCTGGAGACCATGAAGTATTTAGGACCTGTCATATATTTTGCTCTTCTTCATGTTTCCAAAAATTGTGACATGAGTCGATGTTATGAATAACAGTTTGGATTCGTCTGTGACTTGCACGACTTGCACAGAAGCGTTTTCAGACGAGCCATTTCAATAAGCTTTTGCGATTGTTATGTCATACGCGTAGAGCGGTTTAGATAGTATGTTATGTCAGATACAGGGCGTTAAAGTTAAGAAATAAAAATATTTGTTTCACAATATCACAAGAAAAATTGAATATAATGCATTCAACTTCGGTATATGGTTTCATCTTAGCATGGGTAATTTTTTGACCAGGAAGCTATTCCGGACATTTTATCCAGTAGTGCCATACAAGGGGTGTAGCAACTTTTCCTCCCATATTTTCTACGCCATTGTTGAATTTCAATTATTTCCAATTCCTCGAATTCATTGTTCAATTTTGTTAAAAAATGCATCACCTTCAACTGAGCTGAAATGAACAGTTTTCGAGATATTAGACCCAAAATAGAAAATTGCATAGTAATATTTCATCATTTTTAGTAGTAGAAAATTGCAAAAATATTTTTCTGGTGTTGAGTAGATTAGATACTATTCAGATCTCATTATGTAGCTGAACAGAAATAGTCATTCCACGCATAAAAAGAAAATTTTTGTAATCTTCTACTACTGCAAAAGATGAAAAATTACTATGCAAACTTCTATTTTGGGTCAAATATCTCGATAACTGTTCATTTTAGCTCAGTTGAAGGTGATGCAGTTTTCCAACATAATTGAACAATCAATTCAAAAAATTGGAAATAGTCGAAATTTCATCAGTGGCGTAGAAAATATGGGAAGAAAAGTTATCACAACCCTCTGTAGCGCACCTCTGGGTAAAATTCTCGGAATGTCTTTCTGGTCAAAAAATTAACCATTGAAAGATGAACCCATATACCGAACTTGAATGCATTATATTCAATTTTTCTTGAGATATTGCGAGAAACCTATTTTGATTTCTCAACTTCAACGCCCTGTATCTCGAGAACTGAACACTTGGAGAACGTATGTCCCTATAAAATCACGAGGGCTATCACCCGTCAAGCGTTGTCGGTCGGATTTCGCAACACCCTGTATAATTACTCTTTCACTGAACGATAGCTATTTCAGAAACTCCTTGAAAATATCCATTTTCTGTAGTTGCAAAATTCAAAGTGTTTAGAGAGAGACAATAAGAAAAATATTTGTTTCGTGAGGTTCGCGCATCCTGCACTTTTCAAAAAGCAAAAAGACCCAAATTGTCTGAAGTTGGCATACTTGCACTGCCAAAAATGTTCTGGTGGAACACCTCATGTATGTTCAGCAGTTTGAAATAACAAGAAAAACTACCCTGATCAAGAGTGGTCAGGCATGTCAGATAATTTAACGGACTACGCCATATTATTACGTAAGGTAGAGTGGCGTGGCGCATTGGCATTTTTCGTTAAAGGGCGAAAATGTGTTGAATGTTACGCATTGAACCACTACAGCAATTTGTCAAAGTATGGTGCATCTGGAAATCCAACTTGAAGATTTTTTTGTGGGTTCGGATGCTTTCAGTTGGTGACCGCCTTTGGGAGGATTGCTAGCTTCCTGTTATCAAAAAACAAGAAAATCAAGTCAATACTGGAAATTAAATGAACAATGGGCTACTGGACTAGTAGTGAATATTTGGCATTCAGTTACTCAACTGTGTCACTGAACAACTTTCTGAAAGTTGTTCGATGACTGTGTCGATACGGTCCTGAATCAATTTTTTCCTACGACTACTACTGTACTGTTGTACACAAAACAATGGCAGTAAGCTTCTCCTTACACACGTGTGCGTAAAGAGAGCGATCGCACGGTTTTCATAGGTATGTTGATAGATGACTTTGTTTTGTTGCTTAGGCGATGTGTCAATAACAATTAACAATTTCATTAATGTAATTAGCTAGGTGGGTAGGTATACTTAGAGTCCCTGTATATACCTTAGACAAGAGTCCGGACACAGCTATACTTCTGTTCTTTTCTGTTTTCAAAAAATGCATTGATGATTGAATAAAGGAATAAGACATATATATCGAGCTCTGTCTTTTCAATTCCCCTAGTATCAATGATTGTCAGAAACAATTTTGAGGGTTAGATTATATGTCAAACCGTTCATAGCCGCAGGAAGAAGTGAGAAATAGGGCTATTTTAACTAGAATAACTATTAGATTATCAAATGATGAACAACAGGGTGTTCAAATTTCGAATCGATAATTTTCATAATGAATTCCTAAGATGGCTATTGCAAATTTTCGTCATCAGATATTTCTTCACTACAGCAGAAATAGAAGTGACAAAATCAAAACAACAATATATATACCTATATTATATATAGCTAAAATGTTACCGGAAACTTTGTTTCTACCAATATTCCTGGATTGAAAGCTATGTGTTCTATTTTCCTCGATAGTGTTCTGATTGTAGGATATAGAAATTTTAATTTCAACAGGTGTTCATAACCAGTGGTACCACAAGAGAATTTGATAGCGAGTGCTTTATTAATTGTGTCGGTTTTCCAGCTCTTCCTGTAGTCTACATTCTACATTCACCTGTAAATTTTGAATTTGATCTGAATTAAAAACACCGTGAACTGATGACATAGCACATTGCAATTTCTCTAAATCTTCTAGTTTTGATTTCAAACTTTCAATTTCTTTCCGCATCATCTCATTCTCATTTTCTTTCTTTGCGATCGTATCATTCAGTGATTCTCAAGACGATGACGACGGAACTCTTTTTTTGAACGTCTCTATTTTATAAATTGACGACACAGCAGACTCTTTCAATTTGAAATCCATCAGCTTGAAAGAATCTCTATCAAAATGGTCCTAAAATTCATCTTTTTTGTCTTCCATGACATTATCTTTAAAGGATCATTCGGAAAATTTAATAACTTTTGAATCCCTTTTCTAATGAATTATCGCAATAATGTACGCAGCAGGACATTGAAATAATTCAAAATGCTAAATTTTGGCGGTCATAAAATTTCGAAGTGACAGTGACAGAAATTCGAAATAATTAAAAAAAGCGGGCGGGACGACTATGGTGTTTCGTCACATTGTCAGGTGGGTAAACCAAATGAAACAAAATATTAAAAACCCCAACGGCTGTCAGTTTTGTGTCCGGACCCTTGTCTAATGTATATACAGGGACTCTAGGTATACTTATCTTTTTATCAATCAATCCAGCTATCCACCGAAACCGAAAGAATCAGGTAGGTTATATTTTTTGAGAATATGATTATTTTCTATTGATAATTCTCAATTTCAGTTGAAAAAAATGATGTCAAGCGATGACGATGAGCAGATTATTTCTACACCACCAGAAATGTTGGAAAAAGCTAAAATGGTAAAAAATGAGTTGCTCCCGCTAAGTCTCGTGAATGATACGAAATAGCACATCAAAAATTCCTGGACTTGAGAATTAGAAATAATACCGTGTCAATTTCGGAAAATATCCTTTTAGTATAATTTCAAGAATTATCAAATTCGATGAAATCATCATCACTCTGGTCGATATATTCCATGTTACGATCAACCCTAATTTCAATCACAATATTAATATAGCAACATATCCCATTTCCTCAAAAGGGACGGATGGATTCCGAAGTAAAAAATCAAAAATACTTAATGCTGAACAGATCAATTATTTTCTGCAGAATGCTCCGGTTGAAGGTAATTTTTCAAATAACATACATACTCAACATTGAATTGATGAATTCCTTTTTCTTTAAATAACAGGAATAATTAAAAAAGATCAATCTTCGAAATTATATTTATAAAATATCTAATAATACGGAGAAATGGTGACAGCTCAGTTGTTGGAAGCGCTGGCTCCGAACCCCAAAGGCGGTGGTTCAGAGCGCAGATGGAGAACTTTTTTAAATTATTTTCAATAACGATTACAGAATCTCTCGTGCTGCACTGTTACAAATAAATAACCATTATGAATGTTAATTTTATATCTTTATACAATGTTTTTTTTGCTACCTATTAATAAAGCTGTTTGGATATGAAAAACGGCTCCATTTCAGTTCGAATTGGGAAAAATATCTCGGTTTGCAATGTATCAATAAACAAACACAAGAATTGTGATCTGTAACTTTTCATGCAGCTGGCTTAGTGACGGGAGACGTTTAATATTGGTATTTGTTATTTGTGCCTTAATACAATATCTGCACTATCCGGAAGAAAATATAGTGTAGTCGTAGAAAAAGTATAGTACAATTCTCGAGTTGTAAAGCAATTAAGCACTTGTGGAGTTACACACTCGCCGCTATGCGGCATCGTGTGTAACTGTGCTATGGTCCTCCTCTACTTAGTTACGTCAGTTTTTATTTGCGGTAAATTTATAGCCGTTTGAAAATTACCGTGACAATATTGATCTGATTGAGTGATGATTCAATTAGAAAAAGTGTCCAGTAGCCCATTGTGTTTCGAATATCAAGCAAAAATCATCATTCTTCTGCACACGATAAAGCAGTCTCCAACTTCTCGGTTGAGAAAGAGATATGAGTAAAACTTGTAAATCAGAATAGTAAATTGTAATTTTGATCACAGTTAATGTAATTCAGATTGGTGAAATGAAGTTAAAAGAATAAACAAGATGCGGAGGTCAGGCATGATGCGACCTTGAAATAATAGGATGAGGCAACCAGTCTAGGAAATTATGTTAGATGTTTATTATAGCATCAAAATCTGCAGAAGGCCACGAGGTGTCTCATTCTTTTTATGAAATATATGACAGACTAAGAAACTGTGAGTCTACAGGATACCTTTGGAAAATCGATGGAGAGTCAAGCATTCACAAACTCTATCTGAAGGCAAGAAAGAATAATTCATTAAATATTCTGCGATTCATTGTTATTATTTTATATAAGATTATCATCAGTTTCCCATCATCTATGCTAATATTATAAAGAGGAGAGATTGGATTGTTTGTTTGTTTGTATCTATTGAATAGGTTCCGAAACTACTGGATCGATTTGGCTGAAAATTGGTGGTGAGGTAGCTTGGAACCATTCAAAATTGGTATTTGGGGGATTACGGGGTCGGAAATTATGACTCTTTCGTCAGAATTTGAAAATTCGAGCGGAATTTCGAAATTCAAGATGGCGGAACCAATATGGCGGACGAGTTTTGTTATTATAATCCGATTCTTTTCAGAATTGGTACCTATAGGGGTTTTCGTGATCGGGGATTATGAAATTCTAGATGGTGGATTTTGTAATTAGGATCCGATTGTATTCAAATTTGGTATCTGGTGGTTCTCGGGGATGAAGATTATGATTCTTTCGACATAATTCAACATGGCGGACCCAATATGGTGGAAGAGTATTGTAATTATGATCCGACTCTTTTCAAAATTGTTATCTGAGTGTTTTCGGGGTGGGAGATTATGATTCTTTTGTCAAAATTTGGAAAGGGCGGGATTTGGAAATTCAATACGGTTGAACCAATATAGCTAACAGAAAACAAATACTGTTCGGCTAATACCAAAGAGTATCTGCCAAATATTGGAAATACCCAATTTAAAAAATATGAAGAAATATCTAACAGAAACCAAATACTTTTCTTGCTAATGCCACAGAATATTGAATGTGATGTACGGACAAATAATATACCTAAACCTGAGAGAATATATTGATGATTTTGAATTTTGATAAAAATGTGTTCATTAACGCTTTTATAACCCTTATCAGGGATATTGAAAAACAAACAATACATAGCGTTTTCCTGTTAGTGATAAATGCTATGTAAAACATGCAATCTAGACAGTTGAGAAGTACATCTGCAAGCAATGTACATGCATCAATAGAAAATTATTCATTCTACATGCAGCATGGCAACATCATTTCATAGTAATGTTAGTAGGATACTACACTATATTAGACCAGAGAAACAATTAATGGTTCATACTAGAAATATGGAAAATAAATAATATTCAGTTGCCTCACAAAATTAACAGGCCCCTGGAGCATCTAGCTAGAGGGTGATCCACCATAAATTTTCCCCCCTCCCTTGAAGGTACTTCATTAGAAAGATATTCGAAATTTTCAAAAGCCAGTCGGTGGGACTTTTTTCAAACATCCTCAGAGTGTAATATTCAAGTGCATACTTTCATTTAACTTGTCACATGGCATTCTGTTTAGTTTTTTCCTTATTTAATTTGGATTTTCCGTAAAATCATGTTATGCTTTAAAAAGGTATTTTGGCTGGAGTAATAGGAATAGTGAATACAAAACAGAAATGTTGAAAACAGATTATGCTACAGTGTAATTTCAATTCTAACTTGATACTGTAACTATTACACTCTATAAGATATTACTAATTTTATGAAAAAAAAAACACCCTGTAATTTCTACACCTAGTATGTATAAAATAGAGGTTTTTATGTGAATAAAATTTGTACCCCAATATTCAGAAGGAAATAACCTGTCATTCAAAACAAACAATATCCAAATACTAGAATTACTTTTGATGAAAATATTGCCCAAACTTTTTGCTACATTTTGGTGGTGCTAATTTCTTGGAGACGTTTATATTTGAACTCAGGGAGTAAAATGGGAATTTATGGTGAATCACCCTGTAGTGTATAGGTTGCAAGAATGAAGTTTAAAAATAAAGCAAAATCTCACAAAACTGAAAATTATATTATATGAACCATAAATGACTTTTTATAGATCAAGCATGCCTACAGAGAAAAATACTATTTACCTTCTGCCAAGAGTAGGGTGAGCAAGAAAATACAAGATATATTAGAACACATTGAATTATTTTAAATCCAGAATAAGTCCAAGTCTTTCCTACCCAAATGTTAGATCACATGAAAGTAGAAATTTAAGTTGAAGATGTGAAACTTATAGCACATGATCTGATACCACATTTTTGTCAGTATAAAATGGAAAATTTAAACTTGAATACCTATGTATTTTGTTAATCCTTTCTAATTTCAAAAGGGAAAAATGACCAAGCAGTGTTGTTTCAGATAAAATAGCAAGATAGTTTGTAATTTATTGAGAGGGTTATCTGTCCTGTCATGTCAATAGTCCAAAATACAAGGTGTCCCAGAACAACATGCCATAAATTCTACAAAGTGAAGGCAATGTGAACCGTTGATCCATTAGAGCACAGTTATTAGGGGGTTTGAAGAACAACTTCATTTCCAGATTTTCTTGAAAATAAAATTCATAGGGGAATTTACTATGGTGAGTGAGTATAAAAAATATATCTCATATTAATTTAATCAATATACAGAAAGATAAGTACTTATTTCACATTCTCTTTGATGAAAACTGATATAACTTTTTTGAACTACCACTGACATACCATATCATGATATATCAATGAATGAGAAAATCAATAATCCAACTTTCTTGTAACTGCAGTTTTTTCATAATTTTGCTTGGATTTCAAGATATCTAACATTGATTCATTTTGGTGCTTCTCCATACTTATTATGATGTGTCAGGATCATCATGTTCTACAAGTTTCTATCTCATTTGTGTTGAGTTATTTATGAACTACTTTAGCATAATGATGATAAGGTTTTTCTCATCTCCAAATTTAATTTTTTTCTCAATGTTTTTTTTAGGAATTAAATTTGGATATGACCAGCTCCCAGATCATATGATGATGAGCTTGCAAAATGATGACCATGGATATTGTGATCAATACCTTGACACAAAAGAACTAGAAATTTGTAAAACATGATAGGTACTCCTGAGATTATAAACACTTATCCAGAAGTACCATAATTGATTTTGTTAGATATCTTGCGAATTATAAAAAAACTGCAGTTAGATAAACATGTGATAATTGATTTTGTCCTTCATTAAAATATAGAAGTGCTGTGAATGGCACACTTCAAAAGTTACTTCATTGTTATGGAAGATAATGCAAAATATTCATCTCCATGTATATTCATTGATTTGGTATGACATGTTTTTCATGCACATTCACAATAGTAAATTGCCCTGTGAATTTTAGAACAGTACCTTTCAAGGATTTTAAAATATTCAAGAAAACCTGGTAGTAAAATCATTCCAGCATTTTCCTTTAGGGAGAATAGTTGATTTTATTTGGTATATTTCTGTGTCTAGCTCTCCCAGAATAATCAGTATGGTGTGGTATGTTGTTTTGGGACGCCTGGTATAATTGAAAATATGATCAAAGAACACTCACCAATTTCTTCTCCATTTTTGCTTTGATGTCCCTAGCCAATGTGAAAAAGGCATCCTCAACACGAATACTGGCTTTAGCACTAGTCTCTATGAATTTAATACCATATTCAATAGCAAGTTGTTCTCCCCTCTCCTTTGAAACTTGTCTTTTTTCCTCCAGCTCACATTTGTTTCCTAACAACATTTTTTCTACGTCTGCTGAGGCATTCTCCTCAATATTTCGGATCCAGTTCTTGATGTTTTCAAAACTCTTTTCATTAGTTATGTCATATACAAGCATTATACCCATTGCTCCTCGGTAATATGCAGTTGTGATGGTTCTGAACCTTTCTTGACCAGCTGTATCCCTAAAACAAATCAAAAATTCATCAGAATCAGACATCAATAGTTTACTGGTGTGCTCACCATATCTGTAACTTTATTTTTTTCCCATCTAGATCTATTGTTCTTATTTTGAAATCGATACCTGAAATAATAGTATTTATTATAATAGGGTAATTCCTATCAAAATATTATTTCTGTTGGCAATCAGCAAGTATTTAAGATTTTATATCATCTAAATTTTCTTTTCCAGTACAGAGCTGTATCTATGGGACTAAATATATTCCAATTCAAATAAGGCTTATTTTCTTTATCATAATGCAGCTTTTGTTCTCAAAGGGAAGGTCAAGGTAGAGTCCAATACAATAATTATCATGTGTTCTGTCAACACATTGAAAAATGTATAATGTAAAGAGTTATTAGGATGCAAATGTTTAATAAATAATGTAAACTACAAATCAAATCACAACTAGAAATACATAAACAATTTATGACACAACTCCAAACATAACATAATTATAATTAATTTGTTTAGGTCACCAAATTATAGCATAGTACTCATGGTAGAGAAGCATTACTCATTCCAGGTTTCAAAGAATTCCATTGGGATACTGACATCAATTAATTATAGATTATGTACATCATATTCAATTGAAGGCAAGAATAATAATCTTCTTTATATTCTTACAATCCTCTGTATTAGGTGTGGTTGAAAAAAAAAAACAGTGGCCTAACCAACAGGAAATACAGGAAGGGTATATGATCCCAGACGATGTTATTATAATGTTATCGATGAATATCCTCAATTTTAACCTTCGATATCATATGTTTGAAGGTCTACAGGTGAAACATAATATTAAAATACCATTCTGACTCACCTATTGTGGAAATAAAGGTTGTATTGAAAGCGTCTTCTGAAAACCTGAAGAGAACGCAAGTCTTCCCAACTCCCGAGTCACCTATTAACAGTAATTTAAACAAATAATCGTAGGTTTTTGCCATGATTTGCCACAAAACACTTTTTGATCTAACAACCCGGGCACTTTTTGAGCACGACGAACTTACAACTTCCTTTTTTACATCTATAAATATCACTAGAATATTATTATTTCGTTTAAAACAAAAAACCCTGACACTAGTGTGACACTTCACGATCGTGTACACGTCTTCCGTACGATTGGTTGCCTACAATTCGGAACAGTTTAATTAAATTTGACGTTAATCGTGCTTCAATGGTTGCATAATGACGAGTGAATATCTACACTCCCTTTTTTGAGACAACTCTGATTCTCATAAGTGAGCTTTATTCTCAAACTGGAGAACGTATGTATTTATGGTATTTGTTATGTGTACCACAAGAATGTACCAGGCTGATATATGCATGATCAAAGAAGAAATTTTCACTCACCCTGACCCTACCAGACTTGATATTTGAATCTATATGGTATAGTAGGAGAGCCAGCTGCAAACTTCGACCGTCATCTGATAACGAAATGTTATACAGGGTGTTTGGTAGCTGGGTGCAAACCTTGAAGGGGGTGATACACTAGCTCATGTAGAACATATTTATACAAACTTTTGCGATTTTTAGTACAAATACCCAACATTTATCAATTAAATGCTAATAACTTCTAATCTTATCAGAAATGTCCGGTTTTGTTCATTTATTTTAGTAGTCTTATGTGTCCCCAATCGTACTAAAGTAGTCTGAAGCACCATTGTGTCCAAAAAAGTTATGTGCAGAGCATTTAAACTTTACAAAAAAAGAAAGAAAATAAAAATTCTGACCTTTGATGCCAATTAAAAAAATAAATAAAATACACACAGGTGTTCAGACACTTTTAAAAACATGCGTAGTTATTGCTCTTTCGTTCGAGGTATCATTCATCTAGCTAAATCCTGAACTTTTCAAATTAGGGTACCTGAACCAGTTAAAGGTCGTAAATATAGATTTTTTTGGAATTGAAGAAAAAAATGTTTTGTACTGTAAAAATTCATTGTTGGTGTTCAAAATGTCCTCCACCATTGCGTATACACTTTCTACAACGATTTCGTACTTCAGTTGTGGTTACTTTCATTTGCATTTCCTGTTTCATAATTTCAAACGCTGCCTCTATTCGCTGAAGTAATTCTTCTCTCGTGGTGATTTCTGTTTTGTATAAGAGTTCTATCACCCGACCCCACACAAAAAAAAATCCAACGGAGTCAGGTCGGGTGATCTGGCAGGCCAGGGAATGGGTCCGTCTCTCCCGATCCAGTTGCCAGGAAAACAGTGGTTCAGGTGTTCGCGGACGCTTACAGCCCAATGTGCTGGGCATCCATCTTGCTGAAATGTGATCGGCCTGTCCATGTCCAATTTTGGCACTTCGGCATCATAGAGTAACATTGGCAAGTCGTTTATCATGAATTCGAGGTAATTTTGTCTATTCAAATTGTCAGGCAAAATGTGTGGGCCAACCAATGTGCGTCCGATGACCCCAGCCCACACATTTATTGGAAATTTTCTTTGGAAAGGGATTTGAAACAAAAATGTAATAAAATTAGTAAATTTAGGTAATTGAACACGTGTTGAACATGGGTAATAAAATAATAATAATAAAAATCATTCATTTAGCTTGTTTGGCCAACCAAATCGACCCGGCGAGGGGTCCAAGATGATTACTCAACTCAGGTACCTAAAAATTGATAAACTCAGAAGCAACTTTATGGCCCCAGCATAAAGAATGCATTCCAATTAATGACTAACTTCAGGTCAAATTCTTTGTTGTAAAATGCCACCGCCACCGGTTGGGCTAAGTTTCTCATTATTCCATGTAAGCCTAAAAATAATATCGCATATTGCTTTAGGATTTCTGTTTAAAGGTTTTCGAGCTAAAATTCATTCAAATTACTTTTTTTTTAAATCTTTCAAATATCTATATTTACAACCCTTAACTGGTTCAGGCACCCTAACTGAAAAAGTTTAGGACTTAGCTAGATAAATGATACCTCGAACGAAAGAGCAATAACTACGCATGTTTTTAAAAGTGTCTGAACACCTGTATCTATTCTATTTATTTTTTTAATTGGCATCAAAGGTCAGATTTTTTATTTTCTTTCTTTTTTTGTTTAAAGTTTAAAAAAAAAGTTTAAATGCTCTGTACATAACTTTTTTTGACACAATGGTGCTTCAAACTACTTTAATACGATTGGGGACACATAAGACTACTAAAATAAATGAAAAAACTGGACATTTCTGTTAAGATTCGAAGTTATTAGCATTTAATTGACCAATTTTGGGTTTTCGTACTGAAAATCGTAAAAGTTCCCTTAAAAATCAAAAACGCGCTAGAAAATGAAAATGTTTGTATGAATATGTTTTACATGGGCTAGTGTATCACCCCCTTCAAGGTTTGCACCCAGCTACCAAACACCCTGTATGTTCCGATGGCATTTAAAAGCATTGAAACATTGTATTTTATGGAATGGCACCTATTCCAATTACTATCCGGAGCAAATTTATTGAAAAATTAAATTTTCCTTTGCGATAATTTGCACTCAATTTGGCGATTTGATAACTAGATGAGGATTATGCCATCCGATATCAATTCAATATCCACACAGCACAGCGATTTATTTGTTGCCATTATTCCGGGCATACTTCCGTCATGTAATTTTTTTTTATGGTCTGGTTCCCACGAAAAGGGATATCCTGTAATGTTCAGAGAACATCGTGAGAACCAAGGGAAATAAGGTAGGAATTGGTGTTCTTCTTGAGTTTCTGGAGGTTATATGCTTCGGGGAACACCTCCGGTGGCAATGTATTCCAGAGCCTCGCTGTTCATTGAATGAACGAGTCTTTGGAAAAGCGATGTTCTGCAGGTCTCCAAAGTGACCACGAAGGGGCGCGAAGCCTCAATTCGACGGGTTTATCTCGCTGGGACTGCCAAGGGAGGAACAACTGTTGATATTTCAGAAGGGCATCGTCCATGGAAATATTTATAAAATAGAGTCAGATCGCCAACTTTTCTACGGTGTTCCAGAGAAGTGAGTGAGTTTTGTGAGCGAGGCATCACCCACGAGACGAATTGCCCTTTTTTGTATAGAATCCAACAGTTTCAGAGGGTATGTTTGGGTGCTGCACTCCAAATATGGGAACAGTATTCCAGGACTGGTCGGATCTGTGACTTATAGATCATAAGCAGTTATTGACTGGAAGTGAATCGAAATAGCTCCTGGCCCGAAACAGAAAACCAAGTTTTTGGGATGCGCTTTATTTAGCAATTGATCTCACGTGATTTTTTCAAGGAAGGTTATTATTGCTGATAATGATACCAAGTATCGAAATGGATGTCTTCAAAGGTATGATTACTCCTGACAAGCTTATGTTGGGCACAGTGAGATCGGTTTTTCTAGAGAAAAGGCATGCTTGTGTTTTGTCTGCATTGAAATCTATGAAGTTATTGGATTACGAGTTGCAACAAAAAGCAAATGAAAGGGGATAATATTCCGCCATTTGCGAATATCCAAATATATCGCCCCGGTCGAAAGAGACCAGTGCAAAACTCATGTGGTGCTGATTCAGTAATATATCTTTAGTTTTACACTGGTCCATCGGATATTATCTTAGAGAGGGGCGAAATACTCTCGGAAATATTTACATTCTGTCACTAACTCAGATCAGTTTGTGTCGCGGCACGTTTGGATATTTTCTAAAGGGACATTATCTCCATCCATTTACTTTATGTTTCCACTCGTTATCACATGAAGAATATATGACCGGAATAATGGCAGGAAATAAATCGCTTTTGCAGCCAGATTTTGGACTAGTTTTACATATTATGCATAAAATATATTTGAATAAGGAAGCAAATAACAAAATTTCCTGAAATGTAGAAATTGCCGCCTTCTTAGCTATTTGGGAAACATCGATGAAATAACGCTATACGCTATAATTACTTACACCAAGTTTACCTACGACAGCGGACAGATTGATGCTTCTAAATGACTGATGAGTTAATTAGATTCCATAGCTGCTATAAGAGTGTAGTTGAATTTTAAAATTTTTAGGTACCATCAATACACCTGTAGGCTAGAGCAGTAAATGTATACAACTCGATCATTAGCGCGCAAGACCTAGGTATATATATATATGTAATATCATAGATTAAAGAGACTCTCCAATATTAATTAAATGAAGTGGATTGAAAAAGAAGATGAAATGGGCTTGGATGTGAATAAGTGGAATAGCGGAATAGCGAATTCAATTTCATTAATAGGTTTTTCAATCACCTGTTGCCAAGTTATGAAAAATTGATGATACCTATACGATATCGTGAATAAATTATCTGCCCATCTTTATGATTCATTAATTTTCTGCATAAGCCCAAAGAATACCTAGTTGATACATAATAAAACATGCTTATAATCTGGCCTACTCAAACTTCCAAGATTGTATTCTGAATTAAATGATTCGACGCCATAAGAATGATGAGTAGAGGTATTATACCCAAGTTTTTTTCATGTGAGGAATCGTAATTTCGTATTAATTTTTATGTAACATCTACAGGGCGCTCCGTACGCTGTCATTATTTATTTAAAATTGCCCTAAAATTTTTTACAGTAAACTTTTGGTACTTTTCATGAAAAAACCTCATTTCCACACCTTTTCCAAGTAAAAAAGGTACACTTCCTCAACAACGCTGGCAGGTGATCATTTTCGTGATATTTATATTATACGATATTCTATATCGGTGCATGTTACATATTGGCTCCCAGGGCGCTTAGTCAAGTTGCTGAGAACATTACAAAAACTAAGTATGTATATGTGGTGACTCTCGTCAAAATAAACTACTTTTTTCCCATGAAATGTTGATCGAAACATTTTTTTTCGTGTATAACACCCGTAACAACAGTTTCAGGGTATGTTTGGTTGCTGCACTCCAAATATGGGAACAGTATTCCAGGACAGGTCGGATCTGTTGCCTTACAGATCATAAGCAGCTGACTGGAAGTTAAATAGCTCCTGGCTTGAAACAGAAAACCAAGTTTTTGGGACGCACTTTTAGCAATTAATTGATCTCACGTGATTTTCCCAAGAAAGGTTATTGCTGATAGTAATAACCAAGCATCGAAATGGATGTCTTCAAAGGTATGGTTACTCCTGACAAGCTTATGTTGGGCACAGAGGGATCGGATTTTCTAGAGAAAAGGCATGCTTGTGTTTTGTTTGCATTGAAATCTACCAAGTTATTGGATCCCCATTCGACAATTATTGTTGCCATATTTATGTTGTCATCATTTCTTCTTCGTTCGTTTCTGATTTGCCTGGCTGGTATTGGAGCCCTGGAAAAGAAGGCAGTATGGATGGTACCTACTATCATCCGATCTTGCATGTATATATTCTACTTCCCAAGATCCCAATGATGAGGCTCGAATTTGGGACAGCCTGTACAGTTTTTGAAGCTCCATGATGTAAAAAAATCGACATCGGTGAATTACAAAGTTCATTGAGGTGTCCCGCTTTCAAGAGGGTCACTGTACGTATATTCAGCGATACTTGTGGGGGGGAAACATCTGTATAGTATTAAATATTGCCCCTCTTGATTCCCCCTATGGAACCGCCGATGATTAGGATATTGTTTATATCCTTCTGCGAACGAACGAAAAGTGCAATAACACACATAATATGAATATTTCGCGCATGTCTATTTACTCAAAACGTATGTCGACGCTACGGAGTTTGTTTATACAACCGCCGCGACGCTGATAAAGATAACAAGCGAATATTGTGCTCGCACAGCGTACTTTTCGCAGTTTTCAGGAAATTTATTCATTCTGAATTACGGAATTATTGAAATGGTCGTATCCACCAGTACGGAAATCGTTTTGAGGAAGTGACGGTGAATCAAAAATTACTTTATGTAAGGTAAAGTAAGTCCCTACTTTTTTAATTTCATCCAAGTAACATTAGTTCTTTCTATAAAAGAAGTTAATTGTATGAAGTAGTAAAAAAATTCTCAGTCATCAGTCGATTTTGTGACATGTAACATTAAAGTTAATCTTAAAATAAGTGGAATTATTGAGAAGAAAAAAGTTTATTCATGCGTAATCGCAATTGAGTTTGAGAACAAAAAAATTCATGAATTATCAAATGCTGAAAGCACTTAGCTGATGATGAACCTATATCAATTAGAAACATGTCCTTAAATCGCCTTAGATTTTCTGTAGATTTGACAGGATGCTTTTCTGCTACTTCAATATTATAGTTTTTTTTTTCTTTTTTTTTTACTGTAAAAACACAAAACAACTGCTATTCCTTAACTGTTTTTAATAAAACAGTGAGGTTCATGTAAGCAGTATGTCTTCCATTCTCATCTCAAAAACACTATATAGTGTGTTGCAGTATTCGCGCCTATACGGTTTATATTGCAAATTCCATATACCCGTGAGAAATGATTGTCATTCCGTGATCGTTATACAATATACTATTTCCACTCCAACACAATGATGTTATATACATGACTTATTCTAATATCAATGAGTATAATAGCTATATAGTTTCTGAGCTCAAAATATGAAGATATAACTCAAATTCCCTACATAAAATATGTCTCCTGTCTGAGTTACAGGGTGTTTTATTGAAAATTTAAAAATTAACGTATTATAGTGATATTTTGTGGGAAGTGTAGATACTATACACCCTACTTAATTATGTAAAATAAACTTTTCTGGTTATACTACCAGAGGCGTACGACAGGGGCAAGTGACTGTTTGATCCTACCCAAATTCTACGCCACTGACGGAATTGCCATTTTATCACAATCTGCCGATTCTTCAATACTTTCTAGGTAAATTCATTATTTTCCGAGTTCAGTCCATTGTACCAGTATATGATCTGATGAAGCTGCTGTATGTTAGCGAAATATGTCATGTGGAATTGTGTGAAATAGAAGTTTTCCTTTCAAGCCTTTGACATGAAAAAATGCACCTCTTCGATTATCGTCATGTAGAATTGCATCCTGAAAAAATGCAATAATCATTATTTCAATAGCTTCGATGGTCAATGAAACGAATATTTAGAAACTGGGAAGAAATTGATAATTGGTTGATCGAAATTGATCGAAAAATTTTGATTCAACGTTTCGAGTGCCAATCAGTTTATTAGAATAATTCTAAATTGATTTTCTAAATGCGGAATAAAACGAATTACAGGCTGGAAATCGAGTAAATGTTGTTGCTATTATGAGGAGACACTCAGTGATATGATTGAAAACTACTAAAGATCGAATATGTAGCAATTTGCTAATTCGTATATTAATAAGTAGGGCAGTTATCTTTTTCTAGAAAAATGTCAGTAGGTTTCATTAATTTTTGTCTTCTGGTTCATATATGTTCATTATATTTTCCTAGACTTCAAAGATCGTTTTTTGTTTCTTTCACGACAATGATTCGCTATAAAGAATGAACTTATTCCAATAAGCACACCCTGTTTATACATAGCTGTTGCTGTTAATCTTGTCGCATTCACAAATTCTCAACCATCATCCGACTAACAATAATGTTTTTTCTGTACTCTAGGTGCACACCTAAAAATTTTAACCCACCACACCATGCTCGGGCTCCTTCGAATGACCCGATAGGCTAACAAACCTTCGAACTACTCCCGTCCACCGAAAATGTCTTCTCAAGAAGACATAAATCCGGACAGTTCGCCGGACTCTCCCGGCTTCAACAAGGACGCGGCCTTCGAAGCGAAGCCGAAGCCGAAGGCCATCCGGGTTTTGACCGTGTTAGCGTACGTCCTCAGCGTCTCGATGGCCGCCATCATGCTGTCCATTTACTATATTTTCATGTGGGACGGCCGGCCCCACATAGGGGCCAGGCGAGGCGGGCCCGAAGCGGGCCACGAGAGTTTCAGGTGAGCCAAAGGAATATAATAATATAATGCTCTTCCGCAGAGCGAGTGATTAAACAGAGGTTACAGGAATTTATCGACGTCAACGAGCTGATACCAGACCCAGCGAGCACAAACATCCCTGGGATGTTTTGGGATGTTTTGAAAATGTTGGCATGAAGATGTTATTTTGAGACATAATATGCACTGACCAAAGAGTTCTTTGATGGATATTGAAGTATTGTTTTTGTTCTTCTATGGCATTTCTTTGTTTGCCTACTGAGAGGTATCCCAGTGGGATGTTTTGGGATGTTTTAGAAATGTAGGCATGAGGATGTTTTTTTGAGGCGTAATATGCACTTCCCAAAGAGGTCTTAGAAGGATATTGAAAGTATTGTTTTTGTTCTTTTGTGTCCTTTCTTTGTTTGCCCCACCACAACGTCTCATGCATGCTTACGTCACAATACGATGAATTCTGATTTGTTTTCGATTTTGTTCTTCTTGTTCGCAATTGGCATTCGCGTTTGCAGCGTTGTCACGCTTCCATCACGCTGCTAAGGAACAGAAAGGAATTTGGTGAAGTTTATTGTGTTAGAAGACTTATTTAGTTTGTAATACTGACCATCAGATGCAAGATGTGTTGTTCGGTGCCTCAGTGTAATCAATATATAAAAGTTCGAATTCATCAATACACAGCTTCTCCGCAGTTGCAAAATTATGCATTGTGGAGAACATTTCAAAAATTGGGAAACCTATTTCCAATTATATGTCTGTGTGTAGTAAGCACTACTCAGAAACCGATTAAGAAGGTAATTTCATATCAACAAAATATTTTTATGTTCAATCTATTTTCAAATGCATTTTTTCATTCAAGGGAAATGGAATCCTAATGCAAAAGTTCATTTCGACAAAAAACTTCAGAAAAGTACCTCGAAAATGTTTTTTTTACAGCAATTTAATGTGCGCAAGACGCGTTGAGAATGTTCTGTTGTGTCCATGAAAAGGCTTTAAAAAGAACTAGGGAGAAGGCGGACATTGGCTGTTCTATAAAAGTTCTATTCATGTGTGAACAGAACATCGCAGTAGAGGTTCAATGTCTCGAAATCTCGTACTTTTAACATCTCTGAGATGTTTTTGTGCTCGCTGGGGATGAGCAGTTCGGTTTCAGAACTGGCCACTCAACTGAACTACAAGTCTTGAGACTCATTGAGAACACAATATCGTTGAGAAATGATAGACAAAAGACCCATCTTGCTCTCCTTGACATTGCGAAAGCATTTGACAAGGTGGCATGATGGTATCTTGTATAGAATGATCGATATGGGCTTTCCCGACGATTTGATTCAGTTGATGTGTTCATTTCTGAAAAATCGAACTTTTCAAGTGAAACTTGATGATCAACGATCTGGTATCAAGCACATTGAAGCTGGTGTTACTGAATTCTCTTCACTAAGATGAAAGATCAAATTGAATCCTACAAAAACACAATTGGTCGCACTCGGAAGGGAGCGGAGGCCTCCCAGAACCAGAAATAGTCCTGGATGGTTATGAGTTAGAGTGGTCTTCACAAGTTAAATACTTAGGTGTGTGCATTGACAAAAAGCTCACCTGGGCCCAGCACATTGAACAGCAAGTTTCAAAAGCTAAACGAGCCATTGGAGCCCTGTATCCATTTCTGAACAGACGAAGTAAATTGGGTTTGGGACAAAAATTGAATATTTACATCATGGCTATCAGGCCAATTTTACTGTATGCCTCGGTAGTCTGGGGCCACACAGCTAAATCTCATATCACCAGATTACAAACATTATAAAACAAATTCGAGAATGGTGGAAGGATCTCCTTGGTATGTTCGGAATAACCAGATCGCCAGGGATCTGAAACTCCCTTCAATCGTGTCAGTCATTAAAGAACGAAACATCAAGACTTTCGAAAAAGCTGAGGTTCATGGGAATCAGCTTCTTCGAAATGCAGTTGATTATGACCCATGTGATCAATCAAAGTTCACAAGACCGAGATTGTCTATATACTAGAGAAAATATCGATATTATGACCAAATTTCTCAAGTTTTTGATATTTATTCATTCCGTTCGATCTTTTCCAATTCTCAGAATGTATTTCTGAAACTTAATTTGGGGCAGAAGGGCTGTTCTACGACACTGACTATATTTCAAATCGATTGTACATATCGACTTCTGTCTTAGTTCAAATATTAAAATTTTCATTTTCGAATGGGGACATTGAACATGAACTTTCGATGAATGGGTCACGTGACTATCCCTGTATAAACTGGAGGAGGTTCAACATTCGTCACATTTAATTAGTATATCTCGAGAATTGAAAAAAAATCGAAATTTCGACATAAAAGACAAAATTCTGAAATGAAAGCCGAAATGTTTGTTTTTATCTCTTGGAGAACACGAAAGGAAATTCCTATAGTGTTCGACGAACATCGTGAGTTCCTAGGGAGGATAGGGAGAGAGGGTAGGTGTTGGGAATTTTGTTGAACTTTATATCCCATACGGACGCCATTGGTAGGAATATTGAAAAATCTCCTGCTGTAAAAAATGGCTATTGGTGCTTAGCGGGTGCATGTCATGAAAAGATCTAGAACAGAATTGAATTTATTTCGAAACTTTGATCAACGATTTTTGAGGAACGTTAATGTTATCGTTAAAAAAATCCAGAGCCGGAATTGGAAAACTCATTTTCTTTTTAGATGTTAAAATTTCGACCTTCTGGATGGTATTCTCCAACAACAATTATCCGATTCAGGAAAATCTGAATAAACCCTACAAGTGTGGCACTTCGACCGATTTGGTAAAAAAATATTGAACAAAATTCTGATGAAAATGAATATTTCTTCAATTTTGGTCCTGACACCTACCTCCTCTCTACATTTGACCAAATATATTCAAATAATTTTGTTTGTATATTGATATAGCAGCTGAGAGTTGAGAAAAGTTATTATCCAATAAAAAAATCAGGAATGGACTTGGTTTCTGGAAAGGAATACAAAACAATTATAATTTCTATATCCTCCAGGATTTCGAAAATTGCTTGGAATTCATCAATTAATCATCAAAAAGAACAGTCTGTAAACGAAAAGTAAAACAATCAGGTCATGAAATGATGACGTCCACTAGGTTGGACATATAGTTTTTCCGATTCTGACTGAAATATTTTGTTATTATATATTTACATTGCTGATTATTACGATAATCCAGATGTCGATTTACTAAATTTTTTCTAGTGCCTCCAAAAAATTTTCTGACAGGAACAAGATTGAAGTCTTCAGCAACCATTTTGAATTAGTGCAAATATGATTCAACATATATAGCATGAACCCGTGATTTTTTTCGCAGGAAGTGGTAACACTAAAGATATGTCAAAATATGTCTGATTTTGCCAACTAAATATAATCATATAGTTAATGATAAAACATGGAATATTTCCATTGCTTACAACTACGTATTCCCCCTGTCCACTCTAGTGGCCATTATGCATGAGAGGGTCAAAATGGATTAGAAGAATCTAGAAATTGTTGGATGCATTGATGTACAATTTATTAAAAAACGAAAAAAAAACGACTGAATCGTCAATTTGATTTTTTTTAGCATTCCAATTCAGTTCACCGAATCAGTGAAATCAGTAGAAAATTTCACAGAACCTCATCACTATATGCCAAACCTCAATTATTTCACCAGAAGAAACTCTTCAGCAAAAATAGAAAAGTGGAAAGCAAATGAGAAGCCAGTTGAACGAACGGATGGAATCTTCATATCTTCTTCTTCTCCTTCATTCTTCACACATTCAGTTGAAAATAATAGTATTGATTCAGTTGAAAATCATAGTACTGATGAGAATAATACATATTATCATGAGACTACAGGTAAGAATCAACAATCTCGATTTTTTTTAATCCTTCTATATTTTCACCTCCAATGCCCTGCCCTATTATGAACAGAGACCTCTAACGATGTTCAGAGGAATTTTTCAATTCAGAATTTGTAATTATGAGATGGTAGATTGTGATGTTTTTCTGTAAAAACACCACGTCGAACGTTGGTTGAAAATCGTACTCATAAATTTATTTGATAGGTTTCTCCCATCATCTCGGTAATTTGATACATTATATCACCCCCGTCCTGCTGTGTATTAAGGTCACATTTGTTACATAAGTCTTAATTGAATTACCTACTACAACCTACAATAAGTTATATCCAGGATTAAATACAAGGACGTCGGCAAAAAGGGAACTTTTCATACGGGTAGTCCTCTTCCCCATTTTTTATAGTATAAATAAAGTAGTGAAGCCAGCATTATTCTGTATCCTGTTAGATATCAAAATGATAATGATGCATTCTTAAACAGTCCTGTCAGCCAATCGTGATGAGAAAAAATATCAAATCGACCAATAGCATCAAAATTACACTGACGATTTGTTAGCAGCAAATCACAGCGATATCATTCTTCACATTAAAATGTCTTCATGAGGGCTTCAAATATAATACAGGTATTGCTAATGCCATAAAGAAATATTCAATCATCTTTGTGCGAAAAACAAAAGATTGCGATGAGACGAATTGATTATATCGATTTTTTTTATTTTTAGCTCAACAAACATCCTCCTGAGTATTCAAAGGTATTAGATAATCTTGTAACTACATCATTATATAGAGGATATTCGGTTAGCAAAACCCATAAACAAACCTACTGGTATACATAACGATCAGCAAGTTCTTTTGATATATAATTTAAATTTGAGGTTGAGGTATGGGGTGTATTTATAGGCTGTAGCCCTCAGAGAGGCATCAAATTATATGTACAGTATGATGCAAATGTATGGAATAAATTCATTTCAAAACAAGACGACTTCCGAAAAAAATCCAAAAACTAGAGTTCAGAACTTTTTTTATTATGTATTTTTTCAACTAGACGACCCTTCGATGTTCAATTCTCAGTAGCAGACCTCTGCAAGATTCAGTTAACCAAATGATAATCCATTTCAATTGCAATATTCTTATGCAAAATTTTGACTGTTGGATAGACGATCAGTAGACCTTTCAAACGAGGTGTCACATGACCCCTGCTTGTATTTGAAAAAATCGTCCATTAGGTCATTACTTCTACACCAGTGACGTAACATCTCTCATATGAATGTCATGAGATGAGGCTTCAAAAATTAAAACTCACGTGTTTTTGGAATTTCTTCAAATGTCGCCCATTTCTGAAATAATGAATTTATTCCATACATTTGCATCATACTGTATATATGAATTGTGTTTGATATATTTCATGGCATCCTGTGCACAAAATCATCAGGATACTTCTATTTCAAAAACTGATCGTATTTTCTCTTTGCCCATGTCCCCGTATTCGCAGTTTCGAAGAATTTTATGTAAAGTGTTGGACAAATTGGACCATTTTTGAAGGAAAGGTCTTTACTAATTTCGAATAACAAATATGTGAACACGATGTCTGCCAAAATGTCAATTTTAATTACAAAATGATAACACCGCATATTGGTGTGTCATCGTTTCAGAGTATCAATATAAAAGGTACAGGGTGATTCGCCATAAATGTCCCCCCCTCTAGCTCAGTTATTTTTGAACCGATTGCAAAATTTTAAATATCTAAAATGATTTTCGATAGAGTTTTTTTAAATGGAACACCCTATTTCCCATCGTATTTTTAGATTCTCCCTGAAGAGCTGATTTCATCAATGTATCACACTTGGGGTCTAGCGAAAATGATTACAGAGATATAGGGGTGTTAAAAATCCAGATTTTTCAACTAACGAAACTATTCATTATCGGTCAAAAGGGCTTTCATGTCCGTATCTCAACTTCTGATTTACTATCTACTGACATTCAATAATTAGAATAAATACAGGGTGGTCAGAATTCTGAATCTTGAGCCACACTGTATTTGTTCCAATTAAATGTCAGTAGATAGTAAATGAAGAGTTGAGATAGGGATATCAGAGCCGTTGTGATCAATAATGAATAGTTTCGACACAAAAAAATCCTAAACTTGAAAAATATCGATTTTGAACACCCTATATCTCTGTAATCATTCCCGCTAGACCCCAAGTATGATGTATTGATGAAATCAGCTCTTCAGGGAGAATCTAAAAAGACAATGAGATACAGGGTGTTCCATTTGAAAAAATCAGGTTGTATTCTGTAGATCGTTTGTTCCGAGCTCCCTGTATTTTCTGATGCAACGGGAAAAAAAAATTCTGAAAAACCATTATAGATGATTTTTCAAATTTTTTAATCGGTTCAAAAATGAGTGAGCTAGAGGGGGGACATATATGGTGAATCACCCTGTAATTATACTTTTCTAAAATGTGCATTTTTGAAAGGTGAGTAAAACTATTTTTTTTTACGAACATTTTCTTGTTTCCATGATAATGTCAATACTTTGGAAATACTTTCATAAGAACAAATAAATTAAGACAAAAAAAATAGTCTCAACGGCTATTTTTCAACAAATGCACATTTTCAATTCACTATGATTCACTCGACTTCCCCTTCAGAATTTTCCAACTTGGCTCACCGAGTACATATTTTGATGAAACCCCATATTCGGGTATTTGAGACATGAACAAATGCAGTGTGCAATCATTTTTCAAAATGAAATAATGCCTAGAGGTTCTATTGTTTCCTCATATTTGAGATGTAATTTTCATCACAGGAGGCTATAAAATATGATATATCAGACTCAATTTCATAACATTTTTTAATAATTAATTCTACTCTAGAGTGGTTACACTTGAAGCGTGCAGAAACATTAAAAAATTAATTAGAAAATATAGCGTGCGATAAAAACATTTATCATAAAATTGAAATGGTAGCTAGTCTCTCATGCATAAAGTTTATTGGTTGTTGAAGGGTTCAGAGATCGGTTCTATGAAAAGACATATACAGGGTATCCCGTGATTCGATACCCATAGCTCAAGGGCATATTCCTTGAACAATTTCAAGTCGAAAGTGCCTAACAGTGGCGAATACAGGAGGAGGGGCAAGGGGGCAATTGCCTCCTCCCCTCAGAACCCCTAACCCCCAGAAACATTCAGGATGTCTGCAGATTATAATCATTCCAGCGTATAATTCCATCAAGTACCAAGAAAGTTTAAAACGAAAGTACTCAATTTAAGCAGCTATGTGAGTTCTACCACGAAGACTTGGAAACTAATTCATATCCGGTTCAGGAAGGAGAATTCAAGCTATGGTACAATATCTTTGCCAAGGAAAATATAATTACTCACAATCTGTGATAGAGGCTTTAGAACTGTGCAATAAAACTATCTTTCCAAATATTGATATCCTTTTAACCATATTCTGTAGTATTCCCGGTTGCGATTTTACTAAATATAAACTATTGCAGCACAAGACACGCCCCCTACTACGGCATTGCAAAATATAATCGAGCCCAGCACAATCCTGCAAAATCTAATCTTTGACAGCACAACGTAGCTGATTCATATAAATAAATCGATTGAAAAAGTAGCACATACCACGTTATATCTCATCTTCAAAGTACTTTACTTAGGCAAAACTCAGAGACTATTTATCCTCAACGAACTAACCTATCCCTGATTGCAATATTTTTGAGGAAGGAAAACCGAATGGAGTGTAGAAACACATTGATTAATAATATATTTCAAAAGTTGAGTTCTTCAACAAAATTGAATAAAATGAGACTGTTTATCCTAAACGCACTAACCTATTTGACTTCAAATATTTTATGAAAAAGGAAAACCAGAATGAAGTAAAAAAACATTGGTGAAAAAAAAAAGTTGCAAAAAAAAGTTCGAGTTCACAGCGATTCGAACCATGAACCTTCAGACTGAGAGTCGACAGCGCTAACCAGTAGACCATTTGGGTGTATGAATTTACTGCGTACAAGAGATTGACAACGAGAAAGCTTCAGTTCTTGCGTTGGAGCACAGTATGAGATATGACGTATTATGGTGGGCGTGGTTTGTGCTGCAATAGTTTATATTTAGTAAAATCGCTTCCCGGTTCCACATCATCTAGTACAGAAAGGGCATCTTCAGCAATGAGACTATTAAAAACATATATCAGACATTCAATGACCAGTGATAGACTAAATGGCCTGGCCTTATTTATATATTTACCCAGATGTAACTGTATAGATTCCGAGGAAGTATATTAGATTGTCTCGCAACAAGGAAAAGAAAACTGGATATTATTTTATAAGTGTTTTTTTGTTTCGAACTTTCATTTTATGTTCAAATATGGTTAGAGATTGTTTTGTTGGTTCAAAGATTTTATTTGAATGTCGAAGGCTACTTCACACCTTTCAACAGCTTCTCATGATCTAAAAAGCACAGATACCGTCTGTTCTAGAATGATGTACCCACATATGGGGTTCAGCACCCCAAACATACGCGGATACTCTTAGATTCCATCCAGGGAAACGAACCATTCCATTGGAACAGAAAAGTCGGCGATCTCCCACTTTTCTATAGAAAAAAAATAGGTACTTCCACGGGAAATGTTTTTCAGAAATCTCTGATATCATTCCATCACTAGCAATACCAGTCAGACGAACTCGACAAGCCCAGTCACCACATTCTTTCGTTGTTAATCTAAAATATGTCGGACAGCACTTTATCAAAACTCGTTTGTCCATAGAACGGAAAAGCTCTGGAATTCATTGCCTAAGTATTCCCAAGAATATATAAGCTCCAAAACAATACCTACCTCATCTACCTATGCTCCCTAGGTAGGCACGATGTTCTTCGAACATAATAGAGATTCCCTTACGTGCGCTCCAAGCGTTAAAATAATAATAATAAAAAAAAACTTAAAAACAACGATAGACATTTCGAGTCTTCAATCCGATAGCAGTTTCATATGCACATGTTGAACTTTCCTAAATCATGAGTTTTACACACAATATTTAATTCAAGAAATACATCGTTGAAATATGGTTTTGAATCATGAGAACAATATGTTTGAGTGTCACAGATTGATATGGAGTTAGGGGTGATTATTCCTTGGGGGTAGTTTGGTTGGCTTTGAATTCCATTTTCAATATCTCTCTTGATTCAATCATTATTATAAAACCGACTGAACATAATGGAACTCAGGAGTAAACATCAGACTGATAATATCTACACTGAGGAAAATTGTGACATTATGGGGCAAATCATCTGATTTGTCCTTACTATTCATATTTTTATTTTATCCAAACGAGGAGAGAAAATCCCAAAAAATTTGGAATAATGAATGTGCTATCAGAGTTTTTGCTGAGATATTTCTTGCTACCATTACAAGGAATCATATTACCGTTGTACATTTTCGAATAGAAGCAGCAGGATTGATGGATTGATGGAATGAATGATCTCTATAGAATGAGGTCTAAAAACTTATTGTGAGCAAAAATGTCCAGGTTATGAAATTATCTGTTTCTGGTAATAACTTGCCTAGTTTTCGCAATACAATGGTTTCAGAATGTTTCAGAAAAATTATGTTCTTCATCAATTACTCAAAAACCTTTTGTTTTTCCTGAAGGTGCATCATGAATCAATTGATCTGTTGAATTGCAAAGACCATTAGTCCGAAATTTTCTTTAGGAATCAATGAATTGCTATTCATACCAAACATCAGGGTGGAAATTATGGAAAGTGAAATTGGATATCAGTCGAAATTTCACCTTTCTTGATGACATCAATCCTGGAAAATAACTGAATAACTATACAGTAAGAAGGTCATGCAACTATCTATATGATCATCCATCAAGAGTAGCAAAAGGTTCCTTATCTACGATTATAACATTGCCCTACTCCCATTATTAGATGCACTCACTAGCAGTAGCAAAGTCAGATACCTATTACAGAAACATCGTCTAATAGCAACATACAGATGCACCCGCTAGTGGCAGCAAGGTTCTATATCTAATAATCGCAGGTGGGTTATAATCAGCAAAGTCGACTTAATAATCACAGGTGATAAATCGCTTGTCCCCTATGCTATTAGAGTTTCTTGCTGGGGTAATTCGATTTCTGACTATGGTAAATAGGAATTTTCCTCAGTGTAGGTATTTCACTCTACCCCTCCGAGAAAAACGAACTCTTTTGAGGTCACACTACCAGATGAATTAACATCAGAAAACAATAGACTGCCTCATCCACGGTGTCTACGTCTTCATCTTAAACGAATTGCATATTCTAGTACTTTTGTCTTGTTTATATTCTGCTCGTGCGCATTAAATCTGGACCAGCTGTTCGTATTGATCATCCGGCACCACAACGAGACAATTTTCCAAACGAAAACAATCGCGATCTCAATTCGAAAATCGCCAATAAACCCGAAAAAAACCCTCCGAAATCTAAAACAAACGCAACTAACAACATGTTCGACACAAAACGGGACCAGTTTGTGTTAAACGCCTCAGGGAAAACCACCCCGACAGGGTGAAAAACCTCATTAAATTTGACCCAAAAGAGTACGCTCGGGGCATTACAGTAGGCCGTGGAAATCGTGTCAAAACAGTGATTGAAACGCGATCAAATCGTTCGGCTGTGGCCGGTTGTTCTCCAAAATGTCTTGCAAGACCTCCAACGGAATCAAACTGACGAAAAGCGATTCACAGCAATGGAAAACCGCTTCATTCCTAGACTCATCCGTTAAACTAGCAGGAGAGGAGGCCAAAGACAGACTTTACGAGCCCAAGCACAAGAAGAAAATTGTTAGGGTACTGACCGTCATAGCGTATGTGTTCTTTGTGTCTCTCGCGGCTATCATGTTGAGTTTGTACTATGTATTTTTGTGGAACGGGGACCAAAAGGCCGCCATCAAGTATTTTAAGAATGTGCAAAGGCAACAGAAGTTGTACGGGCCAAGTTGCGATAATATTTTAGCAGGTGAGATCCTCAATAAAATCTTTTTTTTTATAACTTAACTGAAAAAAATCATCGAATTGTTACTTCATTCCTCAATCTTCAATAATTGTCGAAAAAATAAAAACCTGAAACTTTTCTCAAAGAAATTGATGTTTAATAATCTCTCCCTCATTTTAAAATTTGTATCATCAGATTACAGTGCATAAGAAGGATAGTAAATTCTAAGAACATTTGAAAATAAAAAGATAATTGGTACAAGCATAAAAAGTCCCCGAAAAAAGCGTTGTTTTTCGATGTTGAAACAGTTTTTTTTCAATGTTAAGGCAGCTAAATAATCTCTTCCTTATTTTAAAATTTGCATCATCAGATTACGGTGCATAAAAAGGATAGTAAATTTTAAGAACATTTCAAAATGAAAAGATAATTGGTACAAGAATAAAAAGTCCCCGAAAAAAGCGTTTAGTTTTTCGATGTTCTTTTCCAAGATTTGATCTAACCTATCTTAAAAACTTTGATGGCTTTCAAAACAAGAAAAATGCAGTCCGTTTTTTCATTGAAAACTGCCAAAAATTTTATTAGTCTATACATGTTTTCTTGACTATTTTTGACATTTTCACAACGTGTGATCCCAAACACTTCAATCATATAGATTATATGAATTGAAGACAATTTGGTGCCTCATTTCTAAATTCAAACGTTTGGATTACGTAAAAATGACAAGGTTCGCGCATTGATAACAATATCCCTATTTTTCATTTTTCTATGTTAAAATGATACTAAGCGTGAAATAGTGTGCGGAATACATATTTCGCGCATTGCATGTAAACTATATGCGATTTTTGTATTTTAACCTTTATGGTCCTCAATCAAGCAAAAATCTGAGAAATTATTTATTTCTATATGTTTAACAATAATCAAAGATTTTCAAGCCAGTTCAACACTATTTTTTATATTGAGCTAAGCTGAAAGTATATTTTTTGACGCATGTAAACATTTGTTTGCAACTAATGCGCGAAATACCAAATAACCTGACCTCGACTATTCTCGTTTACCAACACTATACAGTAGCACACTGTTGACATGTCATGAAATGTCACTTTTCATAAAATTACTTTGTTTCCAGTGATCGAGTACTCTTTTCCAGGATATATACACTATATCGAAGACTGGAACCTTTGGCACGATAATACACTACACTGTTTTACCACTAACCAAACCGATTTTTTAACGCCTCGACACGTGTTTCGCTAACTATGTTAGGAGAAGATTAAAACGAAAACATCAGTTTTAATCTTCTCCTGAAGATGCTAACATAGTTAGCGAAACACGTGTCGAGGCATTGGTTAGTGGTAAAACAGTGTAGTGTATATATACACTGTTGATGGCTTTAGTTGTTGTGCCATTTCCGCAAAATAAGCAAATAACTCCGTCTCCGAGAAAGAACAACACATTATTTTCATCCTCCCCTCCATTCAACTTAGCGGTAACGTAAATTAGTAAACAACCACAGTTCGCAAATTTTTAAAATCAAAACACAGAATTGAATTGACACATATTCCATTACTTCTAAAGGTTTCCATAACAACAATACAGGTGTACTACAACATTTGAAAACTTTCACATGACTAATTTTCTGTTTTTATTATAATGTGATAATGTGAATATCTTCTCAATATTGAATCGTCGTTTTTCCTGACACAGAATAAAATACACACAACCTCGAGCTAATCTAATACTTCTTTCCCTAGTATAATAAAGAACTATCTGATGTTGTGTATTCGCCATAGACAATAAGCGTACGCCACCTATCGGAGTTCTTGGAAGCTGTCAAAGCGACATATCAACTTTGTTTTCATTTGTTCACATTTGTTTTTTGTTCGTTCTTATTGGTCATGATCAAAACAAACCACTCAGAAGTGTTCAAGTTGCTGCCGTTAGGTGAGGCAATGACGGCTAAATATCAAGTGAGCTGCCGACCTGATCATTACTATCCATTTAGCGGATTTCCTGTTTAGGGATCTGTTATTTTATACCATGCCACGCCCATTCCCCGTATACTGCGACATCTATTGGACAGATTTGAAGTGTTTTCATGCTAACCTAGAAATTGAGAGATACCACTGGTGACAGATACAGATACCTACATCTACAGAACTGTTATTCTTACCCATTCCTTCCGAAATTGCAGAAAACGATTCTATTCACAAACTGATGTCACTGGAAAATTCAAACAAATTGATTCCATCCCAACCAATATTATAATAATACGAAAAAAGAATGCAAAATAAGAGGAAATATCAATGAAATTACGAGATTAGCTCAGCAGCGGGGCAAATGACAACAGACAACATGTTTTGACATTTCATGAGATACATAACCAATAATTTGAAAAAAATCTCGTAAATCAACAAAAAACAAATGAAATCTTTGCGATTACCCGTATGTGCTGCCACCAAGCAATCATACACTGATCTTATTCATTGGGCTGTCATGACATTCAGGCAGCTCACCTGATATTTAGCCGTCATTGGGTGAGGCGACGTGTTATTTTCTATCGCGAATTGTATGAAAACATGTGTTTCCAGAGATGCAGCAACAATTGGAAGACGGAGATTCCGAAGCATTGAAAATCCTTCCAGCCTATGAGACTGCGACTGAAACCAGTTCTACTGAAAACACTACCTGGCCACGGGACTATGAAACGCTGGAAGACTTCAGTGGGGCCAGCCCTTTCATGAAAAAACTGATGGACCACAGATACGAGGAGGACTACTAGTTATATACTAGAATATAACAAACTCTCGTATGCATAGCGAAATTACTAGATGTGATAGAACATTATTTCGTTAGATGAAGAGCAATCAAAAAGAAATTTAATTAATTGAAAACTTTTGTTTTATACTGTCTGTAGGTTCATCGGGAGCAGATTCGTTCCTAATGTATAGAAAGATAAATGACATTTTATATTTATATTCTTCTTAGTGTTTCAACTATTAGTTGAATTTTTCTCTCAGATTTCCAATGGTGAAATTTCAGAAGCAAAGACATATATATAAATAGGGACAAATTATCTGATTTATCCTTTTTTAATAATGTTTATTTATAATCTAGAGAAAAGTTGTTAACCAATTTGAAAAATTCGAAGAATTATTGTTGGTGAGAAAAATTGACTACTTTCCTAGAACTTCATCTATTGTCAACTCAGTATAAGAATTAAAAGAATCTGAGAAGGAAATGAATGAAGGATGAAATCATTGGTAGGTGTACCTTATAGATATAATAATTTGCAATTTGCATCTTACTGTTTGTGGAATATTTCTGAATATTATAAATTTCAATCAAGTAACATCCAAAAAGCAACTAAAACGAAAAATACATGAAGAAATGTAAGTTTACACTCGAACTCAATAAACATTTTTATAACTTGAGAACTAAAAATTCATGAATCTCCAAATAGATGTCTTCTCGATTGCTGTTCACATTTTTTAATATGATAGGGAATATTTATACAACATATTATATTAATAGTTATACAATATACACCCCGATTATATTCAGTGTATGAGAATTATTATTATGAATTTATAATATCTAGTAAATTTCATTGTATACCTATTCCTAATAAGAAAATAACGAAAAAAAAACTTCTGAACGTCTCTATTTCCAAAAATATATTGCGTAGTTCTTTATTCGAAGAATTAACTCTCAGTTAGGATCACATACATCTTCTTGTTTTTCAATGAAGGCAAATACTAATCTGGTCCAAGTGTTTTCAGAAAATCCAATTATATGTTTTGATAACATAGAAATAAAATTCAACGTTGACTTTATTAGAAAAAATATTTACAACTATATCAAATTTCATTTTGATTTTTTCAGCCCCCACCCGTGACCATCATATGCACTTTTCTATCAGACTGACTCATTTTTGTAGCTTTTTCAGTCCCTACTACACTCGACAACTGATACAGGTCATACTTGGAATAAATAACTGTCACTGTCATATTCGACTGGCTACCAACCTTTTTGTTTTGGTAAGAGTCTTGCATCAAATTGCACATTTCATAATAAAAATGTGGAAACACCGGCAGTTGATAAAAAAGGATGTGTCTGATTCCTTTGATACGTTTTCGATTGAAAAAATGGTATCTTTCTGTGTATAAGAGGAAGTGAGCATCTCCGTGAAAGAACATGTCACGTGCTCTTGCCACTTTACCTTCCTGAAACAAACAAAAAAATAGCTGGCAATCACATTTTGACATAGCCCAAACCTTATTCCTATCTCTACAACAGTCTCTTGAAGAGATAAAACTCTACTGCTCTTGCATTTTGTTAGGCAATTATCTGGCAATAATGGTATGAATTTAAAAGCAGAGACATTTGTTACCTATTTGCAGAAGTAACAATCAGAATTCGTCATTCGTTTCTGCTACTGACAGAACCTACTATCTAGACCTCTGCTGCCATAAGAAAGAACCTATGCCTCTAACGAGATCTAACTGAAGAACATGAATCATGCGCATTAAGGACCTGTCATATATCTTACATTAAATGACAGTTTGGAAGTTACTGGGATATGACATATATAGCGGTCTAGTAGTTATGTCGGTGGTTCCTGCTAGCATAAAAGAAAAGAACAGTGATAGGATACATTGAATCTGTAATTCACTTCACAAATCATACCAAATACCTGAGTGTTGAAAAAACAATACAATAATCTGGAGATTATCTTTGAATTTTAATATCCGCTATATTTGGTGAGGTTAGGATGGATGGGATATTTTCACCGATTTTGGGATATCAAAGTTCTAGAGCTCTTATTTAATAGTATTCTAATCATTGTATTGGAAGTACCTCAGTAAATATACACTAGAGTTCCTTAATTAATGTACTTGACACTGCTGTTTTGATGTTTTTTGTATATTAGAGTACGGACACTAGACAAGCAGTGACAATCAAACATAACCACAAACGATTTTGAAGCAAATGATATGTTTTGCCAGACAAGGACAAGAATATGTTTTTCGCTTAGATAAGGATCCACAAGTCCTGGGAAGAGTACATCCATATATCTTTCTCTGTCTTTGATTTTTGTATGAGAGTTCAAAGCGTCTCCTCGAGTGGGTAAAAGGGTACGATAAATTTATTAGAAAATTATTTCTTTTAGAAATATTGAATGATAAGGCTGAAGGACCTCAATGGAGGTCGATATCAAGTTGGTATGTACATATATATGTCTTTTTCTTTCAAAATATGTTCGAAATGGATTTCATTATCTGCAAGTTTTTCGTTTCTTGTTGGTTCTAAATTGGAATAAGGATAAGGTTCTTTTCAATACTCGCTCAGTTTATAAATTGTGGGTTCTGCTCTTTCTCTCAATACGATCATATTCTTTAACATCAAATCTTCCGTTCTGAAGTGTACATGATAAAAATGCGTTGAAAAATGTTCTATATCATATCAAGAAATTTGAATACCTCGCAAAATTTGTGGCCTGAACCTATATTCCATGCCGGCCGCATCATATTCTGTTTCCATTTATGTAGAAATACGTTACCTATCGGATGGAAATTTGAATAGAGTGAATTGATTTTCTGTGTTCTCACAGTTGGAAACTGCACAAACTTGCATCTTCCTCCTAATTCTCTCAATTTGTCAAACCTTTGAAATTAATATCATGTATGTCCGTGTACTGTCAGTTCCCGCTTTTTCCATCAATTTATTTGTGGTTATGTCTGATTGTCAGTGCTTGTCATAGTGTCCGTACTCTGATATACAAAAAACGTCAAAACAGCAATGTCAAGTACATTCAGGAACTCTAATATACACTATAGAGTCATGGATACTATCCATTATTTTCACAGTGGTCCAGAATCTATCAAAAATAAAAAGAAAAAAAAACCGGCCACCAAAGAATTTGCCCAAACTGTTCACCCTGTCACTTTTTAAATACTTGTCCGATTTTTGTGAAATTTCAATCAAATCGTAGATTCATGTTTCCGAATGTTGGCCAGAATATTAGTTTCCGTGAAAAGCTGATGACCTGATCATTATACACTGAAAAACTAAAGTTACTCTTTCGCCCTTTACTTCTTAACGCCGTGGCGGAATTGAGTGGATGAACTTGGCTTCATCATGTTTTGCATTGAAGTGTGCTCCTTTTTTTGTACAATTCGCGAGATTCACGAAGTGGACGACATCTAGGTTACATAATACGAACTTCAAACTAGGGGAAAACAAACTGTTGTCTATGGATAAAGTGCATAGACTACATTGCATTCAGCTTGCTGTAGCTGTAGTCAAACTTGTCAATGACATAAAGTGTTGGCACTGTTGGTACTGATGATGGTTGAGTTGGTTTACATTATTACATTTTTATTAGTTTAGTGAAGAGTGAACGGGTGAAGAATTGGAGATAGTTCAAACAATTCAAAATAATTATGACGAGCAAATCAATCGACATATAAAAGAACAGCTACAACATGTTTACAATACCCAGATTCTCCTGCTTTGCATGAGCAAATACAAATCCATTGTTCTACAGGATTTCCTCTGGACCCCAACTTCAATTTTACTTCATGTGGGGAAGATTTCATCGCCGAAGTTTGTAGACAAAGTGCAAAAATGTGCCTTTTGTTGAAGTCTTCTGCCTCACACAAAATCACATGATAAGCACGGAGAACTGCTTCTTCTTCCACTACTGGTCGGCTTTTTCCATCTGAATAGAGCAAAATATCTGCCAAAAGAACATCTACAACAGGCGTTATTAGCGTTTTCGATCGAATATTGACAATTAATGTCAAGAAATTTAAAAATTCATCACTTTTATCAGTACACAGTACACAAGCTAATGGCACTAACGGGATTGAGTGAGGATTGAGTTTGTTTTCCCCCAGTTTTGACGTGAATTTGACATGGAACGATGAAAACCGAGCGCCAGCTGGTAACATTGATTCCCGCGAATAGTTTTCGATTCACGTCATGATTTTATTTTTATGAGAAGATACGAGTGTTTTAAGGAAGTATGGCAATTTTCAATTCTTATGAACAATAATCAGAACCTACATACTTATTGATTGACAACTTAGGAAATTAATATCACTTATTTTTATCAATTTTTTTAGCACTCACCGGAAAAACCCTCAATTTGAATGAACAAACAAACAGCAGAAAAAATTTAATCAATGAGTATCATCAGATTGGCGGCCATAAGGCCATTGTGTCAATTATCAACACTGTCTCTAGGCAACCATTTTGAATATATTGAATATCTTCTCTTGTTAGGCTGTTAGACAACCTTTTTTATTTCAGCATGATGTATAAAATATTCTATTTGTGTAAAATCAGACTAACCTTGGAATATTCACATATCTGCACAAACCCAATATCCTCCTTTTTGAAGTAGTTTCTCACCCTCACATAGTCGAAATAGCTAGGCACAAATATAAGCGTCTGCTTCATCAGACTCTCTCTCTGCTGAGGCAGAATTTTGCTAACAAAAAAGTCAAACCTGGCGTCTATCGCCTCTGCCGCATTGCTGCACTCGAATCTGTGGAAGACGTGGGGCACCTGGACCACCACCCGGTTTATGCAACCCACCTCCGAGGGGTTAATCACCCTCACTTTGCCAGCATAGTTGTGGCACTTTTTGTTGAAGATCGAGTTGATTTCTGGGAGAGCGATGGAAGAGAAAATGAGGGTTTGGCGATAGTATTTCGCCCAGCCATTCAAACTCCAAGTCCTCACCCTAGAATATTGAAATATGTGGTGAAGAGGAAATATTAAGAAGTAATGAGAGGAATACCTAATATTAGAAAACTCCAAAGTTTATTTTTTAATTTTTTTTGTTTTGGCATTCGGACATGGTCCATGCAACCAGTCACTCATGTCTATTTTTCATTGATACTAAATTCTACCAGCAAAATTGGAAACTTGAATAAAAGAGAACACCAGGAAAAATATAGGATCATAAGGTTTCTTCTCGCCAAGGGGTCCATCATAAGACAAACTCCAAAAGTTCTGACTTATAACTCGAAATTTTGAAATTCCCACTAATATCTTGGAATTTCAGAAGTGGAATTTTATAATAGAGTTCCGAAGTTCAAGTAGAAATTAAACATTTTTGGGATATGAGTGGTAATTATACAGGGTAGTCCAATTGACTTCATTTGAATGAATGAATGAATGAATATCATTTCAATGTAAAAGAAATAACAGACACATTTTTGTATGCAGTCTTCTCGGCAATATTAAAAAACATTCCCCATTTTCCCTTTCCGGGATATAAGTGTATTCAGAATCTGCCATTATTTTAGTCAGGATATTCAGGGCTTTGTGAAATAAAAAAGAGAAATAACCACAGAACTGATAACCTTTATACAGGGTGATCCACGGTGGACGGCCTATTAGAAGTATCTGGAGAACGAAAAGACAGAACATTCTGAAAATTGGGATGCTTTGATAATTGAACATGCTCTATCCATCTAAAATATTTATATTTTTTGTATTGTGAATTTTAATATTGCAAATAAACTTTTGTTTCTATTTACCTTGAAAAATCAGTTCCATGTGAATCTTTAGGCTGTAAATGCATGTGATTGAAAATGTGCACAACATGATCCCAATTCTGCATTAAGAATAACTCTGTCTGATCCAATATTAGTAGTTCTATGGAAGCTAAAAAATCATAGTCCCTATCAGGTTCTCCTTCAGCACCAATGATTGTCCTCAGTCCCAATGGAGAGGCTATGATGATATCAGAGGAGTAAAATTCAGCATAGAGCTGAAATAAATGAATGTAAGTGATCAAATCTCTCATTTGTGAATAAATTTTGCAGTGAAAAAAAAGACATGCATATTAAGAAATGCTTTTTTGCAAATTTTTTTTTGATAAACTTTTCCTAATCAAGTACCACCTAATAGGTACTGCCATCTTCTATTTGAACTACCTACTAATTTTCACCAACCTTCAAGCTCTTTTTTGTGACTGTTATGCCCATTTTGAAATCATCATTTGTGTTCCCATGAAAAGTGAGTTCATAATCTTCTGGTTTTGGATTTTTCTTGGGCATGATCAATTCATTTCCAGTATAATCTTCTATAAATCTTAGTTTGTTCATGACATTTCCCTTATCCTGGGGTAGTATCAAATCTATCAACATTTGTACAATTTTGTATGCTGCATCTTTGAATGGTACAATTATAAGCACCTAGAAATGTGTTCACAGCATTAAAATTAATATTTGAATAATTCCTGTCCTTACCTTGGGCCTGACTAATCCTTGATCTCTGAATTCTTCTGGTACATCATCCTTTTTAGACAACCTAGCATTATGGTGTATGACTTTCAATCTTGTTTTCAATATGTGATTCACAGCATGTACACAATATACAAAACGTATCTCCTCTGAATTAGAAAATGTCCTTCCTGAATAACAAAAATCTTGATAATTGTTTATAACTGAGAATATTTCTGCTTGCAAGGAAGTTAAGTTTTCACTTCCAGTAGCTTTTTTATTTAGCTTCCCCAAGTTGTTGATGATCTGGGTTTTGATAAATAACTGACTAGGTTTTGATGACTTAGATACACTTTTAGGGACAATACCCTTAGCAGCAAACATTTTTTTCTCTACAATACTGAATGTTGAATCTTGTGTTGAATTTCCATCCAAAGTGATGGAGTCACATTTTGGTATTTGAATACTTAATTTACCCAAAGTTGACCAAGTTTCTGTGAAATGATCTAATGAAACTGGGGTACTTTGGAGAGCTTCTAACATACTATCATGCAAATCATAAGCAATATGTTTAATGAATGGATCTTCAGTATTGTCAACCTCATCAATATCAGCTTCAGTATCAACTTCTATTTCAGAGGATTCAGATTCTGTATCAGTTTTTTCTGATTGTTTATCCTCTAAATCACTTTCCTCCTCAGAAATGTTTCCTTGATCATTTCCACCTGAACTTGTTTCAAGCATGCCATCATCATCTATCTCTGAGTCTATTTCACTTTCTCCATCTGCTTCAGTTGAATTTTTCTCAACTTCATCTTCATTTTCATCTTCACTCTCACTACTATCTATGGCTGAAGATTTCTTAGTATTCCTTGATAAGGTAAAAGTGTTCCTTAAACTGTCTAATGGTGCAGTTTCCTCATCAGAAGAGCTTGATTCTTCTATAGCAGGTGGTACTTCATTCTTTATTTTTTTCGGATCCGGTTCTTCTACAGACCTTTCAGAGTGGAATTTCCTTTTGGGTTTAGATTTTTTGTTATCAAATAAACTGTATGTTTTCCTTGAGTGTTGTTTTTTGGGTTTCTTTTTGGATTGTCCCTTTTGTCCATGAGGTTTCTTGACTACATCTTTGAATTTCAATTTACCTCGACGAGCCATACTTCAACGTAGTTATATAATTATATATATTAATAGTTAGACCTCCGAACAAACTATCTGAAATAATGCATTAAAAAAGGAGTGAAAGAATAGTGAAATCTAAACTGTGCTAAAATTGAGAATATAAATCACATTCTGAAGTTTCTGAACATCAACTTTTATGAGGTTAAGTGCATGTTTACATGTTTTGATACTTTTGATTGACTTTTAAGTTGACAGTCAACAGAAAATTATGGCCGTGGGTATTCGTCCTGTAGGCAGGACACATAGCTGTTGGTGGTTGATTCATTCATTGATGAAATATTCATTCCATAATAATGAATGAGATGTTTATAAGTTGACGTTGCCAGACCTACTGTTTTAACAGCAGGTTTACTGTTTTTGTCTCCGTTCTACTGTTCTCCTATTTAAGGCATGAAAACTACTGTTATTTTCGTTAAAACAGAAGCAAAACCTAAAAATGATGAAATTTCACACGAGCTGTTGTAGAAATTGTGTAGCGAGCATCAGATTATTGAACCATCAACAATTCTCAACTCACAGCAGTTTTCAATTTTTATTCTGGCTCTGTCAGTAGTGAGTGACTAGTCTGAGCCGCCTGAGGTAGTGGCCACAGTGCCAGTACAGCCAGCAATGTGGGTTTGCTCCATACCAAAAGTTATTTATCTACAAGGCAATAATCGTCATGTTACAATATAGAATGTAACAAAGAATTAATTAATAGGGCATCACAGTGAGAAGGTGGTTTTGATGATCTGTTTTTCCCCACTCATCTACTGCTCCAGCAAATTTTCATCTGGCAACACTGAGTAAGGCTGTGTCAAGTCTGTGGTTTGACCGGGCACATACGTTCAGCAGCGTTCAGTTTGACGTCTGACCAATCAGCTGTTCGGGCATACCGGTCACGTTTCAAACCTGCTCACCCAGCACCCAGTTACCACATTAACTTGCGATGGGAGTCTCATGAATGACACTTGACACTACTTATAGGAGTGAGGTAAGCAATCTAAAACAGAATATCAGAGTGGATTTTCCAACATTTTATTCCAAAATATTCATACAAAAATATCAATACAAAAATGAAAAAGGAGAATGTCTTATTATAATTGCCCTGGAGCAAGCTTGCTTTTAACTACCTTTCCAAACTCTTCAGCTCCTTTCTGATTGGATTCCTCATAATTGGGAATAGCAATGGCACATCTAGCAACCCAAGTAACAACATTGGAATAAGCACTCAAATCCCATCCAACAGCCTGCAAAATTCAGAGGAGCTTTACCTATCAGCTGTATATACCCATCATATTGCTCTCAGGTTCACTCACTGCAATGCTGGAAACTGAAGCCACCAAAGAGCAGTCTGCAATTGTCAAGTTATTTCCACAGACAAAATTATTTCCTTCAAGAAAAACATCCAAAAATCCTAATGCTTCTTCTAAAGGACCTTTGTGTTCATCAGGAATGATATCCTCCCCCAAGAATAGTACAGGAAACTGAAAATAGTAAGTGATATTAGAGGCACTGGAGGCACTATAGAGGTTTATCACATACACATATGGCTCTTATTCTAGGATACATTGTACCACAATCGAAATATAGTCTCTGATTGACTAGTGCCCTAGTTTTGGGGTCTTCTGGATATAAGCTGTCATCTTTACCATAAACTGAAGCCAAATAGCAAGCAATAGCATGACTGTCCCATATTGTTAATTCCCCATCTACCAAAGTAGGAATGGTGTGTTGTGGATTGATCTATAAAAACATAATAGAACCATAACAATATTATCAACATTATATTGTGAAAGCATCTCACCTTTTTCAATGCCTACTTACTTTCACAAAGTCCTCTTTTAGCTGTGCTTTCTTGAACAGATCCATAATTTGAACATCTACATCAACTCCTACTGCTTTGGCAGCCAGAAGGGCCCCTCTAGACGGTCCACTCAATGGGAAATGATATAAAATAACACCCATTTTTATGAAAGAGAAGTGAAAACAAAGGGAACAGGAACACTTTAAACAAATCAACACTACAACTATAGAACAAAACAGATCAATCAACAGTCCCCAAACTATTCTTAAATTTTCCTAAAGAGATACCCCAAAACACCAAAGATTCTCTGCTCCTACTGTTTTGAGTGTTTTGTTATTGAAATTGTATTTTTAGTACATCATTTTCCACCACAGTAGTTTATTATTGTGAAATAAGTTGAAATAACAAATGGGTCAAACAGGTGTAATGTGTCATGTGCAGTCATGTGTCTTCACAACCATCTTGACGTCGAATTAACATGAATTCCAGTTCAATGTAAAGAGCAATGACGGCTAATATTATTTAGGCGTCATTGGTAATAGTTCATCAATGTGATGATGATGAAGATGAGTGAACATCATGCTGAATCAACTTCCGTGGAACCGTGGATTACGTCCTCTATGTTTCTTACACGTCCAGGCGTTCTAATAGTCACCACTAAACAAAGACTTGGTGGTTGCATAAAAAAAGGAACACTGCTGGAATTATTTCAGTCATGATCATGCGCAAACAAAATATAAATGTGAGTTGTTATATTCGGTGGATTATGATTTCAAATATGATTATTCTGTGGTGTTTTTCATTGTATTTTGGTGAGTTTTTTGTCATATTGTTAACAGCATAACTCCCTGCCTATGAAACGTGAACCGAATGGAGGATACTTACAAAATGCCGATAACATTTTGTGAGAGATTCCTAGGTATATGGGTCGGTGTTTTATAGATGCTTCCCCAAAATTGGAGGGTTGAGATTTCTTCACATATACCTCTTATACAAGTACAACCTGGGAGTACAACCAGGTACAACTCAGAGATTTTTCACGATACAGTTCGATATCAGTGTGTGAAATCTATGTGGTTTAAAAGTAGGTATAATATGTATATACAGGGTGAGTCATGACTAACCAGCCATAGCCCAATGGCGGATAGAGGAGGTCAAGGTGAGTTGATATATATATGATAAAATATTTTTTGCCCATTCTTTACAGAAATACAGGGCATTATTTGAATTCGGGGCAAAACTTCAATGAACGATATTTCAGGAACGTCTCGATTTAATCGGCTGAAATTCACTAGCAACTTACCTCTAATGACACTCCACAAGATGACGTACTATGAATAAAAAATTCCAGATCCGGACTTGGAAAACTCATTTTCTCTTTAGATGTCAAAATTTTGACCTCCTGGATCGGATTTTTCGAAAACTTTTATCAGAATCAGAAAGATCAGGAAAAATACTACAAGTATGGTTTTTCAATTCGTACGGCACACTTCGATCGTTTTGGTAAAAAACTATCAAACAAAATACCGATGAATTTCTCTTCGGTTTCGTCCGGGCATATCACTCTCTACATTCGACTAAAAGTAATTGAATCAAATTTTTCCCTGGAAAGATTCAACAGCACACTCGAGAAAAGGTATAATTCAATAAAAAATTCAGGACCGGACTTGATTTCGGAAAATAACAATCATAATTTCTGAAAAAGATTTGTCAGAATCTTAATATCAATCAAGATTCTCAAAATGTCCTCCTCCAATTTCTAAACATTTCCTGCATCTCTTCGGGAGACCTCTTATGGCTTTTCCAATAATTTGCCTATTATTTCTGATTATATCTGCGGCTGTAACTATCCTCTCCCTCAGTTCGTCTCTGGTGTTGACTTCAGTCTGATAGACCAATTGTTTCATATGCCCCCAAAGAAAATAGTTCAAAACTGTGAGATCAGGGGACCTTCTTCGGTATTCTCTCAATGCAGCTCTTGAATTGCCATCACAAAAACCATATACAAAAATAATATCTGCATATTCAACGTTAGTGAAATGCATTGGCATTTTGGAGATATGAAATGAAATATGAAATTATAAAATTAGTAACAGTATGTATTTGAAATTATCAACAATGAACTAGATGTCATTTGACAGTTTCAACAACCGTCTAAAATCGAGTCAATGACTTACACTACTATATCACAGCCTTTCTTTTCATGTGTATTCAGAATCGATGAACTACTAAACTCACAATTGAGATCATATTCAGTATTACTTCAAATCGAAATCCCTCCATGTAGTATAAGTTGGCATGTATATCTGATTCGAAAAAAAATCTGCTACCAAAGCAACAATTGCTCTTATTGAATAGAATGTTTTCACATTATCACAAGTAGAAGTTAGATTTCAATTGAAAATTGGGAGAGGATAGTTACAGCTGCAGATATAATCAGAAATGATAGGCTAATTATTGGAGAAGCCATTAGAGATCTCCCGAAAAGATGCAGAAAATGTATAGAAATTGGAGGAGGACATTTCGATAATCTCGATTAATATTTAGATCCAGACAAATCTTTTTCGGAAATTATAATTGTTATTATCCAAAATCAAGTCCGGTCCTGGATTTTTTATTGAATGATACCTTTTCTCAAGTCTGCTGTTGAATCATTCCATGAAAAAAATTGATTTAATTACTTAAAGTCGAATTTAGAGAGTGATATGCCCGGACGAAATCGAAGAAAAATTCATCGGTATTTTGTTTGATATTTTTTTACCAAAACGATCGAAGTGTGCCGTACGAATTGAGAAGCCATACTTGTAGTATTTTTCCTGATCTTTCTGATTGTGATGAAAGTTTCCGAAAAATCCGATCCATAAGGTCAAAATTCTGACATCTAAAGAGAAAATGAGTTTTCTAAGTCCGGATCTGGAATTTTTTATTCATAGTACGTCATCTTGTGATGTGTCAGTAGAGGTAAGTTGCTAATGAATTTCAGCCGATAACATCGTGACGTTCCTGAAATATCGTTCATTGAAGTTTTGCCCCGAATTCAAATAATGCCCTGTATTTCTGTAAAGAATAGGCAAAAAATATTTTTTTACATATATATCAACTCACCTTGACCTCCGCTATCCGCCATTAGGCTATGGCTGGTTAGTCATGACTCACCCTGTATAATACCTGTTGATCGAATTTTTCACACTTGGAAAGACACACTTGGGTGCCCTTTCCCTTTGAAGTGGGTATAGGTAAATATCTAAATATATCTCAACACGCTCTTTCCATCATCGACTTTTAGGATCAATTTCATTCGATCAAAGCTCATATCAGTGGCGCAACTAGAAAGTCCAATACCCTCTCGTAAGAATTTCTCATGGCAGTCATGGCACTATAAAAAAGCTAAAATTCGACGTAGGTATTGCACATTCACAGGTAACTTTTATACATAGCTAGAGGTATACACATTATTCAAATTATTACGTGTCTAGTCTAGGACTAGCTGAAAAAACACTCAACCTTATCAAATATGGCACCTACTATTTTTTGGACATGAATACTCGCAAGTGTGGAATGAATATCAAGTCGACAAGAATCATCCCATGGAAAAATCAAATTTTCTTATAACTTTTTTCACGTAAAATATATTATGTAGAAAGAAAGTCGTAGCCCTTTTATTTGCTCGCACCGTAGATAAGTATATAATCATGTTATGGAAAACTTATGTGTCAATTCCAATTGGATCTTGGATACCTATTTGATTTTTTGTTTATTTGATATTTGCTTGTGATGGAAGAATTTTCGTGCAGAAAAAAAGAAATTAAGATTCATAATTTGTCCTTGAAGCCTTATGCCCTAAAATAGTTTTCCGCGCGCTCTGACGATTATTGATAATATACCTATAGTCTCACACTAGTTGAGCAATTTCTAAGACTTGACCGGACTTGACTAATGGAATTTGCACTTCAACTTCAAAAGAGATTTAAGGATTTTGATCTAAATAAAAATCAATCAAGTTCCTTGACAGACGGCACTAATATACACTGTGTCCAAGATAAAGATGTCTATCATGGTGATCGTTTTTATTTTTTTGCGTTATCCGATGAGATATAAGTATAGGAAAACAAAAGACACTTCCTCATTGCCACTTTTCGAGGTCTAGAAAAAAGTGTTGAGAGATTTTCCGTACGATGTTTCGTTTCGGAGAATCCATCATCAACTTTACCCCATGATAGACATCCTTATCTTGGACACCCCTCTATGGAAAAATACGACTAAACATTATCCACAGAAAGTCAGTGACATTTGTGGATATAATAATAAAAAGCAATATTAATTTCCAAATTAATAAATCCCATTTTTTATTGACAAATTAATGGCCATGCAGTTGACGGCGAGGCGATAAATTATAAGTTCAATTACAAAAAAATATTTCAAATTCAATTTCTTGTAGGCATCAATTTTATCAATGAGAATTTTTTCCATTTTTATCGCCACAAATTTACTATAAAAACTCCATGTCGAACTCTTGATCGAAATCTTGACCCAGTAGTCTTTATACGTTATACGTGTTATGTAGTTGATATTGGAAATTTTCTCAAAAGAACGTACCTAGTGAACATTTTGTTCTGATGTCATGTGTATCGCTGTTGACTGAATATTCATAGAACTGTATTAACTTTCTAGAGCTATCCGGTATAATAGTGCAATTGGAGTCTAGCCATAGCACCGTAGCGAGGAATACTGGCCCGCTGCTCGCTAGGCGCCCGATTTCCGGCCGAGAGCTATCATTGAAATAGCTAATCACTATCCACTATCCAGCCTCACCAGTAAATGCCTCCACAGTATTTTTTTCGATAAATCACTTCGAAAAAAAAAATTGAAAAAAGATTAACTGCAGTCTGGATTCGAACCCCGACCTTCTCGTTCGGAGAAAGGAACGCTCTAATGACCGACCACTACGCTTCTGGCAAATCAAACTACAAAACAATTTTATAGCGAATCGCATTCGTAAACCTGGTGGTGCACTGGCACTACGTTGGTTTCCTTCTCGGTTTTCTCCAAAATGTGAACTGGTGCATTCCCAATGGAATACGAGATAACATTAGCAAATTATTTTTAGAGGTTAGATTGGTTGAGTTGATTTGTTTTTGTTTATAATTTCTTCAATTCATATGGAATTCGCCTTATGGGTGATTTATTTCCTGCAAACCTATAAAAAGAAAAAGTTCATAATAGGAATTGGTCTAAACTGGTTCACATATTTTTGAGCTCAGTGCAACAATTCTCGCACGAGCTCTAAGTGAGTGCAGTTTGGGAAATGGCGGATACATTGTGTTAGCATCTAGCAACTAGATGCGCTACTGCTCAGTGGAATGCGCTTAGATCAGAGCCTATGACAGACGTGTGTAAAGACTGGCTCATATAGTGTTCGGCAGGCAGCCGAGTTAAGAGCAAGTATAACCCTTGTCCATGTCATTTGTGCTCGTGTTTATTGAATTATGACTATAATATAACACATTGAATATGAATAGTTTGAAAACCACATTGTTAGTGGCAATCTAATCATCATCATCAAATGATGATGAAATGTAGGAGGTTCCAAGAAAATAAAGGAGATCACTTTCCAGCATTCATAATTTCATGTTGTGTTGTATTTTGCACTAATGATGAAGAGGTATACTAATCCCACTAATCCATCTGCTTTGTTTTTGATTGAAGTTAACGAAATATTTCAGGATGCGGACAAGTTATAATCAAAGACAAACCATCGTATCCGATTCAACCTCCAACAATAAAAATGTATCATAATATTTTTTCGTGTTCCCCGAGGCATAACCTCCAAAAATTCAAGAAGAACACCAATTCCTACCTTATTTCCCTTGGTTCTCACGATGCTCTCTGAACATTACAGGATATCCCTATTCGTGGGAACCAGAACATAAAAAAAAATTCCATTGGGAATGCTCCAGTTCCCATTTTGCACCACCAGGTTAACGAATGCAATTCGAAACCTGCCACCATCATACCTATGAAATACAGAATATGCACTCAGTGCGAGCCAGTTTTATCAATGGAATGCGCTCTTCAATAACTGGCAATATTTCCCGTATAGTAGTGCTATTGCTAGGCTTTAATGAGAGATCGTAGTAGGGCTTTACAGTCTATTGCAATTCTTCGTCTTTCAGTATCAGACAAGGTCGCTGCAATCCAAATCAACTACATTAAAGTCCCCGTAGCAGTCAAAAACGATTCCAATCGTCCCGTAATCATGGACTGCAACTACTCGCTGCGTCCAGATGACTCGGACCTGGTGGTCAAATGGTACCTGAACGACGTTCTGGTCTACCAGTGGATCCCTCCTCAGCAACCACAGAGTTTCGGACCGCTCAAGGACCGGCTCGATCTGACGTACAGGTTTTGGTCAAAGATTAACTTTGGGTTATAAATCAGAAGAAATAGCTCTATCGATTGGGAAAATAAAATACAGAGTGTTCTATTCGAGAAATACCTGGGAAAATTTCAGGTTGACGATGCTTTTTTGCATCTTCTAGTATAGTTTATCCAAAAACAATTGCAGAATCTTGTGCCGCTCCTGCAGTCACTTCAAAGAAAACTTCAAACACGCCGTCGCACAGTGCGGGATATTCTGCAATTGATATTGGATATACTATACCTATACTAATATTCTGAATGCTTATGAAAACTACCTCATATTTGCTCATTCGAACTTTTCTGTAAGACCAATATTACCTGTGAAAGATATTGTATAAAATATATACAATCACCCTGTACATACAACTGATGATTTCAACAATATCATGGATGAACTGAGCAAGACAGTTGAAAACTCACCTTTTGTTGTTTTTTTATGAAATGGATATTGGCATGACATACATATAGATATCAGAGTGATGTCATCAGAATTTGAGATTCATCGAAATGGCAAATATACCAAATAGTCCAATAAATGAAGGAGGAAAAAAAGGCAAAGTTAACGTTAATTACGCACTATTTTCATCTTCCGGTTGGAAGTAGCTTTTGGTACCTCATTAAACATGAGACAAAGTTTGACTGGAAAACGCGTGCGATGGCGGAGAAAATGGCCCCAAAAGACCAGGAAAATAGGTTTTCAGCCAATATCTCCTAAAATATGGCAGTTAGAGATTTTCGGTTCAGATAAAAATTGAAGTTCAGTTAATTTTCTACAAAAATGGTCCTTATCATTTTTCTCGAAAATTTGACCGGTTTCGAGAAAAACGGCACGAAGCGCACCTCGAATAATGAGGGGGGACAAATTATTCAATAACTTTGTTAAAAATGCATATTTTCTCATGATTCAAAGTTCATGTGAAAGAGGAATTCTGCTGCTATCATACCCTGCGTGGCCGCATGGTTTGTAGCAGACGACCCGAGCGCCACGTAGAGCACACACGCGGCGAACGACGGAGGAACGAAAGTAATAAATTATAGCGTGTACATTTAGATATACTGTTTTTTTCCCGGGATATCAAAGGTATGACTCATATACATCGATGGAAATGTGGGAATTCCCCCGTTACACTAGTTAAGGTGTTAAAATGTTAGAAATAAATACCACGGAGAAAAAAACCACCGAAAAAAAAGTGCGTTTTTTCCTTGACCCCGCTTTTTCTAATTTTATTGAAAAATGGACGACTTCGTCTAACAAAGTAATTGCACAATCGAAAAGTAGACCTTCTTAGCTTTCAAATGATGTATCATAGAAACCAATCGGATCATGTATAAATTTTTAATTGATGGTTGTTCACAAAATTTCCCCGCGCTCCAAAAACAGCAAAAAATTGGGATTCAATAAACAAAGATGGAATGAAAATGAAAAAAAATTAGGGTATATAAATTCCAGGGATGACGAAGGACCTTATGAGGACCCATAATCGAGAGAATTTTGAGTAAATTAGTGCAATACAAAAAAAAAAATAGGAACAAATTCCTGGCGAGGTCAAAATTGACCGGGAGCAGAAAGTTTGACCCATGTTCCGATATGGCCAAAAGAGTCAAGCGTGACTCAATTTACAGGGTATGATAGCAGCAGAATTCCTCTTTCACATGAACTTTGAATCATGAGAAAATATGCATTTTCAACAAAGTTATTGAATAATTTGTCCCCCCCGCCGATGTGTAAATACACGGACTGTGCTCTCCGGCATACAACGCAGAAGCTCATTATTCGAGGTGCGCTTCGTGCCGTTTTTCTCGAAACCGGACAAATTTTCGAGAAAAATGATGAGGACCATTTTTGTAGAAAATTAACTGAACTTCAATTTTTATCTGAACCGAAAATCTCTAACTGCCATATTTTAGGAGATAGTGGCTGAAAACCTATCTTTCTGGTCTTTTGGGGCCATTTTCTCCGCCATCGCACGCGTTTTCCAGTCAAACTTTGTCTCAAGTTTAATGAGGTACCAAAAGCTACTTCCAACCGGAAGATGAAAATAGTGCGTAATTAATGTTAACTTTTTCCCTTTATTTATTGGACTAAAATGTATTAGTGATTTTTGATTTATAGCGAATATAATAACATTTTTATAAGAAAAAGTTACATTATAGATTATTTCTATCATGGAAACGAATTTTCTAACACTGCAGATTTCATCCTCACAAATTATTTGAATTTCGAGTAAAATTTCAAGTACCTATACGAATCGAAAGTAATTTTTTTCCAATTTACGAACAGGGCGACGGACGATCCGAAGAGCGTATACAGGGCGATGAAGATCGTCAATCCCACCGATGAAGTCGCCGGAGAGTACAAGTGTTTCGTATCGACTTTCACAGACGAGGATTTTTCCGTCAGGCATATGAAAGTTTTCGGTGAGTCTTTCTGATACATATTCAGGGTGATTCACGGTGGAAAATTTCTTGTCTCGAATAATTAGTTGTGCTCTATCAACCTAAAATATTCTCAGCGCTGCGACGTTGCCGTATATATTGAAAAGTAGCAACAACTTTGATTTTTTCAATGGAATACCCTGTATATCATTCCATTTTCAGATTCGCCCTGGAGAGCTAGTTTCATCGATCCATCACACTTGGGGTCTAGCGAGAATGATAACAAAGATATAGGGTGTGAAAAATCGAAATTCTTCAACTTTGATAATTTTTTGTGTCGAAACTATTCATAATAATTGATCTAAACGGTTTCCATGTCCCTATCTTAACATTCCATGTACTATCAATTACTATTTAATTGAAATAAATACAGGATGGTTCAAAATTAAGATTTTTGACCACCTGCCAACAATAATCATTCTGATTCAGTTATTTTTTTCAGTTCCAGAAAAGTCTTTCGATATTTTCAAAAGTTCATTCGACGAACAATTCACCAACTTCACTTGTTTGGCTTCTGAAGTATACCCAGCTCCGAAACTTCTGATGTACAAAACTTATAAGGACGAATTCAACAAGTGGGTACCCTCTCGATTATATTTTCATGATATACCGGTCTGATAACCAAAATCGTTAGATTCTGTATTTGGGTAGGGAATGAGGCACTTGAAATTCACCCCACCCCTCCCTTTCATTAAACCACGCCTCCTCCAATCAGAGTTTGAGGGAGGGCTAGTGGGCGTAGTGGTGGGGGTGATTTCAAGGGAATCTCTACATCTACTACCAGAAAATTATTTTTTTGTTTTCAAAATATTTCAGGGTACGGTTTCCCACTATTCATCGGGAGCTCACTAAGCATAACACACGGCTATTTTCTTCCTACGTCATAGCTACGGCACCAACTAAGACACTGAATCCGGGGACCTTGATACTTTGTGAGGTCAGGATACCTGGTACGGGTTACGTGAGGATCAAGAGTCTACTGTATTATCCAGAAGGTAATATATGATGTTAATAAGAAATAGTGATATTTCTTGAAATTGGGTAGTGCTAACTGATTTTTTCTAATTTATTCGCAAGCAGCTACCATGGAAAATATTGGTAACAACTGCAGCATCAGTGATATCTGGATATGGCTGTCCATAATGGTTTTCACATTTCTTACATTTCACTAATTTAGACACTTCTCATTTCTGATAATCACATCCAATCAAATTACATCTTTCTGATCTTGTTAACACTTCGAGATATTCGTCTACCAAATTATTATTATTTACTAAAACGTTCCGAATTTTGTTTTCTTTTTCATTTTCACGAGCTATATTGTGGATACCAAATGAACTTGATTACAACTTACTAGTATCCTGATCAACTTGCAACTTAGGAACTTGATCACCTTAAAACTAGTTCAACTGATTTAACCTACTTGACTACAACAACAGATTCAGCTAGCTCTAATAATTCAACTAACTCAACTAACCCAGCTAACATAACTCACTTGTTTTTTTCTGCACGAATAAAACAAATGAGTATGTAAATAATATTTTGACGACCTCAAGAAGCTGAAACAAATTTATTCAACATAATCAAGAACCAATTCTACATAAACAAGACTTCAGAGTTGCTTATAGAATAAATGGATGTTGGGGATTTTTATAAAAAATAATAATGATAATGAATTCCTAAAATCGGGAGTAATATTAACCGAACTGGGGATCTTGTTCTAATGTTTATATTGGTCAGACAGGTAAAATGTTCAACGATCGCATTCACGAACATTTCAAGAGGTAGAATGTATGTTCAATTTGTTTTCTTTTTCAAAAAAATCATCTCATGTTCTTGAATGCGCTGATTAAACGTACGACCTGTCTGACCGAAATATACCTTGGGACAAGATCCACCGTTGAGTTTGTATATGAACCTTATTTTTCGAATTTAGAAGTTTTGTCTTTATTATTTTTTATGAACCTTTTCAACGTGTTATTTGTTCGATATGCAACTGTTTAGTCCTGTTTGTGTAGCAATGAAGCTAATTTTTTAGTTACTTAACGTATTCAATTCATTCTATTTTTCTTAAATCACCCAACTTAGCTAATTTACTCAACTTAATTGACTCAATCGACTTACTCAACTATTTTGAATTACTGGACTTACTTGACTTACTCGACTCAACTTCACTATCTTATTTAACTCAACATCAAATCAACTAAATCATCTTAACGATCTTTTTCTTTCCCGCGGTAATTTAATGTTCGAATGTATATTATTTCCTAATTTTTCTTCGGGAGAATCATTGCCCAAGAGCGCTTAAATTTAGAACGGCAGCGATGCTGGCGTCGCTACGCTTGAGAAATAATGAAGGCGCAGTCAGATGCGTTTTCTAGATCTGGACCAGTTTTGTTTACAAGTAAAGAGTCAGTCGAGAGGGACTGGAGTGGCGCCTCAGTGATAAATTGTGACATTTTGTGAATTTTACTAGGTATCCAGACTGTTTTTTTTTGTTTTGGTGGAGTTAAATATGACTAGACTCAAAGTAGCGGTGAGAGTGAGGCCAATATCAAAAAGGTAAAGGATACAGTCAATACATTTCGTTTTATCGTCACTGGGTATACATGGTGTATCTAAATAACACCGGAAACATTCAAGAGGTGTTTTCTTGTGACATTCTAGCAAATAAAGTTCATATAAACATGTGTCCTAACTTGTTCCGTTTTTGAGATACAGGATGTTGAAGTTGGAAGTATTAATTGTGTTTATCTGTAACCCCCCTGTATAAGCTTTCATTGTGCCAAAATTCAGTATGTATGGAGACTGAGAAAGCCCCAAAATTTCAAAATGATTCTAATTGGGGTTAATGAGTAATCTCAATGGAAGTCTTGAAGACACCTACATTAAAATTTGGAGTCAAATCGAATTTAATCGTTTTCCTCATGAACTATATCTTAAGGAATCATCCTTTGATTTTTTTCGGTGTTATTTAGATACACCCATATTTTTTGATAAACCAGTAATATTCATTGAGTATTTATACCAAAAAATGTTTTTAGAAAGGAATGTTTGTGATGGATCGAATCAAACCATCCGATGTATACAATGATTTTTTGTCCAAATGACATTAAAAGTGGATTTTTAATGACACTCAACACTCAACAGGCAGAAATGGTGTACTTTCACTGCCCAGGCAGAAAAAGTTTGTAGCTATGCAACGTTCTAAGTAATTTGAATCAAATTGATAAACAGAATTGACAATGACTTTGGGTGAACAAAAAATAATGGATTATTTGGACTTTGCCAAATTGAAAAGAATTTGAAGAAAAAATTATATGTTCCACATGGCAGAGAAGAAGATGTAATGCCTTGGCTGGTTTTCTAGCCTCGGCTACGCCTACGCTATCAAACGCCAGCCGCGGCATAAATCTTCAGGACATAATACGATATACGGGATTTTTCATTCGAGATTTTTTTATTGAAAATATCACTACGCCACTGGATTCAGAGTGCCACTGAATAGGTGTGATCAAAATTTCACAGCTCAAAAATTCGAAAACTGACACAGCTAACAGTCACAAAAAACACCCTATATTAACAGATATAGCAATGAGAATATTTTTTTTATGATTTCAACAATAAAGTTCCACCAGATGGAAAAGAAATTGATAGCGTAAATTTTTTTAATGAATGGAATGGATTCTTAGCCTATTAATTATTGATTTCTACCCAATTGAAGTGGCCTAAAATCACTATTTTAGAACTTCAGATATTATTTTAAAACATTAAAACGAGTTTTGGTAAAAAGTTGTTCGACATATCTCGGGGTTAACGACATGCAAAAGGATGTATAACTAGGCTTCTCGAGTACGTCTGTCTGGTATTACTAGTGATGGAATGAGATTTCTGAAGAAAACATTCCGTGGAAGTATCTATATTTTTGTATGTCTTGGGAATCCCCTCCTAGAGCCGCCCATGGACTGGTCTTCTACTTGTATTTGAGATTTTGGAACAAAATTTCTTCCAATGATTTTTGCCCAACACCCGGTATATACTCGATCTACCAGGTCTATTTCCATATGCTTTCGAATGACAATCTGGCACTTCGGAATCATTAGTGAAGGATGTTAAAATACATTTTTACGGTACCGAAAATAAATAGGAAGAAGTGCACCCAGAGACGGACTGGGTAAAAAAAATCTTCGAGGGCTTCAAGAATTAATATGTCGTGCAACATGAAATAATTCGAATAAAATGTTTTTGTGATATATAGGTATGAATATGAATATTAAGAATAATATATAGTATTGTTAGATGGACCAAATGAAAAATGCGCCGCAAACGAGAATTTCTTTGTTCAAGATCGAAGGCATTTTAATTGAAATATAGGTTTCTCAACGGATATGATATGGCTAACTACATTTTCTGATGCATTCCATGTTGAAAAGAACACACATAATTTTCAAAATAATTTGTGTTGTTTTCTAATGTCTACCAGAAACCTAAATGATTTTCAACATTTATGTTGTCGATGTTGCCACTTCTTAGAATTTTCCTGAAATATTCATGAAAAATTATACAGGGTTTATCTGAATGACACCGAAAAAAATGGTGATTCCTTGAGATATTTTAGGAAATAAAGTTCATATGAACATGTGTCCTAACTTGTTTCGTTTTCAAGGTACAGGGTATTGATATTTCCATAAAAAATCGTTTATTCATTCATAATTCAATTGTCTTTTTATCAATTTCGATAAAACGTTGTGGTTTTGTTAATAGTAATATGGAGCTTTTTCTGGAGTTTCATATTTTTATGAGATTGAACTATTGAAATAACAACTTTTTCATCCCCTCTGTGTGATTTTTGTATCTAGCTTAGTTTTTGAGTAAACAATGAAAATTCGATTTGACTTCAAATTTTCCTGGAGGTGTTTTCAAGACTTCCATTGAGATTACTCAATACATCTCAATATAACCCCAATCACAATCATTTTGAAATTTTGGAGCTTCAACAGTCTCCAACCATACTAAATTTTGGCACCATGAAAGCTGATACAGGAGGGTTATAAATGAAAACAATTGATACTTCCAACATTAACATCCTGTATCTCAAAAACGGAGCAAGTTAGGACACATGTTACATGTTTATAGAAACTTTATTTGCTAGAATATCACAAAGAATCCCCCCTTGAATTTTTGGCGTTATTTAGATACACCCTATCACGAAAATTAATGTTATTAAATTGATAAATTCGTTGCCAATGAAAATTGTCAAAAGAAATTTTTCGATTAGCCTTATTGAAGGATACTGAGTCCAATGATGTAATCACTTATTTGAAAAAAATCGCTAACGATATTTCGCAATTTTTAACACAAAAAAGAATTGAATCGGCTGAGAAATTTTACGTACTTAAGGGCGCTCCAGTTTCAAAGTGGCTCACACTGTATAGGTGAATAAAATGGGTAAACATTATTTGAAAGTTATTAGGTTTGTTTTTGTTCGAAACCGTCAGAAGCATGCACAGTTCGAAGGAACATGAAAAATATCAAGAGTTCTGTGAAACTGCGCATGCTCCTGATGGTTTTGGACTGTTTATTAATCGAACGAGAACAAACCTATTAGTATTTTTCGTAATGCAGATCGGGTAGGACATATTTACCAATCATGATGTCACTCTGAACTGAGAGTGAGAGAATTTGATGCCAGAGGCGTTGTAGGCCAAATACACGGAGGGATGTATGAGCCAGTCCACCTCTGACTACACCAGTGAAGAGTGAATTACGTGAAAGAGGAGAGGGTTTGACTTAAACTTGAAGAGACTTGCAAGGGAGGCTATATTTAGGATCGTTATATCGGCATGTGCATGCATACCTCTACCTCTTACTTTTGGAATATCTTATAGGTGCTGAAATCCGTGGAACTGAAAGTTTTGCTCTCTTGCAAATAATGTTATGTACAGGTATGTACAGGGTGGGCTGGATTGGATACTCCCGCAGGAAAGTTTTATTTTCAAACTATAGTTATAGACCAAAAAATGATTTCAGTGTCCGAGGTTAATGTTTTGAGGCATCATGCATCGGAAATGTTTTCATGATTGTTTCACTAATTTATAAATACACGTTTTTGATTGGTTGGAATGTTTATTGTGACTGCATGCCTTTTCTCTAGAAAAGCCGATCTCACTGTGCCCAACATAAGCTTGTCAGGGATAACCATACCTTTGAAGACATCCATTTCGATGCTTGGTATTACTATCAGCATAATAATCTTTCTTGGGAAAATCACGTGAGATCAATTGCTATAAGTGCCTCTCAAAAAACTTGGTTTTCTGTTTCGGGCCAGGAGCTATTTCACTTCGAGTCAGCTGCTTATGATCTATAAGGCACAGATCCGATCTGTCCTGGAATACTGTTCCCATATTTGTAGTGCAGCACCCAAACATACCCTGAAACTGTTGGATTCTGTCCAAAAAAGGGCAATTCGTCTCGTGGGTGATGCCTCGCTCACAAACTCACTCACTTCTCTGGAACACCGTAGAAAAGTTGGCGATCTGGCTCTATTTTATAGATATTTTCATGGACGATGCTCTTCTGAAATATCAACAATTGTTCCTCCCTTGGCAGTCCCCGCGAGATTAACCCCAAGAGTTGAGGCTTCGCACCCCGTCATGGTCACGTTGGAGACCTACAGAACATCTCTCTCCAAAGACTCGTTCATCCAACGAACAGCGAGTCATATAACCTCCAGAAATTCAAGAAGAACACCAACTAATACCTTATTTCCCTTGGTTCTCACGATGTTCTCTGAACATTACAGGATATCCCTTTTCGTGGGAACCAGAACATAAAAAAAAGGTTCCTACCTACAGTACCGAAAACCAAACTACAAATAAACTTGACATAAAATATGAACCCAAAAAACTGACGCTATTGTATGCCAAATATAAAAAAAAATGCAGGATGTTTCATTGGAAAATCAAAAGAGATTATACTCATATATTTCATTTTGTATACATTACTCAAAATTTACAGATATGACCTGGTACGGCCATATTCGTGTGATTCTAATGGCCATTTTATTTTTCAGAGAACTAGACATAGGTTCAACGTCAGTGATTTCTGTTGAAAATGAGGACACTTTAGAGATAACCAATTTGAAGGTAATTATCAAGTATGAGTAGAATATTTTTTCACATAGCACGTGCGGTTAGGTCTCACTTTGTATAAAAAGTACTGAAGTACTCATAAAATGCATTGCCATGCTATTTTTCGTTGGAATATAAATGTGCATTCCGGTCAATGGGGAAAACCACTGAGGGATGAAATCTATCCAAACCCTAATAGTACGCAACCTCCTAGGGACGTCCCAATGTGGTACAAGGCAAATCCGCATGTCCCGTACCAAAAATAATTGTCCTTATGACGTCCCATCCCGTACGTCTCATCCAATGTCCGAGCAAGGACGTCCATGGAATGTCCGAGCTGGTACATCATTTCAAATATCCTAGAAATAGCATCCCTCAGATCTCCCACGTGGTACATATTGTAGAGTGTCCAATGTCCATGCAAGGACTTCCTTTCAGCACGTCCCTGATGGGATATAATTCTTGAAGTTTCTTTAGGGACATTCATCGGATGTTCCAAGTAGTACAAATTCTGGCATGACATCAGATCTTATATATAATGTCCCTTCTAGAACAACTATAGAATATCCAAGACGGTACATTTCTTCAAATATCTCTGCACGGATGCCCTTAATATTTCCAGGATCGTATTACATTCGAAATGTCCCTTTAGGGACATCCGTCGGATGTCCCAATTGGTACATATATATGAACTGTTATGACTTCGGAAGGACCTCCTCTAGAAAATCCATATGTCCATCTAAGTAAATAAGTACAAGAATATTCTTCAGGGAATATAATTTCATGAGATATCATGAGTACAACGTCTCATGGACATACCAAAAGGAACCTTTTTCAATCGATGAATCATGATTTGCTATTGATGCACAATCATAATATTTATAAGTTATACTTGAAGGGAATCGAATCTATAACGTTTGGAAATCAGCATATTCAGCTATCTCTCTCTCTGACACCTCGCCATTCTGCAGTGTTGCAGTGTGATTGGTCAGTTCAAGGACAATAGGCGTGTTGGGATTAATACGTCACACCAGTCACACCAATAAATTGACACCATTTCAAATGGCGCTGGCTTAACATATTTTCTAAGACAGCACAAAGAGATTCTGCATGAGACCGTTCTTAGAATATTCCCGTGGAAGAGTTCGCATAATCTCAGAATGTTCTCACAAGATGCACTGAACATTCTATGAATATATTGAGCAACCTCAGAATGATCTAGGAATGTTCTCAGTATACAGGGTGTTTTGAAGCACATGGAAAATATTTCATGGATCGATATAGGATGAAAACATTCGAAGCCCTGGAAGGAAAAATAAAAACTGGATGGTATTATCACAGGTATTACTAAGATATGTATATTAGCTTTTATATACCAGTTCAGTAGCCTATATTGCCGATTTCTAATTTTGTCTTATTGACCATTAGACCGAAACAGGAAGGCGCGCTTGTCCAAACAAAATCGAATTTACGTCGTTTACTCATCTGCACGGTGCATAATTATGCGTTATGCTACAATTTCTTTGATCTAAATGCGTAATTCGTGTTTTCGAAATCACAGAAATTCCGTCTTTCCGCAGGTACCCGAACAAAATACGGGAGACAGTCGGCAAAGAATCAGGAGGTTCGCTTTCGATTGCTGTTTTCGGGATAGCTGCACGCAAGACCAAGTGAGTTATAATTAATAGTTATTTATGTATTAAGGGAATTATGACGGCCTTAATTACCGATGGCAAAGTTTGCGTCCCGAGGGCCTCTGGCCCGAGGGACAGCAATTGCCAGAGGTTATTAAGGCTCTATAATTCCCGTGGTACATGGATAATTTTATTTCTGACCGATTTTCATAACAATATGTCCATATTTAGAACGCAATAAATGTTTAAATTCATAACCTTTCTGGTATATTTGAATTAGGTAGCGTTGATTGTAGCATTGTTGGTTGTTGCTAGGTTGTCGCTATATGTTACATGTTTATTTTTTTTTTAAGCGGCGGAAGTAATTTTCAGGGAACATTTGAAAATTGTACATTTATTATTTGTAATGACGTGAACAAGGAAAATATGTCTTAGTTTTCATCACATATAAACGTTTATAAGCATTCCTTGTATCATTTTCACCTGTAAAAGGTAAGAGGGAGTTTTTGAACCTTAATATCCCAAGGGAGTTATGACCCTCATTATAGATATCGTAACTATGACGATATAAGCTTATAATGTCACTGTCAGAAATAAAAGCTTTTTTCTGCAACCGACACAAAAGTCGTCCATTTTGATACCAAAATTAGCTCTTAAATTGACGTTTCTATTACTGATACAAAAATAGGTAGGTTGCTAGGCAACACATTTAGTTCCTAGGAGCTAAAGTTGAATTTTAGTTCCTAGGAGCTAAAGTGGAACTTAAGCTCCTAGGAACTGAAAAGGAAGTACTGGACGTGATCAGGGAAGCCTTCAAGATTCAAATACTTGCTTGATCTGTATTACATTCGTTATTCTCGGGATGGATAACTTGGTTTTGAATAATCAAGGCAAGCAATAGTATTTTCTCTCAAACAACGATGTTGTTTAGCTTCATTTGATTATTAAGTGAAAGACATTGTATCATAGAGAGGAGTAAATAATTGCCATTATCATTGTTGATATGCGCATTAACCTAACATTTTCCACGTCTTGTTCCTATAGCTGGCGCGGTATTTGCTATTAGAGCACCTGGTCCATACACAAATATGTCTCTCTGTGATTATACTTATATTGAAACTACAATTCGAACATCCTTGAAAATTGAATGAACCTGCTGTTGATGCAGGTAGAATGTTCTCACTACACGGATTATTTGTCAATATTTGTTGCATTGCATACATATGGCACGGCATTGGTGGTAACTTCACATATTAATTTGAGTTAATTGTTTCGGTTGCAGAAAAAATAGCATGTTTCATTCGGATCAAAAGTGACTTTGTTCGACTCGCAAATTTTGCTTTCGCTCGGCTTCGCTATGTTCGGGTGGAATCTTTGAACTCAATTTTGAAGTAGAAATCTTCAACCGATTGAGCTGAAATTTTTTATACAAGTTCAGTTTGGATGACAATGCACGATAAGGTGTATCACGTTATGCTAAATCCAATATGGCGGACTATCGAAGATGGCGGAATAGCTATTTTTGATATACTTTTACAATATGGGTATCAAATGAAAAGGCTCGTTGAGAATAACTGGAAAAATTATGTGACGTCATTCTTAATCGAATATGGCGGACCATCCTAGATGGCGGAATGGTCATTTTTAATCTACTTCTACAATATGGGTATCAAATTAAAGGGCTCGTTGTGTGACGTTCTTCAGAAAAGTCTAATGAGCCTTCCACCGTGAATCACCCTGTATATATAAGGACCCGTGGTAATTATATTCTTTACTAACAAGGTGTATATTGCATTTTTTCCACCACTAGCGATACATTTCAATCATTTTAGTACTGTGAAACTGAAATATGACCCTATTGTCACTATGAAAGCAATTATTTTCAATTATAATTATAATCTAGTAGCCGCATGAACATGACAGCATAATGACAAGCCGTTATTGATAAATACCTACTAGAGTCGAGTGCTATTAATGCGAATCTCGTATCAGAACAGTGAATGTGAAATAGTCTAGCAAAATACCACTCTGTTCTCAATATCTTCTCATAATTCTGTCTCTCATTGTTAACTCAATGGTGTTGCTGTACAGCAAATATCATTCGTCCTGACAGACATCGTGGTGTTGCTCGGCAACACGATTTCGTGAACAATGAAGCAACAAAATTATCTGGAATATTCAGAACATCGTGATAATACTTATAATAAGATAAATAGTAAAATAGTCGAATGAAGAATTTCATATCCTATATCTATCTGATGAGAATGGAGAAGTTGATATTCCTGATCAACCAAAAATGAATATTTTCGAAGCAGAAATGTCATTCGGTATACAGGAATTGAATTATTTCATTATACATTTTTCATAAAAGTATCGGCATCCTGGAATCAGCAAGAAATTGGCGTGGTTCCAGGTTTCAGTCTTACTACATCGATGGCAGGTATTCCATTTCCAACAAAAATGTAAACAAACCACATCCTGTAGCCTGTAGCTGTCTCTGAATAGGTATTTGCCTCGACATTCGCCTGTTCATTCATCTCACTGCATAACCAAAATATACACAGATTGAAATTCCTCATACGATTGAAAAACGCATCTCATTATATTCAAAAATCAGAATCGCACGATTAGACATTGGAATAGACAATGGAGATTTATTGGATGCCTTCAAAACATTACTGATCATTATACCGGGTGACCCGGAAATAATTTACCCCCCTGTACGTTCGTTGCTATGTTGTATGGATATTTCAAATTTGGAACATCGATTTGATTCAATGAGTGAATTATTTCCGGTTTGACGGGTAGTGTATTGAATTTTTTCATTTAGAATACAATTTATAATTATTTTAAATTACAGTTCAGTATAAAATAACCTTTTCAACGTTATATCACAATCATACTTTCAATTTACAATTTACTCATATAGGGATTTTAAAAAAAAATGCAAATGCAAACATGCTCATACAAAAATAATCATATTCCTGATATTCAATTCAAAAATACTAACAAATATCACAAAATACAGATGCATAGGTACTTACTTATATTATCATTATATTACTACTTATATTGAATAATCTATCATGTCACTCTTTCTTACAAAAAATATACAGGCTGATTCACGGTGGAAGGCACATTATTAGACGTTTCTGGAGAACGTAACTTGGGATTATTCTGAAAATTCGATGCCTTGGATAATTGGTTGTGCTCTATCGACCTAATATATTTTCAGCGCTGCGACGTTGCCGCTTATATTGAGAAGTAGCAACAACTTTGATTTTTTAAATGGGACACCCTGTATATTATTCCATTTTCAGATTCTTCCTGAAGAGCTGATTTCATTGACTCATAACACTAGGGGTCTAGCAGTGACAATTTGAGAGATATAGGGTGTGAAAAATCCAGATTTTTCAACTTTAAGATTTTTTTGTGTCGAAACTATTCTTAATTGGTCAAAACGGTTTCCATGTCCCTATCTCAACTTTTCATTCACTATCAATTGATATTGAAATAGGTACAGGGTGGTTCATTATCAAGAATTTCACTCTCATTGTGACCCTGTATAATTTTTTTCTCCAGGTTTTCGAGTCGATAGAGAAGGTGATAAGCAAATCGGTGAAGCAGCGATGCCATTCGTGCGTGTTGGCGTACGGGCAAAGCTCCACCGGCAAAACGCACACGATGATGGGCGTGCCTGAAGATCCCGGCATCACGCCGAAACTGTGCCGGCGGCTGTTCGATTATCTCGAAGAAGCAGCCATCGTCGGAGACGAAGTTTTCAACACGGATGTGACAGTCAGGTTGGTCATTGAGTAGTTGGTTTTTAACAATAATCATAAACAACTCCTTCTTGAAGGATAATAATGCTAAATACTGTCTGTAGGTTAATCGAGGAGATGTACATTCCAGTGGCGGCTCGTGACATTCATGACAGAGGAGGCTGAATGATATGAGATTTAATGTGAAAAACAACTCTCTACTCACCCAAATCAATAGCTTTAATGATTTTCTGTTTACCAGTTAACCTGAACTTGATACTTGAAGATATGTGTTCCTGTGATTTGCAGTGTCTATCCGATCCGCGAGGCAAATTTTTCAAATCATTAAATCCTAATCGCCCCCAACATGATGACTTATCGGTTGAAAATAATACGCCAAAATAGCTTATTCCTTACCTCAGATCCCGTCAACCAGATATATTTTTATAATAATTATCAGAATTGAACGAACGATTTTGTTTGTTACCTGTAACAATCAGATTTTTTAATTCCGGTATCTGACGTTTGTTTTTCACAATAAATTTATCTGCATAAGACAAAGCACTGAATGGGTTCACCAAAAAGTATTCCACTAAATCGCAATATCGTTTAAAACACTAATTTTTCAGAAATTTATAGAGCCCCTAACCATTAAACCTAACATAAACATAAACAATGCACTCGCGCTGGATTGTCCGCAATTCGCGACGCGACACGACAAACACGTGCTATTCGGGCGTATTCGGGCATTTGCATTGCGCGAGTGGGTTGCGCGTTGAGAAAGGAGTCTAGCCTCCTATAGATGTTGCCAAGTTGAATATTTCACGCGTGATTTGCAGATTTCAACGAGTGATGCGTGGGCAAGCACTGTTGCCAATTCAAAAATATTCACCAAAAAACAGGAGATAAAATCAAAATCCATGTATTTTGGTATCCTTTTAATGAGAAAGTATAGATAATATTAGTTTAAGGAAAATCTCTGAGGAGGCTTAGCGTCCGTTGTCTCCTCTGAAGGGCCGCCACTGGTACATTCATTATTCCAGATTTTTTTGGGATCTTCTCTCCTCGTCTCTATGTATAAAATGAAAATATGAATATTATTTCAATATACGTGTTGTTACGACAAATCAGATGATTTGTCCCAAAATGTCACTGCGTTTAAAGAATTTTCCTATCAGAGAGCCTGAAAGAAAAATTCACTAGCTTGTCAGTAAAAATTTGTATTGAAAAATGTTTGGAGAAGAGAAATAAAGGTATATATCAAATTTATAATTATCTTTGAACGTTTCGGGAACGAATCTGCTCCCGTTTTCAACATAAAAAATGGATTTTCTGTATGGCAAATTAATTCGTATTTGTCCTGACACTTTTAAGTTCTCAGTGACAATTGGTGACGTTGGCAATCAAATGAGTTACAGCATGTTTTCATTAATCAATCTTGAATTCACCATTCTCATTTTCAGATTTCAGTAGTGAATACCATGTTCTATCTATATCAACTGAACAGGAAGCAATGATATTGTCTCCGTTCAGAAGAATGCAAGCAGATTTCTTGATTTTTCTCTTCTGGTTGTTATCTTCTTTTCCAATGATTTTAATATTATTCCACTCTGTCATATCTTGTCCATCTTCAGTAAGGATATATTCAGCTAGTTTCGATTTGTCGATGTGTCTTTTCTTTATATTTTATTTATGTTCCTTCATCTGACCAACAAATTTTCAATCACGAAGTCCACCACATTTAGAATTCGCATTCGCCATATGATGACAAATGTGATTCTATCTCGGTTTATTCAACAGAAAACAACTACTTTCCTGGCTATATGCCACGACGAATATTGAATTACATCTATTGAACACACACGATAAAAATTTGAAAACAAAATCTTCTGAAGTAGAGAATTTGCATTCTCCTTTATACAGAGTGGGCCTTTGAAAACAGAACAGAGGCTCTGTAGGTCGCCAAAACCAGATTATCAAAAAAAAACTGAAACAGGTCAACTACATTTTCGAGGGGGACATCTTTCTAAAATATTTTCAGCCCTGCGGCGTTGCCGCTTCTAAAGAAAAGAAGCAACAACTTTGTTATTTCAAATGGAACACCTTGTATTTTATTGCATTTTTAGATTCTCCCCGAAGAGCTGATTTCATCAATGCATCCTACTTAGGGTCTAGCTGTAATGGTTTCAGGGATATATGTTCAAAATCGAGATTTTTCAACTTTGACATTTTTTTGTGTCGAAACTATTCATTATTGGTCGAAACGGCTCTCATGTTCCTATCTCAACTTGTGATTTACTATCTACTGACATTTAATTGGAACAGATACAGGGTGATCAGAATTCTGAATCTTGAACCACCCTGTATTTGTTTCAAATAAATGTCAGTAGATAGTAAATCACAAGTTGAGATCGGGACATGAGAGCCGTTTTGACCAATAATGAATAGTTTCGACACAAAAAAATGTTAAAGTTGAAAAATCTCGATTTTGAACACTTTATATCCCTGAAACCATTACAGCTAGACCCTAAGTGTGATGCATTTATGAAATCAGCTCTTCGGGGAGAATCTAAAAATGCAATAAAATACAAGGTGTTCCATTTGAAATAACAAAGTTGTTGCTTCTTTTCTTTAGAAGCGGCAACGCCGCAGGGCTGAAAATATTTTAGAAAGATGTCCCCCTCGAAAATGTAGTTGACCTGTTTCAGTTTTTTTTTGATAATCCGGTTTTGGCGACCTACAGAGCCTCTGTTTCGTTTTCAAAGGCCCACTCTGTATAAAGATATGCATATAATATCATTCTGAATATTCAACAGAAAACAACTACTTTCCTGACTATTTGCCACGTCGAACATTGAATTATGTCTGTTTACTATCCAAAAAGAGAGCATGAAAAGTCAAAATCCGCTGAAATTGAGAATTGTCATTATCTCTCAAATCGAATAGAATAATATGATGTATTATGATATAAAAATATAACTTCCAATATGTTCTCAGTATTGAAATGGAAATTGAAATGTATAGGAGAAGTAAACTTTTATGAACATTGAACTCTGATCTTGATGAGCTTGGAACTTCCAAAAAAAAAACATTCGTATCATATGACTTAACTCGAGTAAAACTCATTTCGGATTTCATATCCTCATCAGTAACCTGGAGTCCAGTTATTCTTTCAGCCATTCTTCATGATATACACAATTTTCATCACCCTATAATATAACTAAAACTATAACGAACTAACATCTGACAATTATTATGATTTGTTGACATACTCCTGTCATTTGGGCATTTGGTTTTGGATGTATGATAAATTGACATTCAAAAAAAAAAGAATAAAATAGGTCCACTTGCCTATTCTCCAGTTATCTCAAAACGGTTGTTTATAGAAAAATTAATGCGAACAGAACAAATGGCAGGAAATTGCATGATCCGTTCGCTAGATATGACGATTTAAATTTTCCACATGAAAAACATTTTCAATACACCTACAGGGTGTCCGGAAATTATGCGCAAAAAATCAAGGGGGTGATTCTACATGATGAAATAAGAAATTCTTTTTTTATGTACGTGGGTCCGGAAATGCTTAGTTTTCAACATACAGTGTGAAGATCGGTTTTTTATGAATATCTCAAATGTCCTTCTACCAAATTTCTTGAAATTTGGCAATGATATTCTTTGTCATGAGGGGCTGATATAGCCATAATTCAATTGGAATTATAAAATCCAGTGGCGTCCCGGGGGGCAACCCACCGAATATTATTTTCAATAAAATGTGCGCCACTGATTTCTTTGAATTCTGTATCTTCATAACTTATTGACCAACTAAAAATACAACATTTTGCTCTCCTGAATTAGTTTGATAATTTGCTTGAAAAAAAATATTTTCCAATTTATTACATAAATTTGTGCCAAAAAATTCCTACAAAAACTGAGGTGAAAATGAATGCGTGATCAATGTCCATAGATATAGAATATCTATGAAGATTCATTTTCTTCAAATATTCCTTGATACATGTTTATACACTCTGTATATTGGGAACTATGTTTTCTCGGTCCAGGAAGGCGTAGTTTTCGATAAAACAAAGTGTGTCGAACATGTATTATAAAATATTTGAAGATAATGAATCTTAATTCTTATTCTACGTCTATGGACATGGATAACACATTTAATTTCACCCTTGTTTGTGAAGCAATGTTTTGCACAAATTCATACAATGAATTGGTATTTATTTTTTCCACGGAAACGCAGCAAAATTGCAACACAATTCAAGAGACTAAAATGTTGTATTTTTAGTTAATCAATAGGATATGGATATAGAGAATTTAAAAAGATCAAGGGCGCACAATTTATTTACAAAAATATTCGGTAGGGTGCCCCTGGGACGCCACTGGATTTCACAATTCTAATTTGAAAATGGCTAAATCTGCCCCTCATGACAAAGAATATCATAACCAAATTTCAGAAGAATTGGTGAAAGAATATTCGAGATATTCATAAAAAACGATTTTTTCTAGAAAGTTTAACACATTGTATCTTGAAAACTATGCATTTCCGGACTCAAGTATATATGAAATAAATTTCATGTTTTCTCATGCAGAATCACTCCCTTGATTTTTTGCTCATAATTTCCGGACACCCTGTATATATTTTTCATGATTTGATATTTTTCAGAGACCCTGTAACAATATTATGAATACGCAGTAATCCAAATATTTTTTACTATGAAATTGAATTATGATCATGCGTGTGTGGTAATGAATCTGACAAATCATATCGCTTAATATGTACGTTCTCTTATCTCTCCCCAACACTAGTCGCTTTCACACATGCGAATGAGCTGAAAATCCTGAAACCTGAAATGATGATTGTTTATCGACCCTACCTGAAAGATTATTTCTTCAGATACCTGTCTACCCCTGAAAATGAATCAATTACTTTGTATTGCCAAAGTTTGGCGGGAACGGTTCGAGTATCTATGACTGTTTTGAAGTTTTACATCAGGAAATTCACTTTATTTCATCGGAAACTTCACACTATTTTCTTTGTAATGGAAGATACTATTGATTCAAGGGGTTTTATGGATCTGAAATCTGAAATCAGTTGAGAAAGATATATAGTTTACAAATTGAACTAGGGTATACATCAGGTTCAGTGAAGTGAATTATACAAGTTATGAGTACAGGGTGGGTATTTTTCGATGCTCCCATTAGCAACCATTGGCACCTCGGAAAGGATAATAGTTACGAACTCGGGTGGATCAGAAAAAGTTGCACTTTTTAATGGCGAATATATAAACAAGGAAACCATTTTCCGATATGTTGATTGTTGATTGTTGATAATATCAAAAGAAATTTTTAGAGTATTGATCAGATAGTGCTCTTCCAAAGGAAATATATTTGTTTCTTCATAAAGTTGATTTGATGGATTGTCATATGGAAGACGATACAGTACCTTTAATGCTTTCTTATACATATATTGTGTCTTATTAGAATTAAGAGAAAGGAGATTGGAGTAAACTCATTCTTCCATTTTATTTAAATCCTCATTTGTGTTGTTTTCTAAAATTACAGGGTTTTTGCTTCCAAATAAAAGTACTGTGTATACAGGGTGGCCCACGGTCGATGGTACCTTATACGTATACGGAAAACGGTACATTGGATTATCCTGAAAATTTGGTTACTCTAATAAGCGTTTGTGATCTAACGATTCAAAATATTTTAAGCGAAGCAGCGTTGCCACTTTTACCAAAAAGTAGCATCATCTTTGTTATTCCAAATGGAACACTCTGTATTTTGTTGCGTTTTTAGATTCTTCTCGAAGAGCTGATTTCATCAGTGTATCACACTTGGGGTCTAGCAGGAATTATTACAGAGATATAGGGTGTTCAAAATCGAGATTTTTCAACTTTAGGATTTTTTGGTGGCGAAACTATTCATCATTGGTAAAAACGGCTTACATGTCCCTATATTAACTTTTGGTTAACTATCTACCGACATTTAATTGGAAAAAATACAGGATGGTCCAAGATTCAGAATTTTGATCACCCTGTATCTGTTCCAATTAAATGTCAGTAGATAGTGGATCAAAAGTTAAGATAGGGACATGTGAGCCGTTTTGATTGATAATGAATAGTTTCGACACAAAAAATTCCTGAAATTGAAAAATCTAGATTTTGAACACCCTATATCTCTGTAATAATTCCTGCTAGACCCCAAGTGTGATACATTTATGAAATCAGCTCTTCGAGAAAAATCTGAAAACGCAATGAAATACAGGGTGTTCTATTTGAAATAACAAAGATGATGCTACTTTTTGGTAAAAGTGGCAACGCTGTATCGCTGAAAATATTTTGAATCGTTAGATCACAAACGCTTATTAGAGTAACCAAATTTTCAGGATAATCCAATGTACCGTTTTCCGTATACGTCTAAGGTACCATCGACCGTGGGCCACCCTGTATATGGTATTTTGTGTTTTATTCAGTGTAATCTTATCGTGGTATTTTTTAAACATTATTCCGGTAAATACTGTCTGTAGGTTAATCAAGGAGGTGGTACATTCATTATTCCGAAGTTTTTGGGATTCGTTTCTATAAAATAAAAATATGGATATTATTTAATTTGTCAATGAAAACTGAAAAGTTTCAAGACAGATACGACTTCGCTATTAAAATAATCTTTCCTTATGTTGAAAACGGGAGCAGAATCGGTCCCGAAACGTCCAGAGATAAGTGAAAATTTGATATTTTTTCTATATACCTTTATTTCTCTTCTCCAAACTTTTTTCAATACAAATTGTCACTGACAAGCTAGTGAATTTTTCTTTTAGGCTCTCTGATAGGAAAATTCTTTAAACGCAGTGACATTTTGGGGCAAATCATCTGATTTGTCCTTACTACACGTATATTGAAATAATATCCATATTTTTATTTTATAGAAACGATGAGAGAAAATCCCAAAAAATTTGGAATAATGAATTATTCCGGTGTTGCATTTTCTTACCGAATACCTCTCTAGCTTCAATTGAAAACCAGAAATTTCCAATAATAATCCAATGAAACTCTCGTGGTAATAAGTGAAAATATCTTTCTCATGTAATTTCTCCCACGACAGCGCTAACTCTTTAATTTTTGCACCCTCATTCCCCCTCCCTACCGTTCGCATACGTTTCGAACTCCGGCTCGCGAAGTTGGAAGTTGCGAAGTTGTAAAATTCTCACGCGAACTCCGTGTTAAGCGAGTCGCACAACTCATGTCAGCTCGGAATGTGTTTCTAGATGTTTTAACGAATCGTTCGGGAGTGTTTGTGTAACATTTCGAGAGATTGGTTGTTTGTGGACTTTAAGTGAAACGAATAAACAGCTTGGAGGTCGATCGTGCATTGTGTAAATAAGAGTGTATAGGGTGCAATTCGGTAAATATGAGACATGAAAAAAAAAAATGGTGACATTCTTGATTTTTTTTCTGAGACAAATTCACTAGCGGAAATAACAATTTGATATCGTCTTTTGATTTCGAGTTATGAACAGAAGTTCGATTTTCCGACTTTTAGACATATCACATAGTGATAGTTTGTGAATTTACCGAACATTATTTTCTTATTATGATCAAGTAATTTTTTTGCTGTATATTCCAGTGGCCCTGAGGATATTTTAACAAGGAGTCAATATCTAGTTATGCTCTGAAGTTGCACGTTTTCGAATGTGAACCAGACTTCAGAATTCATATCTGGAATTAGTCCATACATGATTGAAAAGCAGAAAAAAGTTTTACTAAATCATAGCTAACTGTATGATTCCTATTTGAAAAATTCGAAATTAAAATCCCAACGTCACTGAAATATATATAGAAAAAAGTGGAATGTGAACGTTTTTTTCTCCTAACTTTGCATACAAACACGATATTCACGTCACGATGTGTCTGAAAGTCAAACTAACTTTTATTTACAACTCTTGTTTATAACTCTAAATCAAAAGACGATAGAAAATATTTGTTTTCGCCACTGAATTAATCTCAAAAAACAAAACTGAGAATGTCTTCTCCAATTTTTTGTATCTCATGTATCTACTATATAGTTTCAGAGTCAACTAATACAAACTTTGACATTTCTGGACCCTGGTTTGATTTTTGAAAGTTCTATGTTATGTATACACCAACCTAAGTTTTCAACTTCAATTTGAAAGAGTCGTTCACAAAATAGTAATTAATACGTTCTGAATCCGAATCTGTTCAATAAATTCGTTGTTACTTAAGTCCCAATAATAAAATCCTAAATTCATCATCTTGATTTTAGATAAAAAAAGGTGTAGTTTTCCTACATGTTGATCGATATGAACGTCATTCAATGAGAATGAGAGCTTTTCAAATTTCTGATTTTCTTTTTATGAACTCTGGGTGTTTTTAGTTGAAGGTACATTTCTTTCAGCTACTTGGAGATATACAACGAAAAAGTACGCGATCTCCTGCAGGATGAGCAAACAGATGAGGATAAAATCAGAAGAAAGAAGTCTCCATTGAAAGTGCGGGAACATCCCAAAAAAGGACCGTACGTTCAAGGTAAGAGATCTGCCACAACGACAAAACACAACTAAAATGGAAAAAAGAACAATTCTGATGCGAAACTAAAATCTCTTTGTCTACAGTTTCATTTTTTTCTTCTTTCGTTGTATAAGTTTTTCCACAGTATTTACTTTTGCCATTACGATGAATCTCTGCTCCTTCTACTACTCCGTTTTATCCAAACTTTCGAGGCGTCGGGTATACATTTTGAAGTAAATCTTTCTTTGCTCTTGCAATGAGGATGAGTTCATTGTAATAGTACACATCTTTGAACAGCAGAACAGAAACACTTTTTTTATACACATTATTCTCACGTCTATTGAAAATAATATTATTAATACACTCTTTTACTTCAATAATGTTAACTTTGGGATTTCGTTGTTATATAGATATATTTTATTTTCTCAGATCACAACACAATAAACGTCAAATATATTCAAAAAAATGAATATGTTGGGATGTTGAACCTTCACACTCACTGCATCACTACTGTTAGAACAAAAAAACAATTTTCTCGAATAATTGCATGAAATTCTGTTTGTATACTTCTATTTATAATTACCTCTAGGGAACACCTTGTATACAGGAGATAAAACTGAACGAAATTTCCAGGTGTCCCGTTTCTGTCTTTGATCACTCGAGAACACCCATTATTTATAATTTCTTCACCATCATAAATGAAAATATACAAAGTCATCTCCACAATTTTAATTGAATTAATAATCAAATGTATTTCCCGAGGTATTTCATAAGTAGTTACGTACAATATTTTTTCTAATTTTGATGGAAAATGTCGCTTGAACAGAAATAATGACCATTTCTACATGATTTCTACCGATTATGTAGAAAATGTCACACCAAACATTTTCGATCAATTTAAAGCCTGTATTTCGTATCGTTACCATATCAACAAAACAAATTTCTTCTTTGCTAATTCGAAATTTACACAAACACATGTTGTTACTATGTGTTCTTTTCCTACCGAATACCATTTTAGCTTCAATCAATATCGGGGAATTTTTTCTCGAACACGAATATTTAGAAAATTTTCAAAATATTCGTGTTCTCGAAAAAACTCCCGGAAATAATTGAAGCTCTCTTGATATAGGTCGCGTGCACGAAGACCGACCCTGGAGGCAAAATATTGAAACACAACCTCATTCTTCTGTGAATTATTGAAACACAACCTCACTTTTTTATTTGGTTACAGAGGAATCAAAAGATTGAGATAGTTTTTCACAATATTTTGATATACGAATCGTGTTTCTTGCGTTATTCATTAATTCAAGCATGCCTTCGCATTGTGCTGTTGTACAATGCACAAAAAATGCAGCAAGAGACTAGGGAATATGATTTTTCAGGTAAATAGTAATCTCACATAGTTAGCATTATGAAATGTTGTCATTCCTTATTAAAATTCCTTCTGCCTTCTGCCACTTCTGCAATACAAGCTAATGCTGCTAATAGATTGAAAATGTCTACAACACACACGATCGTCAGCATGTCAGACCAGTCCTACCGATTGATTGCATGAATCCAATCTTCTTGCATTATTCTAGAAATTTCAGGTATATTTCTATTAGCTGATCCTATTGCAGAAGGAATTCCGATGAGAAATCAGAGAAATAACCAAATTTCAAAAATGAAAACTATGTGAGTGTCTATAGTAGGTACTTACTTTTGAATCATAATGTACCATACGGATTTCTTCATCTTCCGCTGCAGTTTTTGTGCATTTTACAATAGCACAATGTGATGGCATTAGCGAATTGATGAATAGCGGAAAAATACGATTCCTATGCCAAAATAATTGTGGAAAACTATTTCGATCACTTGTAAACAAATATGTTTTGCCTCCAGGGTCGGTCATCTGACAGTTCTTGCACGCGACCTATTATGAGTGAAAATGTAGTAGACAAGTAGACTTCGCCTGTCACTTGAAAGTATCCGTCAAAGGCGTCAAACAATATAATACGATATACGGTCACAAATCAATGACGAAATTCACGAAAAAGACTTTCAATATTTTCATAAGTGGAAAATGGGTGAATCAAGTTCAGATTTCCCAAGTACCTACCTATTTTATATTGATCATTCCGTGTATAAATAGTATTTGATGCAATCATTTGTTATTTGAAATCGTCGCAAATATTCCTTCTCAATAATTAAATTCGGCGACTTCGAAAAATGCCAGGTTTGATGACGTCATGAACCGAATTCTGACTTTCTCATAAAGAGTAGGACCATATTATTATACACTGCCAGATTTGTAACTAGTGAATATTTTATGAGATTCAATAAGACCAACGACAACATTATTTCATATACTTGCAAGATGTTCCAGTACCAATAAAAGTGTTCTATATAGTATTCCTAATAATACGAAGGCTCGGAATTTTAAAATTCCGAGCTATAACTCAGAATTTTGAAGAGTTTTTATTTTTTTCATTTTATGTGTCCCTTCCAGGCCTTCGTATAATAATGATCGAGATTATTATTTTGTGGCACGATCGAGCGACAGTGTAATGCCTAAGTTCCCACAAATACAAAAATAGAAGAAGAAGACAAGCTACATCGTGAATTTCAATAATTATTGAAAAAAGTTACAGAGCTCTGAGGAATAAACGATTTGCGACAGTGAACTAGTGGCGGAAATTTGATCGAAAGACAAATGAAAGGAAAACATTTGATAGAATTCTTTTGATCGAAAATCAAAAAATAGAAAGAACTTTTCACCGAAAATACATTTGATGTTTTATGATAGAGAATACATTTGATAGAAACATAAATGATTGAAAATACAATTGATAGAAAAAATATTTGATAGAAAATACACTTGATAGAAACAACATTTGATAAAAAATTCAACGGGGCTACGCTCAAGTCAGGTCAGTTCGTTTGTGAAGACATGATCCTACCTGATATATTTGAGAAGAAGGAGCTAGAAGTTTGTGGTATCAATAAATTCATATAAGCTTCGATTTCCATCTAGCTCCTTCTTCTCAAATATATGAAGAAGGGTCATATCTTCACAAACGTACTGACCTAACTTGAGCGTAGCACCGTTGAATTTTCTATCAAGTGCTGTTTCTATCAAGTGTATTTTCTAACAAATATTTTTCCTATCAATTGTATTTTCTATCATTCATGTTTCTATCAAATGTATTTTCTATCAAGAAACATTCGATCAAATGCATTTCGATCAAAATACTTCTATAAAATGTTTTTCTATCATTTGTCTTTCGATCAAATTTCCGCCATCCGTTTCGAGCCTAAGAACATCCTCATCTTCATCTGATTCCTTTATTTCCTCAGGGCTATCTGAGCACCCAGTGTCCAATCCGTCGGACCTCCTGGACTGGTTGGAGAAGGGCGACAAGAAGCGCAAAGTAGCCGCCACGTTGTCCAATCCGCGGTCGAGCCGCAGCCATTCGGTGTTCTCGGTGAACTGCGCCGGCGTCAAATTGAACCTGATCGATTTGGCGGGCAGCGAACGGGCGGCCAACAGGTGCTTCGACCTGTCCAGGTTCAAGGAGGGCGCCAACATCAACAAGAGCCTGGTCGCTTTGGGCAACGTCATATCCGCCTTAGGTGAGGACATTTTCCATCCATGTTCCTAAATGAACACACGAAGCCATCGAAGTTTGTCGTCAGCAATTTCCAAATTAATGTGTAGTAGTTGAAAGGGTGTGTCGATAACGATTGTATAATATTCAGTTTACGTGAAGTCGTGCCGAAGTAGATGATAAGTTTGCATGTGAGCATAATTCACCGCCGCATCGGTCGTTCTCGCCATCGTTCGATGCCATCGGATGGTCTCCGATCCACTCAAACTTGATTAATCCAATCGATTCCGATGTCATACCGTTCAGTTCTCCGTCCGATCAGACTTTATAAATAAACGAAAACCGTTGAGTCCTCCGTCCGACCACCGTATAAAATAGACGAAGTTCGTGTAGTCTTCAGTCCGACCAAATGTTCTTCCCTCTATGATCTGTTTATAAGAATTATATGTATTCAATCTACATACTATTTCAACTTTATGTGATGAAGAAATCCATGCAAGCACATCGTTTCCTTGGATTTTTGAAATCGCAACACTTTATCCAATATCTAACAACTCGTCATTTAGGACTCCAACTGAAACAAAACGTTATCACCGATGCATCAAGGCCAACAAATCAGGTTTATAAGCAAACTGGCATTTTATCAGTCTCAGAAATATTTATGAATTGAACAGAGTAAATTTATATACAAAGTTTGCAAATCTGAACAGAATTGTAATTCAAGAATTGAATTAAACCATGAAGTCCATTCCTATGAGACAAGGAACCAAAGAAATATATACATCGAGCCCACAAGAACGAACATCGCTTTAAATAACCCTCTCAATGAATGTATCAAAACCTTTAATGGTCTACCAGTGGCTTTGAGGGATGCCGATAACATAAAAATATTTGGAGTGCGGCACCCAAACATACCCTGAAACTGTTGGATTCTGTCCAATTAAGGGCAATTCGTCTCGTGGGTGATGCCTCGCTCACAAACTCACTCACTTCTCTCGAACACCGTAGAAAAGTTGGCGAGCTGGCTCTATTTTATAGATATTTTCATGGACGATGCTCTTCTGAAATATCAACGATTGTACCTCCCTTGGCAGTCCCCCCGCGAGATTAACCCGTCGAGTTGAGGCTTCGCACCCCTTCGTGGTCACTTTGGAGACCTGCAGAACATCTCTTTCCAAAGACTCGTTCATCCAACGAACAGCGTGTTCCCCGAGGCATATAACTAGAAATTTAAGAAGATCACCAATTCCTACCGGATTTCCCTTGGTTGTCACGCGATGTTCTCTGAACATTACAGGATATCCATTTTCGTGGGAACCAGAACATAAAAAAAATCTGTAACAATAACATCACTGCATGAAGATCAGATTAGGATAGTATTTATTTTTCAAATAGCGTCGAAAACAGTTATGTACTAAATTAACAATAATTGAGTTAAGCTAAAAAAGAAACTATCAATCACATATTGAATAACTGAGCAACGATATTCTTATCATTTTTAGAAGTTTTAAAATGAAAATTCAATTATTCACAATATCAACAGTTACTTTTACTACACTTTCGCTCCTAATAATATTTATGATTGTTTGACACTTTTACTATACTCTCAATTAAACAGAGTTATGTCATCAGTAGAATATTCATTGTTTGACATTTGACATTTTATAGGAGACGTGATTCCTGATTCATTGTACAATAATGGCAATAATTATAACATGATGAAAACTTTGGCTTATCAGGTAAGGAAATGAAATTGAAGAAGACAATGTACCACCATTGTTCTTTCTCCAGTTTTGTGTCATACCTGTAGAAAAACAAACATCTCTTCATAATAGAATCAACCACATTGAAAATGATTAAGAATGGGATTGATAGTAAAAAACTCTAGGGAAAGTACCTAGTATAACTACTATATGTTTAAGCTAGAAAAGTTCATAGTATTTCGTAAATTATGTTCGTGACGAAGTTCAGATTTCGAATAGCAATGAAAACTAATTTCGGTCGTTCAAAGTTTGAACATTTAATATTTCTTTGTTTACACTCTCGCATACCATTAAACAAGGTGAAGGAACCTTTATCTTTAACAAAACAAAACGAATTGAAATGATATAATTTAAGATGTTGTTCATTTTGGGGTATATTGATAGTAGTCAAGACTGTTTGAATATGGAAACTACAACATTACATGTACAGAGTGAATCAATTGTGTGGCAATGGAAGATAGTTTCTCAATTCATCGACATAGGGATAACAGCATTGGCTTTTTTATTTCAGCGGAGCAATCTACTAAACAAAAAGGTATAAGGAGAAAATTCGTGCCATACAGAGATTCCGTCCTAACATGGCTACTAAAGGACATTTTGGGAGGGAATTCCAATACTGTTATGGTGGCAAGTAAGTACATTAGTTCATATTTTTCACATCACTGCACTTGAACTTTGACAAACAGACAAAAAAGAATCTGTCTTATGTGGTGCTCGAATTTCGACGATTACATCACGTTAAAGAAAGCATTTTATAGTGTTACACTGATTCAGTAGTAGATACTGTCCATTAAAATGTATCGAATCATCCCATTATAATTCGCATTCTGTCTTTTTCAGCTATTTCTCCTTCCAGCGCCTGCTACAGTGAAACCGTCAACACTTTGCGTTTCGGGCAACGCGCCAAAAATATCGTCGCTAGGCCGGTAGTGAACGAAGATCCCAAAGAAAGGACCATCAGGGAGTTGAGAGCCGAAATTTACAGGTTGAGAGAAGTCTTGGACAGTCTTCAGGTAAGAAAAATCAGAAAATCAAGACTTTTCTTCTTCTTCCATCTAGTATAACTTATGAAACTGGTTAAGGAACCAGCGATCAGAGGATAAAAACGAAGAAGATGAGAGAACGGGTATCTCATTTGTCAAACTCAAATCCAAAAGTCACTCTGGTCATTGTGAACCGTCAAACATGAGTCAAAATTCGGCATAATATCATCCCTTTCACTATGGAACCTGACCATACATTTTTATTTCTAGATCTCACCCCATACTCAAATGAACGACAAGATCAATGACCTTACCGCAGAAAATCAAGATAAATCCAATACCACATCTTCAAATCAGTCTCAGTCTCGACTCCAGCCAGTGCCAGTCCAAAGCAAAAACCCCACATTGGAAAAGCAAAACTCAAGGGATAGCATCACCAACACGGAGCAACTTTTACCGCTAATAAACGTTACCAGTTCAGTGAATTCCAAAAGACTCACCCAGCTCAAAAGAACTTTCAGTGTTGATCAGCCCCTATCAAAAATGGACAACAATTTCGGTTCCAACGATTCCCTACCTTCCACCAGCACCAAATCGATACCATCAACCACCCCATCCACAGAGTCTTTGAGCTCCAGAAGGAGCAGCATCCAGTCCTCTCTGCGAAGAAAATCCCTTAACAAATCCATACCTTCCCTACCGAGAGCCACAGTCAAAAGAGGTTCCCTAGAAGCGACCGCTAAGAAAATAGAAAAGGCAATATCGACAGACCATTTACCTCAGAAAACAGTAGAGTCCAGAGTGGATTCCATCAGGAGAAGACCCTCAGCTAAGCCTAGGTCGCAGATAGTTGCAGCAGTCACTAGCAGACTATATTCGAAGCTGAAAAACAAAGAAGTTTCGACAGACACTGACGATATCAACACTTACAATCTCGAGGAAATCGCCCCTAAGGAGCTCCAGATCTGCGAGAACGCGAGAAACCGCCTGAAGGAGATCACCAAGCGAGCCCTGCGAGCCCACCGAAGCCGAAACGAGGAAACCCAGACCGACCTCAATCCCGTGAGGAGGGTCAAAGAGACCTCCACCGACGTCAGCGATCTCAAGCTGGAACTGCTCGAAGTGAGAGAAGCTGAGACCAGCTGCGACCCGGTGCAAACGAAAGACGCGTCGGTAAGCTGCGCCTGCTTGGACAGCTGCTCCGAGGGAAAAAGTCTGTTGCTCACCAGGTCTTGTGGGACGCAGTGCGAGGAGAACAAACCGATGTCTTTCACCAAGTATCTTCGCGATATCCAGGAAGATTTGCCTCCCAATCCCATCTACACCAACGCGGTGAACATCAAGATCTCCAACAATTACCATAATGGGGAGAAAGTGTCTGGCAAGAACTTTGCTGTGCAAGTGGGTGCTCAGGAAGAGTTCAGTGGATGTTTGGCTACGCCGGATCTGCTCAGCAACCACAATTCTTTGGAGCACAACCAAGCCACCAAGGAGACGCAGAAGCTGTTCCACGAAAGCAGCGAGAAAATCGATGATGTGTTTGGGGTGGCGGAAGCGTTTTCTTCCCCAAGCACTTTCTCAACAGCAAATTGTAGTGTTGTGCCGAATTTTTCAACTAGTAACCCTTCGGTGAAGCTGACCAAGACCTATGCCCCGGAGATTTTGCTGAACAAGTCGTTCGAAGACGAGTATTGTTTGCCTTTGCCTATCTTTGAACCGAAGAAAGCTATGCCCAATGTACTGCACGCTGATGAATCGAGGTTCGAAGAGGCTGTTTTGGTGAAGGAACCTCTCATCCTCAAGTCGATCGTGAAGCACCAAGGTGCTGGGGAGCAAGAGGAACCAAGCGCTCTGATGGATTCGCTAGACTACCACAGAGCAAACAAGAAAGTCAAATTCGTCGAGGAGCGAAAGGACGACCAGCAAAGGATGTTCAAAGCCATGTCCTCGTTCTTGGAGGAAGCCACCAAGATGATGTCGAAGCTGGAAAAGTCGACGTCGACCTCTCTCATCGGCGACTACGACTTGGAGGTGACGTTGAACGATAAAAGAGCTACGAGGAGACACAAAAAGAAGTCCAGGCATCCTTCGTGCCCGGCACATCGACCAAACGTGGAGGAGAAGTTCATCCAGACCGCTTCGCCCCGGAAAACCACCTCTTCCACGCAGTGCGACGGCCGTTTTGGCCTGCCGCCCAACAGGTATGTGCTGATCCACCCCTTTACACAGATTGCGCAACGCCATTCATAGGACGTTCATAGGATATATTCTCCGAGAATATGTCAATATTCTCAGAATATTCTCACGATATGATACAAATATTATAGGGACGTTCTATGAGCATTCGGGATATAGACTGTTGTCAATAATATTCTGAGAATATTCCTGGTATATTATAGAAGGAAGGATATAAAAAAACTGGCCTAAGTGAGATACTATACTCTCTTGCTATTGAATTTATTCAAACCTGACATGAATTATATGTATAGCCAGATGTCAACACTTCATCAGTAGGATAATTATGGCATTGAGACTAGAAAATGATAGGTTGGGTCAGGAGGTTCGATACTATATTCTGTATATTCTCAGCATATTCCGAGAATATGTCGAATTTAAAGTTCATAAAATATTTGTTCCAGGATGAAAATATTCTATGATATTCTGAGAACATTCTATCAGAGTATTCTGAAATAATTAATTCTGAACGTTGACAGAATATTCATAGACTATTGATAATTAAATTTAACTGGAATTTGTTTCCGAGTGAATGACATAATTTTTGCTTTTCTCAATATTTAAACCTAGATTGTTTTTCTCACACCACCCACAGAGATTTTTTATATCTTCCTGTAGAAGGTTACAGTCTGATACATCATCTACTTTCCTGAAGATTGTCATGTTGTCTGCATATAATAGTTTATGGGAATTTATGGAGTTCGTGATGTCATTGATAAACAGGAGGAATAGAAGAGGTCCTAAATTGGAACCCTGAGGAACACCCGAAGTAGCTACGAATGTGGGTGATTTGACACCTTTATATTCGACTAATAAATTTCTATTTGATAAATAGAATCATTAGAGGTTTACTGTCTTGAAATCTCGTATTTTCAACATCTCTGAGATGTTTTCGTGCTCGCTGTATTGGTCAAGTAACTTTGTCGCCTGAACATATGTGGGTAGTATGCGTCAAATCCGGTACCTAGTTCCGATTTTGTGCAGTTTTATTCATGAATGATCCAAGTTTGTGACCTCGAGCACCGAACGCAAATTTTGTCAAAAATCGCCAATTTTGGCGATTATAACCCTGAAGGACTAGTTTTTCAAAAAAAATCTCTCAGGACATTTTTAAAGCAGATCAAATTTGCTACAATATAATAAAAAAACTGTCTCTGTAGACTCAATAGTTTTCGAGATTGAGCCTTTCAAAGTTTATAATTTTTTTCGAACTTTGCAATTTTTCGCAATGTTTTAGGCGTCACTCGAATATACTCTAGCGGGATGAAGTTTAAATTACCTCCGACGGAGTGTGCTAGTACTGTTCGTGTGAAGTCACGAATACGACCCACCTACAATTATGAAATTATAATAAGATATAGCAAGTTGAAAAAAAATGCAAATAATCATGCAATATCAACCTAGTCTTTTATAAGTAGGTATTCAAATAAGAAATGGAATTATCAAAGTCTCTGAAGCAGATATTTTTTCAAGTTAATTTTGAATCTAGTTGCTTCCTGTATATTCCTCAATTGACTTGGTAATGAGTTGTATAGAACGATTCCTGTGTGAAAAATTGATTGTTTGCCGATATTTTACTTGAACGTATTTGCTATTAGTAAATTTGATTGTCTTGTTCCATGATTATGTAATGAATTGATTTCATTGAAATTTAGATTCGAAATTTTCAATTTATATAGGACAAATTGAATAAAACAACATATTTTAAGTTTATATAGTGATGTCAGATCTAATAAATCTCTTGGTTTGTATAAATTCATGGTTGGTTCAAGAAAATTTAAATTGAAAATATACTTCAATGTTTTATTTTGTAATTTCATTAGTGGACTCAAACGTGAAATATTGCTACTTCCCCATATAGATATTAGGTATTGAAATTTTGAGTAAATAAGAGAGAAATGAATACTCTTCAAGTATCTGGTAGAAATGAAATTTCGTATTTTGAATAAAATGCCTGTAATAGGATTAAGTTTGTTCCTCAAATGATCTATATGTTTATTCCACAATAGTCGTTCATCAATATAAAGACCTAAAAATTTCGTAACATCTGTATATTTGATGTTGTTGTGTTTGTTGAAGGATAGTGTTCTATTTGAAATGTTCAATGTTCTTTTTGCTATGTACATATATGAGGATTTGTTATAATTGAGAGATAGTTTATGAACTTGTAACCAAGAGGATATTTTCTCTAAATAACTTTTCATGTCCATGAAAATATTATTTGAATCTTTAGAGAAATGAATCAATGTCGTGTCATCTGCAAATAATTTAAGTTTTCCTCTCAATTCCAAGTTTGATAATGAATTCATGTAGATCAAAAATAAAACTGGTCCCAAGACTGACCCTTGCGGTACACCGCATGAGATGTTCATTAAGGAGCTACAAGTACCACTCGAAGTTGCGTTCGGCGCTCAAGGTCACTTGGATTATTCATTAGGTCAACATCATGAACAAGTCTGCAAAAAATCAGAACTACCGGATTTGACGCGTATAAAGTTACTGGATTATATACAGTGCTACTAATAATCATCTCGGGGCACCACAGGTACGAGGTGGTACTAGAAGACTCCTGCAAGCGGCTGGAGGAGAAGATCCGGTGGATCCCGGAGGCGAGACCCAGGCCTCCACAGAGCGACTTCTGCGAGGACACCTCCTGCGGGTTCGCGGAGGACCGGCGGAGTTCCGATCTGGAGGAGTTCATGGGGGAGAGTCCGGTGGCGTTCTCGGACTACGGGAGTTTGCCCAGGAAGAGGTATACCACGTGGTCGAGGTGCAGCCCCAGCGCTTACCTGAGGCAGCTCACGCACATGAGGAGACAGATCGTGAGGTCGTCGCGCGAGGATTTGGATAGCGAGGGGTTCCAGTGATGGGGGTGGTTTTTTGTCGTGGGGCAACCGTGTATTGTTTGGATTAGGTTTGTACTATTTTTTTATATTGATACTGAGATGATTCGTATTGTTTTAGCTGAATGGATTCTTGAATAAAAATATGTAAATGTGGTTATTTCATGCAGTTAATAGTATCAGAGATATGTGTTTTTTGAAACTTCTCAGATAGCGCAAAATGATTCTGAGAATGTTCTCACAAGGTCCGCTGAATGTTCTGAGAATATTTTGAGTATACATATGCAGATGTGACAAAAATTCACGTTCTAAGAACGTTGTCATAATATTTTTCAGATCATTCTAGAATATTTAGACAATCCTCAGAAATGATCTAGAAATTGATATGCTCAGTATACCGGGTATCTTAAAAAGCGCATGGAAAATATTTCAGGGATCGATATAGGAGGAAAATATGTTCATAATGGGTCATAACAGAACTGTATGTTCCTAAAGTGGCCATTAGGTTGATATTCATTAGTTTCTGCACCCCAAACGGGTAGGAAGAAAGTTAATTGGAGAAAATATCAATAAATTTGAATTCACTTTAAACCACATTTTTACCGCAGCGAAACGGATTTTGAATAATCAATGAAGAATCGATTTTTTCTGAAAAATTTGACTCGCTGTGTATCAAAAACGAAGCAAGTAAATATATGTTTATAGGAAAGAATATTTTTTCTAAATACTGTCTGTAGGTTAATGGAGTAAGTGGTACATTCATTGTACAAGGTTTTTTTCTCTTTTTCATAATTAATATTCATGAATAAGACCAGCCCTATACAACTTCCACATTCAACGAGCGAATATTGTCTTCAAAAGAAATAACGACGCCGTAAGGATCATTTCATGAAGATTTTAGACCACACAATTCTGAAATATAGTGTGTTTGAGAAAAAGTGCTACACATAATTATATCTGTATCACTTTCCATTATACACTCAGTTCCAAAAAAAGTGACGCACTTGATATTTGACCTATCTTCTTAAAAAAAAAACAACAAATAGTAGGCCGATTTTTATTTATTTTTAATTTGTTGGTGGGTGATGCATTTGTCTTTAAAAAAAAATGCAGGTGAACATTTTTTCAAAGCCTCCTTGATGGTGGTGGAATAACTCGAACCGTGATTTATTCTTAATCTTTGACTCACCCTGTGTGTTAATTGAGTGATGGCATAGAAAATGCTTGCACCCTTCACGAAAGAGGCTTCTTTTGCGAGCATTTTGTTTTTTTATTCATTGATTTATCTCTAAAATTTTTCGAATTACAGCTTTTCTTGCTGAATCCTTGCAGATTACCAACTTTCTGAATTTATCGAGAAACAATTTTCTAATGAAATAAACTGATACCAATAATTTTAAAAAACATGTTTATTAAACACAAAATTATAAATTGGGATGACTGCTTGATACCGTGTATTGCCTCCTCTAGCAACTCTAAGAACTTCTAATCTACGAGACATACTGGAAATTAAGTTGCTTATCGTTTCCATTGGTACACGTTCCTATTCTTCCACTAATGCATCTGCCATTTTTGCGAGACTTTCCGGAGATCTCTCGCGAGAACGTACCCTTCTCCCTAATTCATCCCACAAATGTTCTATAGGATTCATATCGGGGCTTCTCGCAGGCCATTGTAATGTGGTAATACTAGCAGCTTCCAAGAAGTTTCGCACTATTGCTGCGGTGTGTGGTCGAGCATTATCCTGCATCAATATAAAATTATTGCCCACTAACTCTGCATAAGGTAAGACATACTGCTCTAAAATGTCAATGTAAATTTGGGCATTCATCGACTGCCTCACCGAAAAAACATGAAGGGGTGTCTTCCATTCATTGAAATTCCTCCCCACACCATAACGGACCCACCATTAAAACTTTCGCATTCTGTTATTACATTTTGATCAAACCGTTCACCAGTTCTTCTCCACACTCTTTTTCTTCCATCCACCATGTTAAGGCAAAACCTTGACTCATCCGTAAACAACACATTCGACCATTCAGGAATATTCCGCTGTCCATAATTTTCAACAAAATTTCTTCTAGCAGCACGATGTTCGGGCAATAATTTGGGACCTTTCGCAGGTCTCCTTAGCTTTTAAATTAACTTCTTTTAGACGTCTACATACCGTCTGCTTACTTACTGCAACATCACGAATTTGGCGAAGATCTTGCTGAACATTTACCGCAGTATTTGATCGATTCCGTAAAATCCGCAATCTCAAGAAGCGATCATCTCTTGGAGAAGTTTTTCGGGGGCGAGCAGAACCGACCCTCCGAGCAGTGCTTCCTGTTTGTTCGTACTTGCGGATTGCTCTACGAGCAGTTGCATCATGAACTCCCACTGCACGAGCAGCGTAACGTTTACTACGCCCATCGTTCACTAACGCAACTAATCTTGCTACTTGTTCAGGATTTATTTGAGGCATTTTATGTAATTTTAGTCAATAAAACAAGACACTTAATTAATGACACAACGACAAATGGTCAAATATGGAGGCATACAACTCATACAACAAATTAGTTGCTATGGCAACGGCATTTGTTTTTTTAAAGACAATGTGATCCTACCAGAGTACAACCCAATCAATTTTGAGTACTCTGATCCTTCAATGAATTCAATTTTTGCGATAAGCGTAAGGTATCAGCAAAAAGCTGTAATTCGGAAAATTTAAGAGATAAATCAATGAATAAATAAACAAAATGCTCGCAGAAGAAGCCTCTTTTGTATAGGGTGCAAGCACTTTGTATACCATTACTCAATTAACACACAGGGTGAGTCAAAAATTAAGAATAAATCATGGTTCGAGATATTCCACCACCATCAAGGAGGCTTTGAAAACATGTTCATCTCTTTATTCTTTTTCAAAGACAAATGCATTACCTACCAACAAATAAAAAAAAATCGGCCTACTATTTTTGTTTTTTTTTTTGTTTTTAAGAAGATAGGTCAAATATCAAGTGCGTCACTTTTTTTGGAACTGAGTGTATATACCGTTTAAATACAGTTATGAAAATATATATAATTTTTCAAAATTCTCTCATATTTGACCATTTTTGAATTATTATTATAATTTCGACTCGAAACTCAAACTTGCACCTTAATAATCACACCTATGCTGTACTCAGAGTACAGAAAATTGGAGGGTATTTCTGGTCAATACCTGGTCAAAAATATATCGAAGATATATTTATGCATTGCGGGGATTGAAAGGCTATTTTATACTCTCTTTTGAGGGGTTAAAGTGGCACTTTCAATCTCTCAGGGATATAAAGTAAATACTGACATTCTTCTCATGTGCTATAGCAACACCTTCAAGGTACATCACTTTCTGATATGATTACCACCTATTAGTCAGCAAAGTTGACAAATACATGAACTACGAGTACCGCTACGAGTATGAACAGAGCCTTCCATTATTCACTTTCTTATTCCACTTTTAGTTTTTCAACAATAGTATATCAATTTCCGGACTAAAATTATGTTAAATACTTCAGCGAATTCTAGCCTTTCCTCCGGTTGAGCTACATGTGGATAAAAGTGTCTCTCAGTCGACAAAAAGTTCGTGGAGAAAAAAAGAAAAACGCACATTTGAAGATAATGTGAAGATTTGAAGCAATATCATCTGACCATCGCCTCTTCGTGTGTTTCAGCTGTTCGGAATTCCAGAAATTAACGAACGGACTATTAATTCAAAATGAACTCCGGGGCGAGAAATTCGTGGCTCGACATTTTATGTGCCATAACAATTGGAAATTCCGACCGGAAAAAAGGGAAAACTGCCACAATTAAAAGCCGAAGTTTCGTGCCTGGCTCCGCTCCATGTCACCACGATAATAACTGTGAGAGTTGTATGGGAGATTTATGTGTCATTCAGAAGTTTTCAGAATATGAAGTTCTGTGGAGTTTTCTAGGTAATTTTTATAATTCTCTCATTATCTAATCAACGAGGTAGGTATCTTAATCCTAGCCACTCAAGAATCGATTTTTCTTTATTAATTCTGCTGACTATATTATTTATTCAATTATTGATTGAAAATGTGACTTCCAGCCAGAATCAAGTTCTGGTATAAGGAAGTATAGTTGACATTAAAACCTAAAACTATACAATGGGGAAGTTTCCTTCAGATGAATTTTCATAAAATAAGTTCGGAACTCTCTAGTTTTATGTCCACGCTGTACAGAATGGCGGCCGATAAAGTCCAAGTCATTTTCATTTTCAAATTGAAGCAATTTCTAATTTTCTGAGCGGCAAACTGTGACGTACATTCTGAATCTAGTCTGAAAATAGCTAATGGTGAAGAATATAGCTAGCGAATTTGCGGCAATCAATGTTTACCAGGTGGCGCTCGGTTTTCATCGTTCCATGTCAAAGCCAAGTCAAAACTGGGGGAAAACAAACTCAATCCTCACTCAATCTCATTAGTGCCATTAGCTTGTGTACTGTGTACTGATAAGAGTGATAAGTTTTTAAATTTCTTGACATTAATTGTCAATATTCGATCGAAAACGCTAATAATGCCTGTTGTAGATGTTCTTTTGGCAGATATTTTGCTCTATTTAGATGGAAAAAGCCGACCAGTAGTGGAAGGAGAAGCAGTTCTCCGTGCTAATCATGTGATTTTGTGTGAGGCAGATGACTTCAACAAAAGGCACATTTTTGCATTTTGTCTACAAACTTCGGCGATGAAATCTTTCCCGCACATGAAGTAAAATTGAAGTTGGGGTCCAGAGGAACTTCTGTAGAACAATGGATTTGTATTTGTTCATGCAAAGCAGGACAATATGGGTATTGTAAATATGTTGTAGCTGTTCTTTTACATGTCAATTGATTTGCTCGTCATAATTTGAACTATCTTCAATTCTTCACCCGTTCACTGTTCACTAAACTACTAAACTAATAAAAATGTAATAATGTAAAAAAATTAACCAACTCAACCAACATCACTATCAACAGTGCCAACACCTTATGTCATTGACAAGTTTGGCTACAGCTACAGCAAGCTGAATGCAATGTAGTCTATGCACTTTATCCATAGACAACAGTTTGTTTTCCCCCAGTTTGAAGTTCGTATTATGTAACCTAGATGTCGCCCACTTCGTGAATCTCGCGAATAGGTAACGAATGAAAAAAATAGAAGAAGAAATGAAACTGGTTAACAAAAACATACATAACCGCACAAATGCACTCGGAGCAGGAATGCAGAGGGTACTTGGTTTCATTCTGACAGGTTATGGTTTTGTAATTTATGCATTGAAATATCTCGAATAGGGTCCGATCCTAAACGAAAATATCATTAAATCAATTAATCACTATCGGCTACATTCATTCAATGATACTATCCTTCCTAATTTAATGTCATCGGTCAGAACAGAATGAAGCCGACACCCATGGCTCCTTCCTCTTGTTGTGCCTGTCAGTATTTTGAGTCGTGTGGACGGACTCGAAGTATTAGGCGCTGTTGCAAGTTATAATCTGCAACTTTCTTAAAAAATAGATACGTTTTATTAAAGAACGAATTCATGAGCAAAAAATTACTGAGAAGTTATGTATAGCATATTTGAATATAACGATTGAACAATTAATACCATCGCAATAAAATATCATAATTTATCTTTATTAGTAATCAACTTTATTCAGCTAATGAGAAATTGAAAAACTAAGAAATGTCTTAGGAGTCCTTGATATCTGGGCATAACTTTCAATTGTAAACAACTTTCCTCGATAACATTTTGCTGAATTTCCTGAAAGAAGGGTACTTTACTCTTGAGCAATTTTTATATTATTTGACCTACCCTGTATACTGTGTGACTTGCAACCATTCTAAGTGCACCTAAAATGAATACCGAACATGCACCAACTTTCGGCACTATCTATATTTTGGTTGTGCAATTCATTGAAAATATTCCCATATATTGCACACTTAAATGACCACACTGTATATTATTTTTTTACAAACTTCACAGTGAGATGAGAACCTCAATAAAGGAAACTTCCCCATTATGATAAACTCATAAATAATATAATATTTGAATAGATTATGTATTAAATTTTGATAAATCATTTCATATTGGTGAGCAACAATCAATTTGAATATGAATCAAAAGTTGGAAAAAAATTATCTATTTCCTTCAGAAATGATGGATTCTTCAACTAGGTATTTGAATTTTATTGTATTACTGCAATTTTTTATATTGTTGAGTCTCTACAGTGTGTCCCACTTACCATGCTCACCATGGGTATCTTTTTAACGGTCGGTTAAATGACACCAAATGTGGAGTTTGTCAAGACCAACTATAATGTGAAAAAATATTTTGATAAAATCTATTCGTTTTTGTTTTATACGCAAAAAAAACAGATTTTGATCATTTTCATGTCTCCGTAACTTCTTTATTTATGAAAATATTCAAATAGGAATTTCACATTCTCATGGCAGTTTTCCAAAGTGATTTCGAAAAAAATATGAAATTTATACCAACTCTTCTAGAATTTGAGATATCAGCACCAACTTTAGTTTTTCAAATGTAGGTCATAGCTCTATGACTTAGTTACAAATAACTTTTTGGAGGCGGACAAGATTTGGTCCAATTCCATTCAAAATTGGTAAGTGGAGGTTTTCGATGTCGGAGATCATGATTTTTTTGTTAAAATTCATAAATTCAAGATGGCGGCTTCCAAACAATTTTTTGTTTTTGTATAAATGACGATAACTCCGTTGTTATCAACACAAAACTATTACTGCAACATATCATCTGTAAGAGAAAAAAAAGTTCTTCGTAACTAAGTCATAGTGAGCTATGGACCTACATTTGAAAAACTAAAGTTGGTGCTGATATCTCAAATTCTAGAAGAGTTGGTATAAATTTCATATTTTTTTCGAAATCTCTTTGAAAAACTGCCATGAGAATGTGAAATTCCTATTCGAATATTTTCATAAATAAAGAAGTTACGGAGGAGACATGAAAATGATCAAAATCTGTTTTTTGCGTATAAAACAAAAACGAATAGATTTTATCAAAATATTTTTTCACATTATGGTTGGTCTTGACAAACTCCACATTTGGTGTCATTTAACCGACCTCGTATTTCTCACCGTTAAAGAGATACCCATGGTGAGCATGGTAAAGTGGACACTGTATTTCCTATTCGGAAATTAAAGTCACATGGTATAGAATCTGATGATTGAGGAGGATGTGGAACAAAAGTTGGATCTTTGCCCTCTAGGAAAAGAAAATGATCTGAATATTCATACAGAGTGTTGTAAATCTGCTGAACATAAAACTGAATAACTTCGACCTGGTACAGTATTCGCTTTTTTTCAGGTTTTTCTATTCAATAGGAAGTGAAAAAATCACATGAAACAAATGGAAATTAAACCAATATATTTTATTGAAACATCTCATTTAGTACAATAATTATATGTATGATAAACATAATGCAGCAGGATCCCTTACAACGAGATCCTGTAAACTGCATCCACAAGTTTTGTGTCTCAATTTAATAATAACTTAATTCTTAAAACATACAAAAAAAAACTGATCAGTAAGTAGGTGAAATGAGAAATCAAGAAAAAGACGTTCCCTCGAGTTGGTTCATTAATTATCATCTTTGGAAACCATTCATTTCGATTCTGATTCATTTTTTCAAGAAGCCACAGCACAAAAATGAATTACCAATCATTTGGTTCCATTGAAATCTTGTGTTATTGGGAAATAATAATAATTTAAAAAATAATGTGTGAATGTCACCAGCTTTAGAAGTTTTTGACTTGTTTTTTAGTAAAAAATAATGATTCCGAAACTGTGTATTCAGTGGTTTGAATTAAAATAATTCAAATGAAGTTGATTCACAGAATGAGGCCCATTTCTGAAAACATACCTTTCCCATTTACTGAACAGTTTTGGCTGAGACCACATTTATATATAAAAAAAATTATTCAACGTTCATCAAAATTAACGAAGAATATAGTTTCAAATATTGCAAGTCAAGAAACAGTTACAAAATTTAACACAACAATAACCTTCAGAGTGACACCAGAAAAATCAACACATTTTTTTACTCCTAACTGACAGCCAAAAACGAAATGATTTACTTTAGTGTATAAAAGTTGTGAGATCTTCAAGAAAATCTAGACATTGATTTTTCCCATTTTTTTTAAGACTACGACGGCTTGAAACTGCCCCTAAAACATGAATTCTGGCATATTTCAGAGTTTCATATGTAGATTAGAACAATTTACATTTGAATTTGTAAATTATCCTGACTTATAATATGCCCATCTAAATATTGAACCCTAATTCATCTGTAAATACGTTCTAATTCAATTCAATAACCTTCAACTATATTTCAGTCATTATTCTATTGATCCAACTGACTATTTGTCTTAATTCCCAAGTTTTATTTGAAAAATTAGACTTATTTCAGTTACATCTAAATATTGAAACTCAATTCATATGTAAACGGGTTCAAATTCAATTCAATATATCCTTCAATTGTGTTTCAATTCTGTTGCAAATATAAATTAGCCCAAATAACAAGTTACATTTGTAAAATTAGCATAGTTTGCAAATTAGCCTAAATTACAGTAGCAAGTATTGATTAGAAGATAATTGACAGTAGCATCTGTGAATTCGGTTCTAATTCACTTTCAATAAGCTTTTATTGTGTTTCAATATTAAATCAAATGTTTTCAACTGTAACTTTGCCAAAGTCATGAGTTGCATTCGTACCCCAAGATACATATTTGTTTATAATAGGGATCTAGGAGGATACGTATGTACAGTGTGTCCAGTTTGCTTTAGAGCGATATTATTATTATTATTATATCTCAGTATTCTTTGGAGAATAAGTGTTGCGGTTGTCACACTTTGTATGTATAATACAGTTGCGTAATCCTTTTAATTCTGTAATCGCTGAAGCCAAAATATATGTCTAACCAGTTCGATTCATATTTCTCATACCTCATCAAAAATATATGTTTAAAAAAAAAAAGAATTTGTTCGGCTCCATTTTCTAAATATGAGCGATTACAGAAATAAAATGAGTACGCCACTTGTATTATACGTATAAAGTTATATAAGGCTCCGTTCTAATCCTGCTAATCAGTTGAAAAGTAACCAAGATCAGGAGGTGCTCAAAAAGTGAGAATTTTCTATTTGGCCATGTATCTCATACACATGAAGGACTAAAGGTGGATTTAACACTAACTAAAAGGTTGAACCTCTTGTTAGACATGGTTAATTTTGAACTATCAGGTTGGCCAACTTTCAACTTTCTAATTTGAATGTTAATTTTTGAGAACTACTGCGCAACTCATCGAATTTTATAACCTCCAAATTATGATTGATGTTTTTTGGATTTTTCGATACTTTTACCTGCTCTCTGCGAAAATTATTTCCATGTGAATTCTTTTTATTTGCCATTTACTTCTTTTCTTTTAAACACTGAATACACATGGGTAAATTTTGTTAATTTTGCTGCATAAAATACCATCAAATTGAAATATTAATTTGTACACTGGTCAAGTTCAGTTCAAGTTGAAGTTTGGTTTTAATTGTGCTTCATAAATCCACCTAATGAAAATTCTATCCCACAAAAGCATCGAAAACTGGACACACTGTACATTGAAACCTAATTCACAGATAAATGAATGAAGTTATAATTGAAGATGCAAGAAGTGAAAATCGTTCATATTAATAGTTGCTACTGTAAATTTGAACCTAATTTATAGTAGCATCTGTAAATTATAACTTGCAGTTGCATCTGAGTATTGAAAGCTCAGTTAGTTATCTGTCAATTCAATAATCCTTCAATTGCTTTCAATGTGCAATCTACTGTGGAAAATATTGTCAAATGGGCTAATTCACAAGTTGCATCTTTGAGATAGTACCTAATTTAAATTAAGTTCTGATAATACTTTCTAATGGTGTTCAACTATGTAATTTACGAACTTTACAAAAGCAACTGTGTATTGTGTGGGAAAAAATACTGTTCTAGGAGGACAGTACCAAGCCGTCGTAGAATACCACTCTAAAGGTTCAGAAACATTTACAAATTTAAAATTCCTCAACTGCCAACATGCATCTCAAAAACTATCTTTACCTTCGAAATATAAACTATGATTCATTAGGCTTATCACAATAATATATTTACAAAGTGTTTCATCCTTATTTATTGAGATACTCTCATTTAGTTTGGTGTGAATAGACGTCAATAGAGAGCGAACGTACATACATAAATAGGTATGTATAACTTAACCTTTCTTTCTTCGGAAATATCTAATTATTATCATAAAAATCACACGTTTGTTTCATATTGTTCAGAGCGAAAAATACTTTTTGTGCAAGCACCAGATGAATTTTGAAGTCTTTTTTTTTCTTCCATAACGGAAGAAACTTGAGGCGATAAAATAATTTGTTCAAAATTTTGATTTCCATGGGATGTCCTTCAAAGTCTACAAAGTCGATATTTTTCTATAGAATAAATAAATATTGCATTTTCTGAGAAGAGGAGTAACAAGAATTATCAAAGTAAGATAAGTAATTTAATGGCACTCCTTCTTTTGTATTCTCTATATATCTGCAATTATTTCTAATTTTGAAATAAACTGACTGAAAAAAGTTAAGGATTCAGTGCATTCTTTTCATGACTGCATTCATGTTTTTCATCATCTTTGGAAAATATTTATGAGTAGGTATCCTAACTTTTCTCGTTAAGTTTTGATAACAAAATACTACATACGTCAATATATGTATCTAAAAAACTGGTTTTTGGATTCAAACATTCAGAGAGGCACCACTTTCAATATAAAATTATTTAAATTTTCGACAATGTTACTTTACTAAAATCGTCCATTTGTTTGAGGTGAATAGTTCAGTCGTCTTCTTTCTTCTCGGGCTTGAGATCGACCATCGCATGGAGTTCTTCTGGGGTGTATCTGTAAAAAGAATATTCATCAGAAAACATAAAATGAGAAAAATCTCATCTTATTCACGATTTGATAGGCTTGGAGAACCATTTTGATATAGACTTCTACCAGATTCCCTTTCGTGCGCTCCAAGCGATAAAAAAAACTGAATTATCTCAAAAGCATCTTTCTGGAGTTGTCACTTTTATACATAGCATGGCAGTATACTATATCATTGTTTTCTTATGTTGGAAGATTCTAGTATCTTGGACGTGAATCGTCAAAAACCTAAGACCGTGAACATAATATTTGGTAAAACTGCACTTATCAGTGTGAAACTTGTTGAATGTCCTAACAGATCCCGTTCATTTTGGTCCTTCGCAAAAACTGTAGGAAGAAACTTCACTTCCAGCTCGTTCCTTCTCTAACCAAGGAGGATCAAACACTAGCCACAACTGCCCAGGAGAAAGCCAACATTTTTGCGCATTTATTTGCTGAAAATTCCACTCTGGATTCATCGGGAAAACATCCTCCAAACATAACGCCAATTGACAGTCATATGCCCGAGATTACCTTTCGCCAACGTACTATAAGGAAGATTTTATTGGGTCTCAACACCAACAAAGCTTGTGGCTCCGACGGAATCCCACCGATTGTTCTCAAGAAATGTGCTCCCGAACTAACACCTGTTCTCTGCAAGTTGTTCAACTACTCTTACAAATTGGGGATATTCCCGTCCAACTGGAAAATTGCAAGAGTACAACCAGTTCCCAAAAAAGGCAAAAAGAATCTACCTAGCAACTACAGACCGATCGCACTGCTATCTATCATTTCAAAGAGCATGGAGAAAGCTATCAACATCCAGCTCATGAAATACCTGGAACATTCAGGTATTATCAACGATAGGCAATATGGCTTCCGTCATCAGAGATCAACTGGTGACCTGCTCGCTTACGTCTCACATATATGGCAGCAATCTATTGAAAAATATGGTGAAACCTTAGCCGTGGCACTTGATATCTCCAAGGCATTCGATCGAGTCTGGCACCACGGACTCCTCGCCAAGCTTCCATCTTATGGCTTGCCTCCCCAGTTATGTTCTCTGCTAGCTAGTTTTCAGGTCTCTGGTCTCTCCATGTAGTGGTCGACGGAGTTTTATCTGACTCTCTTACCATAAATGCTGGAGTTCCGCAAGGATCAAATCTACCACCAACACTATTCCTACTCCATATCAACAATTTGTTGGAAGCAACTTCATGTCCAGTACATAGCTTCGCGGATGATAGTACCCTCCATACCGCCTTCTCTTCCAGGGCTCCAATTCCAGCCAGGCAAATCAGAAACAAACGAGGGAGAAATGTTGACAACATAAATATGGACTTGGCAACAATTCTCGAATGGGGATCGAATAACTTGGTAGATTTCAATGCAAACAAACCACACTCATTCTTTTTCTCTAGAAAAGTCGATCTCACTGTGCCCAAAACGAGCTTGTCAGGAGTAACCATACCTCTGAAGACATCCATTTCGATGCTTGGTATTACTATCAGCAATGGAAAATCAGGTGAGATCAATTGCTAAAAGTGCATCACAAAAACTTGGATTTCTGTTTTGGGCCAGGAGCTATTTCACTTCCAGTCAGCTGCTTATTATCTATAAGGCACAGATCCGACCTGTCCTGGAATACTATTCTCATATTTGGAATGCAGCACCCAAACATACCCTGAAACTGTTGGATTCTGTCCAAAAAAGGGCAATTCGTCTCGTGGGTGATGCCTCGCTCACAAACTCACTCACTCCTCTAGAACACTGTAGAAAAGTTGGCGATCTGGCTCTATTTTATAGATATTTTCATGGACGATGCTCCTCTGAAATATCAACAATTGTACCTCCCTTGGCAGTCCCCGCGAGATTAACCCCTCGAGTTGAGGCTTCGCACCCCTTTGTGGTCACTTTGAAGACCTGCAGAACATCTCTTTCCAAAGACTCGTTCATCCAACGAGCAGCGAGGCTCTGGAACACATTGCCAAGGGAGGTGTTCCCCGAGGCATATAAAACCTCCAGAAATTTAAGAAGAACACCAATTCCTACTTTATTTCCCTTGGTTCTCACGATGTTCTCTGAACATTACAGGATATCCGTTTTCGTGGGAACCAGAAAATTGGAAACGACGCTAATTTCGCGTGAACCAATCCCTTATGATTAATCGAAGCTATTTTGCGTTAATTGCAGAATGGAACAATGTGTCCATGGATATTGAGCTTGCATAGAAGGAGCCATAAATTGGTACACAGATGGAACTGGAAAACGCTATAGGGAACCATCAGCACTTTTCAAACATGGAAGATGACACAGCCTTTGTCAATGACAGGCGGTTATCAAATGCTTTTCTGTGCGAAAAGCTCGACTTTTCTCCTCCCTCTGCCAGCTATTTGAAATTGAGTGAAGTGGCCGAAAACACATTTTCTAGAAATTTCAATGGTATAAGGGATATTTATCTTATTATTTTGTCTCAGATGCCAAAACGGTCGAGAACCAGTGCTGGTCGGTGAACCAGTGCTTCTACCCTATTTTCTAACGAAGAAAAAAGTGACAACATCGCTTCATTATGGTTTGGTGCATTTAACGTGGCATACCCATAGGGCATACCCTATTGTTTTTTCCGGTCGGATGGGATTTGACCTTGGCGATGGACTTTCGTTTCTCGATGGCGCGGGGATTCTTTTTGAAAACCATTTTTGTGGGTCCCAGATATGCGTGGGAATAAGATGAAAGTATACAGGGTGTTTCTAAGAAACCGGACTCCCTTGCTAGGGTAGGTAGAACACTGCGAAATAAGTTGCGATTGCTTATATAGTACTTATAACAAAATGTCGTAATGGCATCCGTTTTTAAGATACAAGGTGTTAAAAAATGTTTTTTTCACATCTTTCACGATTATGTCGAATGTCTCGAAACTACTGGCAACATGTAATGAAATTTTGTGTGGATGTGCTTTGAAAGCTTGTTCATCCAACGAACAGCGAGGCTCTGGAATACTTCGCCAAAGGAGGTGTTCCCCGAGGCATATAACCTCCAGAAATTCAAGAAGAACACCAATTCCAACCTTATTTCCCTTGGTTCTCACGATGTTCTCTGAATATCCCTTTTCATGGGAACCAGAACAGAAAAAAAAAACAACTAGCAACGCCAATAAAACTCAACTTGTTTTAAAATCACTGGTATGGAATTCTCGAAAGAAAAAAACATCGCATGATAAGTGTAGTTTTACCCAATATTTTTCTGGAACGTTAAAAACAAAAAGGTCGAATCGCCTTCGGTACTCACCCGAGCAAGGTCTGCAGATCGCACACGAACCGGTAGACGTACCGCTTGCCGGCCGTCTTGTGGATGATGTTCTTGTCGTAGTAGTAGCGCAGGCCGCGCGACAGCTTCTCGTAGTTCATCTTGGGCTTGTTCTTGCGCACGCCCCATCGGCGCGCCACCTCGTCGGGATCGGTCAGCTTGAACTCCCATCCGTCGCCCGTCCACGAGATGAACGACTGGCAGGACTTGTCCGTCAACAGTTCCAGCAGGAACTGCCACAGCTGGATGGGGCCGGAGCCTGGAATGGAACGGTCAGTTTGAATGATTTCTTCGATATAAACTTCGGTACTCCCCAGGGTAGTGTCTTGGGGCCCTTGATTTTCCTACTTTACGTCAATGTGTGAAATGTATATCCCAAGGACGGGATCTCATGTATGCAAAAGAAATTGATAATCTATTCAAATAATTTTTTTTTTTTTTTTTGTTTGTGTGCTTTGTATATATTGAATTTATAATCAATATTTAATCTAAATATTTTTAAGAACTTGAAAATTTTTTACAAAAATTTTATAATAATTATCTAATTCACACACAGGTCAATAACCTATGTGAAGTAGATAAAATTTAGAATTTTTATAATATTAGAATATGTATGTCTTTGTAAATGTATTCATATGAGAATAAATAAATAAATAAATAAATAAATAAATAAATAAATATGTCCATAGTTCTATCAGATCCAGACTTGGATAATATTTTTAATAAAATCAACACAACGATGACCGAATTCTCGATATGGTGCCAATCTAATAACATAATGATTAATGGGGGAGACCACTGATTTTTTAAAATGACATTATCGTGAACTCTATATGAAAAACTACCAGCGAATTAATTTTGAATTTTGTCATTTATGCTAAGACGATGGAAAAAATAAATTAGAATATGTCCATTTCAAAACACACAATTTCTGCGCCATTTGAAATTTTGTCAATTCATTGGTGTGACTGGTGCGACGTCTTATCCCCAACACGCCTATTGTCCTTGAAATGACCAATCACACTGCAACACTGCAGAATGACGATGTATCCGAGAGAGATAGCTACAGTTCGGGACTAATACGTCACGACTCCACCATCATATTTGGCTGTTTGAAATATCGAATGAAATATGCTGATTTCAAAACGATATAGATTCGATTCCCTTCAACTTCAACTCATAATATTGATTAAATCATGTTTCGTCGATTGAAAGAGGTTTGAACGGATTTCTTCTCTCAGTGGTCTTCCCCATTATGATAAGACAGATATCATCAAGCTCCACAATAATCATCAGCCACCACTCAATCTAAGAATTTCGTTCAACAACACTGCTATAAAAGCTTCTAATTCTGTAAAACTCCTGGGAACAATAATTGAGTTGAGAATTTGACATGGAAACACCATATTGATCAGGTTTGTCGAAAACTTAATTCAAGTTTTTTTTGCAATTTCATCTTTCAAAAACAATCTGCACACCTGTTCTCTAATGAATATTTACTATGCCTTTGTATACTCGACAATGTCATATAATATAATTGTATGGGGTCAGGCATCCGAGATTGAACGGGTCTTCATCGGACAGAAACGGATCGTCAGATTGTTATTCAATCTCCCATTTAATTCGTCTTGTAGAAACACATTCAAACAACAAGGTATCCTCGCCGTTTCCTGCATCTACTCATATAAAATACTTTCAACAATAATACACTCAACAAACATTCAGACCTCCATAACTACAATACAAGGAACAACTCTAATATAAGACTCAAGAAACCGCGTTACTGTAACTATAAAAAATCACCAATATATGCTGGTAGTGATCTTTATAATGCCCAACCCTGATCTCAAGCATTTGAGAGATATCGAATTCAAGAAAAATCTCAAAAAAATTCTTATGCATGAGTGCTTCTATTCGAAATATGAATTTGTGGATTATTTGATGAATATTGATATGATGTGGCAAGTGACGTGGAATTCTCTCACGTTTTGGGGGTATTTTAAAGGTTAAAAAAGAGTTGTTAGAGTTAGTCAGTTGAAACCCGGTGGCTGAAACTGTAATAACTGTATTTGATGAAAGTAATAAGATATTTCTTTATCAAAAGGGTTAGAAGAAGTGGTGGTGGTTTGTATTCGTTATGTGCTGTAAGTACCTTTTGAGTATAATTTCTTGCCGTTTTGTCATTCAAATTTTTGCTGGAATTCATATGTTGTGAGAAATAAAGTCTTCTGAATTAATTTACATGATGTGTTTAAAAAATGTGCATTTGCGAAAAGTGGTTCACTCATTTTCTTGGCAAAATTTTTTGGTTTTTTGGAACCTTTCAAAGCATCGGGTTTGTCATAAAATTGGTCCTCTTCATTACTTCCGATTTTTCTTTTTAGGTTTGCAAGATAATTGATAAAATTCAAATCGGTGCAATTTAAAATGCTAATATGATGCCGTTTGGAATTATCAAATTCTTACCTGTTTTTGTTTCATTTTTTCAGAAAATTGATCATGTCAATGATATTTAGTATCTAGCATGAATTTATTCACATATTTTAGTGATTTCAGGGTGGTGCTACTTTTATATTACACCACTATCGGCGAAATGTTCAAAGAATCTTTCAGACATTCTAAGGAAAATTGAGCTTTCAGTTTCTACACTACATCACGATCTATATAGCGTTGTTCAATACAATTCGGCAGCATTGAGCAATATTATTGTTTTGGGACTGCTGTTTAGAATACATGAATTAAAATGCAGAACATTTGGCAACTCTGTAGACCATTATTCATATCATAACCTTCAAACCTATTTCTGGATGCTTTCATTCAAATAGGATAATTTTCATTGTGTAACCTAATTAATGTTTTCATTTTCATTTCAAAGAGGTATTGACTTTGAGTGCATCTTAGTAACAAGTTAATGTGGGTAAATATCGAGAGATACCTATTGAAAGAATCCTAATTTAATTATTTTGATTTTATCACTATTTTTCGTTGTTTTAGTGAATCTAAAAAAAATATTGTCGATTTTATCGTATTTGAGCGATTAGGTAATGAAGATGCACAATTTGTTTAAATTTGTTGTTAATGGAGAAGTTTCCTTCAGATGGATTTACACAAAATAAGTTCGGAACTCTCCAGTTTTATGTCCACGCTTTCCAGAATGGCGACCGATAAAGTCCAAGTCGTTTTCATTTTGAAATTACAGCAATTTCTAATTTTCAAAGCGGCAAACTCTGACGTACATTCTGAATCTAGTCTGAAAAAGCTGATGGTGAAGAATATAGCTAGCGAATAGCTAACGAATTGCTAACGAATGAAAAAAATAGAAGAAGTAAAACTGGTAAACAAAAACATACATAACCACAAATGCACTCGGAGCAGGAATGCAGAAGGTAGTTGGCTTCATTCTGACAGGTTATGGTTTTGTTATTAATGCATTGAAATATCTCGAATAGAGCTCGATCCTAAACGAAAATATCATTGAATCAATGAATCACCATCGGCTACAGTCAATGATACTATCCTTCCTAATTCACTGCCATCGGTCAGAACAGAATGAAGCCGACACCCATGGCTCCTTCCTCTTGTTGTGCCTGTCAGTATTTTGAGTATTGTGAACGGACTCGAAGTATTAGGCGCTGTTGCAAGATATAATCTGCAAGTTTCCATAGTGAAAAATTATAGATACTATCGCAAAATATCATAATTTATCTTAATTCGTAATCAACTTCAATCAGCCAATGAGAGATGTATGGAAACAATTCATAATACTTGACAAAGTAGGATTGAAGAACCTATTATATTCCATTGTTGTTATGATTAGATATAGGTATTATGCATTCAAAGAACAATTTCCGGAAATATAGACATATTGATGATGTCGGCAACGTCGTACTGGCACCGGAAATCGTATTTTAACTCTGTGTGAATGTGGATTTTCAGAAAATACGTCATAGGAATGGTGGAGGAGCCAAGTTCCTCTTTCATTTATTTTTTTCTGAAGTGAAATTTGATCTTACGAAAAAAAGAAAAAATATGTGTATATTATTCTTTTACAACCTTCACAGTGAGATAAAAACCTCAATATATGAAACATCGCCATTTATGCTTTCATGAAAACTATTCTTGGCGTCAAAGAGGGAGACATGACCAGATTTACACATCATTTTGACTGTTACCATGGTGACGTTAATAATATAACGTTATTGAAGCTTATAGTATGTAAATAGCACAAAAATCGAATATGACACAGAAGACAGAAGGACATGGCGAAATGCTTCTGCAACAATGCCTGATGACGACGAGCTTTTATAATGATAATAAAAGATGCGCATGCCATTGTTTCGCGTTTCGACCTTGAAAGAATTTATTATTAGCGCAGTGGCAGTCTGATGTAGCATAATTATGTTTAATGATACCTGCGCTGAATTAGCGGGTAATGAAGCTTGCACGAAATGTTACTTTGTTTGTCAGATTCTACTTCTCTTACTGGTTATTACAGACCTTCCAAGAACGAGTCAGTTTTCATTAGATTGATTCAGTAATCTGTGACTTGATTTGACCATCAAATACCATCGAGATGGTTGGTGCCTACATCACTTCACAAATTTCATGACATCAAAAACTTGGTAATTATGTCTGTAATTATAATTGGTTCGTCCAAGATGCCATCTACTATGAAAGAGATTGAATTGATTGAAACTGTTTATCTACATGCCTATACAGTGGCATTAATTGGGCATGTTTCATGAAAAAAAAAAGTTTTTTTGTCAAACTAAAATGAGTTTCAATCACTTTTCGAAAATGCCCATTTTCTAGAGACACCCTAGTAACTTCCAAACAGAGAGATATGAGTTTGCCATAAATATTGAAAAAATATTATATTTTCATGAAACTCCCTATATAAATATTTGAGAAATGAAGCTGTGGATAGAAAGAATGCAATCAATTTTCAAAATAAAATAATTCCTATTAATAATATGAATGTGAATGTACGTTTGTTTTTAAGGCTTTCACGCCAAAACTTTTCAACCGATTATCACTAAACTTTGTATACAAATTCTTAGATATATTAGGAAGGACGATACTTTTTATAAAAAAAAATACGGCGGGTGAATATCTATCCTAACATGAAGTGGGCACTTCGAAGGCGCAAATTCATTACTGCATGGGAGATACCCTTCAAATTTTTCGCTATTCAGTGACTTGACCACGACTGACGTTTCATACTCTTCTACGCAAACAAAATTCAATTTTCGAGGATAGGTCAATTTATTGTTCTAGTTGTTACTGCTGCTTCTAATTCTTGTTCTTCTTTAAAATGCCTCTGAAGCGTGATCTGTCTAGAAGTTTGTCACATTGATTCAGTTCTATTGGAATGTGATGATATTTCATATTTATTCAAGGGCTTCAACGGGAGGGAACCCGTGGGTAAAATTTTCATGATATTTTCAATGTAATTCTGACACATTCTGATCACAGAAAGTATTCTCGAAATAGTAAATTTCGAGAAGAAATGAATCAGTTTCATTAGTTTCAATATATCTTATTTTCACATTGGAGTGAAATAACTTGTTCTTATGCTCTTGCAAAGATGCTCATTTCGATCAAGATGACATTTTTCTCATCAAATGAACCAGAAAAAGTATATATCATTGATCCCACATCGATAATATGTTCGGATCAACATAATTTATTGATGATGTATCTGGTTACTCCAACAAGAATTTGCTCAATTCAACAATAATAATAAAAACAGGAATAATTTGTTGAGTCAAAAATTTACGAACCCCGTGGTTGTTAAGTAATTTATCGCGAAGTGGAATGGAAGACGAAATGACTTTCAGTTCTCTCTTGGAGACGGTGTTACTGCTTATTTTTTGGAATTAGCACAACAAAAGCCATCAACAGAGTATCTGTATATACAGGGTGCCCGCTAAAAGAAGCTCAATCCATTAACCATATATTCCTTGAACAAAAAAATACCATTTTTCATTTCATTCACGTGTTGAATTTCTATTAATTTTTTTTTTGTAAAAATTATTTTAATACATTCGCTCTGAGCACCCGGTATATCCATATTTACCTTTTCGTACGTAAAACATTACGCCCTCTTCCAATTTCGACGAAATAAATAGGAGTATGTGAACATTATGAGATTACCGTTAGCCGCATAGGGATCAAACAATAACCAGTACTTTTCGAATTATCTCAAAAACAAATAATTTGATCGAAATTTTACATGAGACAAAAAATACTCAAAAATGATTGAACTCTTAAAGAAAAATAGATAGGAAGTTATCAACGCAGGTACAAAATAATATGGGGGAAAGTGTGTACTTGACCCCCAGTATTTTGAATATTTGACAGTTATTTTCTGTTTTGTTTTCCTTACACGATGTAACTCTTTGTGTTGAAGTAATGTACCAATTTTGATATCAATATTTTATTGAATACGCGAGAAATAAAAAAAAACAGTTTTAACTTTCCAACTTTGACACCCTGTATATCGAATATGAAGTGCTAAAATGAAAAATGGTATTTAGAAACTCATATTGTTTTTGTTCAAGGAATATATGGTTAATGGATTGACCTCCTTTTACACCCTGTATATACCAGGGAAAAAAATCCTCACTTTTTACCGTGGGAAAAAAGCAATTTATGAAAAGTGACATTTTATAACCTGTCAACCGAGATGAAATGTCAAACGTCTTTCCCGTCACCAAAAAATAAACATTTTTCTCCGTGTAAACTATCATTCCCGGGCGCATTTAAACATTCCGGTATAGGATTCGGCACCTGCTTAATTTCTATTGGCGGATTTTGATTTGTCTAACCAATTAAAGGCGAAGTGCCGAAATCCGTACCAGAATGTTGAGCGGTGCTGAAAAGCAGGTCGGAATGTTGCCCTGCATTTTGCGCGGTTTTTGTTTACATTTACCCTCGCATTTACCGAACCTACGTATTTCTTGATTATACCGTCGTTCCCACGTGCTGACAACAAACCTGCAATCTTGTTATAATAATTGAGTGCAATCATCAATTAGTGAAGTATACCATAAATCACTAATTATGGAAAGATTAATAAAAATTTCAGAAAATTTGTATAGGTGCAATATGAAGAATGAAACAGAAGTTGTGCAAAGGATGAATGATTATGAAGCTCAGTCGTTTACATCATGGCGTTTCAAATCAGGCCCTACAAATACCTATTAAGAGATTCTTGTACAGGTAAAAATTTTATGTTTTTTGAATATTTTTTTATTTGCTCATGAAATGTATTCCTAAGTACCAACATACAGGGAGATTCACTCTAAATGCAACCGATTTCAAGATATTGGCATGTTTTTTTTTCTTCGATTTTGGAGGGTCAATGTCTACCTATCTTCAATTCTTCAACACGAGTGAAGATCAGAGTAGTAATATAGGACATGCTTGTATTTTGTCTGAATTTTACCATGTACATCAGAGTATCTCCCAGAAAATGTAAGTTGATGTTGGTTGTTAATGGTATACTGGTTGATATTACATGTATAAGCTGTGAAATTACCATGAGCGAAAAACCATCATTCATTTTATGTACCTAGCAAGCCTTCAAATCATTTTTTTCTATCCCTCCTATTGGTTTATTGAAACACATTTGTACACATCTGAAGTATAAAATACCGATTACTAAAAAACCAGCTATGTCCCATGGAATAGGACATTAACAGACATTAAGTGTTCTAATGATTGTTATTTCGAATTTATTATTTCATTTTATTACATAATTACATATAATCATTCAATTTAATCTTTTGTACCAAATATTTATCATGAATATAAATGAAAATTTCTAAAGTTATTAAAAAATGCATTCATTACACATTACTCGAGCTTTCATTTCATCAACATTCCGACCTGTGTTTCAGCACCGCTCAACATTCTAGTACGAATTTCGGCACTTCGCCTTCAATTGGTCAGATAAATCAAAATCGGCCAATAGAATTTAAGCAGGTGCCGAATCCTATACCGGAATGTTTAAATGCTTCCCGGGCCACAAGACACACACTCACCGGTGAAACACGGCCCTCCGGCGCCGCCCCCGTTCGCGTACCCCGCCACCAGCCCGTTCTGGATCATCGGCTTCGCGTCCTGCATGCCGCCCAGCTGGTCCCGCCCCATGCCCCCGCCCCCCGTCGTCGCGAACGCGGGGTGGGCGTGGTGGTGCGGGTGGTGGGCGAGCAGGTCGTGCGCGTGCCCTGCCCACTGGTCGGCCGAGGCGTTGGACCCGCCCCCGCTCGGGACTGTTTGGAAGGGCGTGGCGTCGTAGGGGGGGCCGTACGGGTCAGGGTAGGCGTCGTTGAACCTGCCGGCGCCTGCAAGATGGTAAACAAGGTTGTAGAAACTCTCGCAAGTTCGATGCATATTTTCATTTCATCAGAATAATTGTTTCTAATCCAATAAAATGGTATTTGGACATGGACAAAATTCAACTAGTCAGTTTTTCCAGGGGCACCGCAGAAATAATCTCAGTGGGAAGAGTCACAATAATAATCTTAGGGGGGAAGGGGGCAAGTGACAAGTCACAATAATGAACAGTTCATTCTATATTGAACGCACGATGTTCTTTGAACATTATAGGGATTCCCTTTCGTGCGCTCCAAGCTATAAAAGAAAATCTACAAAAAATCACATTTTACGTTCTGATTTCTGAACGAAAAACTCCTTTCCGTCCGCATACACTAACTTTTCGAATCTAAAATGAAAACAAATGAGAATCGTATCAGAATCATATATGGTTTTTTTTTCAAATTATTTTAACGTGTACAATATACACCTGGAGTTTGATGCGTTCCTCCCGACTCACCCTGTATAGAGCAAGTTTATAATAATTGACCGAATTTGCGTACCTACTTTGCGAAAAAATGGCGTTCTTCGTCGGTTTTTCGTAAATAACTCATAATCCACGTATATTATTTACTCAAGAGAGCTATTTTTTTGTAGGTATAGTAAAGTCAAGTCCTATATTCATGAGTAAGAACAATTATTATTTAAAAAATCTTTTGAAGTAGTCCATGCTCGAAGTGGAGGGGGATGATCAAATAGAAAAAAATCAAAGTCGTCTCCACAAGTTTAATGGCGATGTTTCGACCATTCAAATGGTCATCATCAGTCAAAGTACAGAATATAGGTGATCTACAAAGACAAATTTTTTGCGTTCATACTCAACATCTATCGACAAGTTATACAATAATATGTGGTTAAAATTCCAAACAAGTGAAATGCAATTATTACAACTATGGTTCTGTCTTAGATTATTTTAGGCTTGTTGAACATTATAACCACAGTTTCCATCCTTGGTTTGCAAGCCATCTGGATTCTACTCTTCAAACACACACCACTTGCACTCATTTATACAGTTTTCTGTTTTTTCTATTAGACTATTTTTGACTTTTTGAACATTATAAATACAGTTTCCTTCCTTGGTTTGCTATAGTTATAGTTCACAAAATTTCCGTATTTCATGACGCTTTGTTCTTTCTCTCCAGATTACCTTTCTAGAAATAATGAACAAGCATGTTACATATTACATCGTCAGATTCTCAGATGCCGATGGACCCCAAGTTTGGGGTGGATTGGCCCTGCGTTCCTCCATAAAATACAACTTGTTTTCCAAATTAAAATTTAAATATGTTCAACAATAAATAATAGTAGATTGTTTTATTAGGATCAAAAGTGACACTTTGTTTGACAAGCGAATTTTGCATTTTCGAGGCGGAGCGTTTAGCGAAGCCGAGCGAAAGCAAAATTTGCGAGTCGAACAAAGTCACTTTTGATCCGAATAAAACATGCTATTTTTTCTGCAACCGAAACAATTAACTTGAATAAACATGTGAAGTAACCACCAATGCCGTGCCATATGTATGCAATGCAACAAATATTGACAAATAATCCATATGATGAGAATATTCTACCTGCATTAACAGCAGGTTAGGTTTTCTAGGATGTTCGAATTGTAGTTTCAATATAAATACAACCACAGAGTGACATATTTGTGTATGGACCAGGTGCTCTAATGGCAAATACCGCGCCAGTGCCAGCTATAGGAACAAGACGTGGAAAATGTTAGGTTAGTGAGCATATCAACAATGATAAGTGATTATTTATTCCTCTCCATACTACAATGTGTTTGACATGATAATCAAATAAAGCACAATATCGATGTTTGAGACAAAAAAAACTATTGCTTGCCGTGATTATTCAAAAACAAGTTATCCATCCCGAGAATAACGAATGAAATACAGATCAAGCAAGTATTTGAATCTTGAAGGCTTCCCTGATCGAAACAAAAATAATTAACTGAGATGTTGATAATTCAAATACTAAACCATAATAAGGTGTATTTATATCACCAGCATGGGTATGAAATGCCAAATCTGCTGAAATCGGAAACAAATCAGGTATGCTTCTCAACCCAAATAACCAACCGTCACAATGTTGTTTATTCTTGATGACGTCCAGTACATCCTTTTTAGTTCCTAGGAGCTAAAGTTCAACTTTAGCTCCTAGGAAGTGAAATTCAACTTTAGCTCCTAGGAACTAAATATGTTGCCTAGCAACATACCCATTTTTGTGTCAGTAATAGAAACGTCAATTTAAGAGCTAATTTTGGTATCAAAATGGACGACTTTTGTGTCAGAAAAAAAGAATTTTTCGTCTGCATGATGTCATGTCGATGAGTACAATCTTCTTCCAGCACTATTGTTCGCCATCTTGTTTCAAAAATAAGTAGTTAAATATGTTTGTTTCTCAACTTATGCTACTCATTTTTTCAAATTTTAACTCTCATTCAATATGTCGATTAACCATAGTTGTAGTAATTGCATTTCACTTGTTTTGCATTTTCAACACATATTATTGTATAACTTGTCAATTTCCACTCAGCTATGTAACCATTTTGCTAGATGTTGAGTATGAACACAAAATTATTCCCTGTAGATCACCTTCATTCTGTACTTTGACTGATGATGACCATTTGAATGGTCGAAACATGTCTCAAAAGTAAAAGCAGATTTGCCTGCACACATCGCCATCAAACTTGTGGAGACGACTTTGAGTTTTTTCTCTTTGAATTATTATTTATAATAAAAAAAATCATCTCGATACTTCATTTTTTATATAGGATGGTAAAATGTATAGTGTCCGAGTTACGGAAACGGACAAAAAACTGAAAAAATTGCAAAAATTTCGCCGTCATTTGCGAATATCTCTGAACGCTCCAGGAACCTTCAGAAACGGATTCAACTTTTTCCATGGGAGGATTTTCATCGTTACCATTTTCGCATACTCAGATTTTCGATCATGAAATGTTGATAACTCACCTCTCACGTAACTCTTAACGTAACCGTGCGCAGGATTGTACTTGGTCTCCAGTATCTGGCTCGCCGCGTAGAACTCCGGCGAGCTGTCGAGGTACTGCTGCTGATGCGCATCCAGCGCCTGGTACTCGTGCTCCTCGGCCGCGAAATGGGCGTTCTGGAACAGGTGGGCGTTGCCGTTGCCGCCCCCGCCTCCCTCGCCGTTGAGGGAGGTCAGGTGGCCGTCGAGCGCCGCCCCGAACGGCCCGCCCCCGCCCGACGAGTCGCTGCCCGGCGGACACGCCCCCTTGTAGCCTAGAAGGTGCAACAGGTGTGGGATTAGATGGTGTCAGAACTGGGACGATGAAAATGTACTTCAGTCTTCACTTGAGTTATTTTTCCTTGTCGAACCGTGTTTAAGATTAGTTTTGAACCGTTTTCGAGCGTGACGTGTAATTTATCTCATTCAAGAAAACAGACTATTTTGAAATGGAAGCTGTCATAAGCCAGATACATAACACATAACCTGAAAACCGAAATAAATAATTGAATATTGAAATTGATGATTATCTATGAGAACTTGATTTATCTCATTCAAGAAAACAGACTATTTTGAAATGGAAGCTGTCATGAGCCAAATACATAACACATAACCTGAAAACCGAAATAAATAATTGAATCTTGAAATTGATGATTATCTATGGGAACTTGATAAGTGCAAGAGAATGGAAACATTAATAGTGGAATTTTCAATTGATAATCAGTAGATGAGGCAAGGTCTTTTGCTGAACCAGTCCAGAGAAACAGATAATAATCTGGAAATGATTATTCTTCTCGCAAATTCAAAGCATCCTGAAGTGGAAAATTATGCACCATACCCTCATCACACTCCATTTTTTAAGCTATAGGTATAGTCAATTTCTCGAAAATAATATTTATAACCTCAAACGCTCAAACCATCAAACTTTGACGTTTTTCCACTCCTCCACTGGTTTTCTGGTTCGAACACGGTTCGAATCGTTCATTTAGAAATTTTTAAAACCGGAATGAACCGCGTATTACTTGGTGACGTAATAACTTGAACAAGAAAATGCTTGATTTCAAATCGTTCTGAACACCATTCAACAAGAAAAAACAACTTAATAAATCAAGTATGTTGCCCATTTGTCATATATTTGTTGACCATTTCAATATTGTCAAGGTTGGCACGAATTAATTCAAATGATTTTTTAAAAAAAAGTTACGAATCAATTTAAACTTTCTCCAATTAGAAGAGATCACGTTATTACTTTCGATTTGAACTAAAAAATCCGATGGCATTATGATAATAACCTCACAATCATGAACATTTATTTGATAAGACATTATTTGAATATCAAAATAAATACAAAAACCTCACAGTCATTTCCACACGATGTTCATAAAATGAACAACAATGATGGTAGATTTCGGGAGACAAACAACTACGTTCCTGGCTAATGCCACGCTGAACATTGAATTACATCCTACCGAAATCTATACATCGACTCGTATAAACGAATGCTGATGCAATTAAATTTTTCCTGAATGCCTATTGATTTCGATTTAGCCAGGACACGCAAGACACCTACATGCCGATTTCGAGCTCTTTGACTCTCATCAGTACAGTGCAGTCTCCAGCCAGCAGTCTTAAGGCCGCCGACTAAGCGTAGCCTAGCCAAACAAAAATCAAGTCGGCATTATATTCCCTCAGAGGCGTCCTCCATAGATAATATGAGAGCAACGCCATCTGAGTAGAAAAGAAGGAAAGAAACACTCCAAACCAAAATTCCCATACGGGAGTGGCTGGTTGCCCGACTGGCGTAATTTCATCTACAGTGTCATTCATAAAGTCGGCATCATATGGGAAAAACTTTTATTAATGACTTATTTTGAAATTCAAGTTGGACGTTGAGTTTTGCTTCAAAAAAGATGAGAAATGGCCTATATACTCAATCGGGGTCACGTGACTTTCCCTACATGTCAAAAGTGACATTTTTTCAAATTAATCGCTGAAAGTAGGCTTATTTGTTCGAATATCGAAAAAGTTTACTTGAAAAAGTTGTTTCTATTTCAATTTTACTTATGTGACTCAGATTTATCTCTCTATTACATTTTTTAGATTGATATTTTTTAAAAAATGTCGAAATTTCTGTAATATTAAAAAAATTGTAAATTCGATAAAACTACTTCATACCAGTAGTTTCATCATGCTACTAACTTTCAATTACTAATTATCATCAATTATCGACAAAAATATGATTTTCTTCAGAAAATGATAATCTCCGGTTCTCCGCTTCAAAATTTTGTTATGTTTGAGTCAAGCATTTAGACACGAAATTCATTTAAATTCGTTTCTAAAAGCTTGACGATGTATCAACTTTGCATCAAACATAACAGAATTTGGAAGCGGGTATTATCATTTTCTGAAGAAAATCATATTTCTGTCCATAATCAGTGATAATGAGTAATTGAAAGTAAGTAGCATGAAAAAGCTTCTGGTATGAAGTAGTTTCGTAGAATTAACAATTCTTCAAATATTACAGAAATTTCGAAAAATAGAAAAAAATAAAAATAAAAAAGTTGCAATAGAAAGATCAAATTCGAGAAGCATGTGTAAAATTGAAATAGAAACAACTTTTTCGAATAAACATTTTCGATATTCGAACAAATAAGCCTACTTTCAGCGATAAATTTGAAAAAATGTCACTTTTGACATGCAGCGAAAGTCACGTGACCCCGATTGAGTATGCAATTTTTCATCTTTTTTGAAGCAAAACTTAACGTCCAACTCGAATTCCAAAATAAGTCATTAATAAAAGTTTTTCCCATATATGATGCCGACTTTATGAATGACACTGTATATATGAAATAACCACAATGCTCAAAGTGGAATGAAATGTTAAATAAATACAAAAAGCTCAGCCATATTTATTCATAAATTTGAGCATTGGAATTTACACTATTTCAATGAAAATCTTGGATATTTCGATATTGTTGATATAGATGAAGCTCTGAAAATTCGTAGGTACAGTGAGGAGATTGGAATGCATCAAAAGCGTCTCATATCAATTGATATACATAGTAATACATATCTTCATGGCAAAAATATATAACAGAACTATAATAGACAGACGATTATTTTTCTTGGCAATTATTATATCGCCCCACACTTTTTATCAGGTGTGGGATAAGGTATTATTCGACCGGCGTTATATATTTGTTTCTGATGAATAGCCATAGGTATGTAGGTATATACAATGTACAATGTTATAATTGATATTCACCATCTTTTATATTGTGGTAGGCAGGACTCCTTTGGATTTGTTGAAGGTACCCCGAAGGGGGTCCTCCTGGAGGGGGTGAGTTGTCGTCTCTGATATCGTCAGATCCAGGGCATGCCGGACTCCTCAACTGACCATACACACCTGCAACAAAAATTCCATCATGTATATACTTATACTTATAGAAAGAAAAATACAACAAAATTAGATTACCAATAATAATTAGGTATTCATCAAGGGTTCCACAATTTTGGTCGAATTATGTTTGATAATACTAAGAAAACATCTATATTCATAACTTTCTATAGCTACTTATACAGGGTGTATCTGAATAACACCGTTTTTGAGATACAGGAGGTTGAAGTTGGAAGTATCTTTCATGGTGCCAAAATTCAGTATTGATGGAGACTGAGAAAGCCACAAAATTTCAAAATGATTCTAATTGGGGTTATTGAGAAATCTCAATGCAAGTCTTACGCCTACATCATTAAAATTTGGAGTCAAATCGATTTTTTATCGATTCCTGAAAAACCAAGACTAAGAGGATAAAATACTTGTTAATTCAATAGTTCAATCTAATAAAAATATGAAACTCAGAAAAACCGGTAATGGTGTACCTACTTACAATGACATTCACCATGAATATCGATAAATTCCCCCACTGGGACACCACTGGAAATATTATTTCGAATCTAATCGCACTAGAAGGAGCTACATATTACCTACTATCAACAAAACCACAACGTTTTATTGAAATTGATGAAAAGACAATTGAGAAATGAATAGAAAGAATATATTTTTCATGGAAATATTAATACCCTGTATACCTATCTCAAAAACGAAGCCTAAATTGCTTCAGGTGGTTTAGAATTAAGATTTTTGACCACCCTGTATCAATTTGATTAAATATCAATCATTAATAGAACATGGAGAGTTGAGATAGGGACATGAAAACCTTTTTGAATCAATTATGAATAGTTTCGACACAAAAAATTCTTAAGTTGGAAAATTTCGATTTTTCACACCCTATATCTTTGTTATCATTCCCGCTAGACCCCAAGTGGAATCAGCTCTTCAGGAAGAATCTGAAAATGAAATGATATACAGGGTGTTCCATTGAAAAAATCAAAGTTGTTGCTACTTTTCAATATAAGTGGCAACGTCGCAACGCTGAGAATATTTTAGGTCGATAGAACACAACTGATTATCCAAGGCACCAACTTATCAGAATAATAACATCGTTTTGGACAGTGGTATTGGTATTCCTGATAATCAGTGACAAAGTCTGAATAAAATTACGAGAAATCTACATCAATTACGCATTTTTCTAATCATTTTCCCAAGCGGATGTTCCTCAAATCGGGAGAAAAATAATTATGGTTAGGTGTCTATACACTGATAAAAAGGATTCCTTGGATTGAAGGAATTTGACTTTACCTCAAGGGCGCCAAGCATTTGAATAGGGCGGAATGCATGGACATTTCGGCCCAATATTCCAAAAACTTTGAGGCAAGCGCCTAAGTTTCTTTAGCATGAAATTATATAAATTCGAGGCAAGAAACTTTGGTTTTGCCCTAATAACTAATGCTTTTGGCTTAAAATCGTAGTTTTCCCAACTTATGGGGAATGTTGAGGTAATTGCCATGATTTCTTTAGCCCAATGATATATGAGTTCATAGCAAAATACCCTGAACTTATCATAATGAACAATGATTTTTTGTCAAAATCATTGATATATCATTTCAAAGTTATGAGATTTAAGATGAAAGATATGGTATTATTGTATTGAAATATAGGGCTTCGCTGTAAATATTTAGGATCATGTTATTATGAATCCTTAACAAAACCCCATTATTGGTTCATTGATATTAGATTTAGTTCTGATGTTCTGACGAAAAAACGTTTTGCAATGGTTGAAATATACTTGAAAATTGAAATATCCCATCAACTTGTTTTAGCTTCTTATTTATCCTTGGGCGAAGAATTGTGGAAATCCTGAAAAAACAACCATTGATATAAAACTCATTTATTTTATAAAAAAACACATGAAACCTTTTATATGATGATGAAATACCTATCTACTGAAATAAGTATCTTGAAATGTTTGCATCTCAAACGCCACGCATCTAGAAGTTTTTCAAACTCCACTGAATCGCTCATGATCCACAGCACAACGCTACACGACAGATATGGCCGCTAAAATGCATTGGCAACGGGACGGTACTCGACACGATGCAGAAGAAGAAGGAGAAGGATGATGGGGTCGACCCATGCATTGCGCATGACTCAAACGGAGTCGGTATGTTTTCGGTTAACCTCGGGTGGACTCGATCTCATCAACGGTCTCAACCGAACGATTTCAGATCTTGTATCATAGTCTTGTGATCTTGAGGTAGATGCAAACCAAGCAGGACTAGAGACAAGGTCGATGATGTTCTCTCAAAAGCGTTTACAGCCAAAAGATTCAAAACCTTATTACAAAAACAGCAATAATCTGCAGATGAAAGCAATGTATTTGAAAGGAAGAAATTGTCTTTGTCAGGAGAGAAAAGAATCTAAAAGCATCATTCTTTTGTCACCAATCGGGTTTTTTTATCAGTGTATACCTACCCATCAATCGACCCTCGGAAAATTTTTGAATTGATTAATCACAGTTTTGAATTGACCGAATCTCCTGATACGCAATCCAAACCGCTGTCAATCACCCATAATCGCCTCTCACAACAATCGAAACGATCCGATCGTCCAATCGAACGTTCCAGCGCCCACTCATCATCGCCGCCTGGGAGGTCCGATTCCGATAATCCCAAACAAACGCTTATCGGTTGCCAATAGCGACCGGCTCCACTGCGCCGAGATTGAAGCGAGATCGCTCGCGATCCGCTCTGACCGCGGCACGAACGACCAGGGCCTACTCTAGAAAGTGGGCCCTGGAACGACGCGGCGACCGGATGCCGGGGATTGGCCGGTCGTGCCTCCTCCTCCCGACGCCGACCGGCTAATTGAGAGGCTGCGGCCACGCCCGTCTGGCGGTGGTGGGGAGAGCGGTTAGGGGAAGCTGCCGAGCGCGTTGTCGCGTTTATAAGGACAAAAGGGGAAGAATTATTGCGATTGTTCATCCGCTTACGACGTCTAGGATCTCAGGATTTTTGGTCTATACCATAGATTAATATACAGAATGATTCATTGAGACAATGGCCAATCTATGGAGTACACCAAAACATGAAGATTTAGCCTAATGTGCCTTATGAAAATGTGTCTGGATTATAGGAGGTACCTATCTACAGGGAGTAAAAAACAGCATGTACATACAATTTTGTAGTTTCTGGTTTTCTGACGTGAGAAATTTAATTTGTAACTCACTTTTGTGATTGCTCATATACACGGTAAGGAAACCTACCGAGTGAAGCTTTACGTCAAAATAGAGTACATAATAATATGATCTCTTGAACATTTTTCATACTTCTAAGACATTTTGTGTCAGTATAATTCGAAGGGTTCGGCTATTATATATAGGTATTCACAAAATCTTGTGTGATGGACCTGGATTGACAAGTAGTTGTGTGGACCTGATAGAGTTAAAATCATCAACTCAAAAATTTTTACAGTGAAGAAGGCACCAGTGGCAATCTGTTACTTCAGTAAATTATTATACATCATCATATCTTCTTTGTTCATTGAGTAATGGTCAAAATGAGTTGAAAATTTGAAAGACCGTTCAATTTAACATGAAAAAGTTACACCCTCATTCAAATTGTCTTGCTCTAACGCGGTTTTTGCGTTATTCACTTTTTAAAAGATCGGTTCATCACCTTTAACATTATTATTATTTTTAATTATAAAGCTAACGAATTATATATAATATACTGGATAGAATACAGTATACCTAATTAATAATGACACTAACCTACCTATATTCACAACACCAACAACAAAACAATATTTCAAAGTGAACGGTCGATCAGCGTTATTAAGAAATCAGCTATAGGTATATATACGAAAGAGCCAGAAAGAAATGTTAAAATGAATTTTCATCTCCTGAACTACGTTTAGCAACATTTTCGTAAGGCATCATGCTGGGCTAAATCTTTTCATATTTTGTTGTTATAACTAGGTATCTGATGCAGTTCATGAGATTTCCCATTCTTAATGAATCACCCTGTAGGTATATAATGTGGATGTATCTATAAAATTCTTGCATTATCGATGTCTCTCCCTACCTATATGATTTTCATCCAAAATATAGGACTGTTTGGTTAGCAATTTCAGTTCCAAGAGAGAACCTTGATTAATTGGAAGCTTTGTTATAGGTCAGGTAAGTTGGAATCTGTGTATGAAACGTCATTTAGAGACTAAAAGAAATCGAAAATTGGTTGAAGCATCATCAGTCAAAAGTTATGATGAATCAAATATGATTGAAAAATTTCGATCGTCATTTCGTGTGTTGTTCAGTTTATATTGTGAAGTTTTTTATCAAATTTTATTGTTGTGTAGTGAATTACCTAAACCATATTACCTTTAACAAAATGGAACATCTTGGGGAAACCTATAGCACGAAACCTACAAACTTGACTACTTACACAGGAAGCACTAAAGCAACTGATTTTGCCAGACTCATCCAAATATTACGCAAAAACTCTGATCAATCGGAAGTAGTGCATCATCATTTTCCAAAAAAAATACCCGATAGTTTATGCAATCATTCCACGTGAAACTCGTGAAAGGGTATCTATACGCAGGAAGGCGTATATTTGTAAATTCTGGGGTGTTAACGATAGAAGTTAGACGTTAAGCTAGCCAGTCTCTGTCAGAGATGTTTTGCCGGACGTCCGGTATAACGGTATATACCACACCTATAAATCGAGAAAAATGGTTGGTATGAAATATTGATGATGAGCAACGATTTGTTTATTGATCGACTCTGTCCAGTATATAGAGCCTTCGAATTCAGTGCACGCAGTCCATATTATAATATAATATATTATATACTTAGTAGCGAAAATAATAATAGACTATAGAATTAGCGGAAACGACATTAACCGCATTAAGGGGATCCGCATTTCTGTCCGAGATCAAAATGGTACTATTACTACTCTTGCATGCGTTTATAGGTATAGATACAATAATACTCTCTGGATGAGTAG